GAGCTAGAGGAACAATATTTTGGCTTGGAATAAAAAAGGAAATTAAGCAAATGACAGATTTATGTGAAATTTGCCAAGATTCAAAGACGAAAAACCAACGAGAACCGTTAATACAACACAGTGGTGGACAATCACCGTGGACGAAAATAGGAATGGACTTGTTCGAAATAAAAGGCAGACCATATTGATTATTTTTCGAATTTTTCCGAAGTAGACTACTTATCGACAACTACCTCTAGTCAAGCGATCGCAATTCTCAAGAAACAATTTGCGAGATTTGGGATCCCTACAACAATAGTATCCAATTACGGACCTCAGTTTAGGTCAGAGGAATTTAGACAAGTTACAACAAAATGGGGAAAAAATCACATAGTGCCATCTCCGAACCATCAACAAGGAAACGAAAAAGCCGAATCAGCTGTTACAGTGATTAAGAACATGTTAAAGAAAACTCTTAAAGATGATCGTGATCAATATGAGGCGCTTCTTGAATTGCGAAACACTCCTATTCAGAAGACTGGTCTCAGTCCGACCGAGACGATGTTCGGAAGAAAATCCCGACCGATGATTCCATCTATTCACATAATGCAAAATGAACCGAATGCGAAAGCTAAAGAATTGCGATCAGCAAGGAAATAATCTGTCAAGAAATGTTATGACAGACGCGCAAAGAACTTACCACCGGTAGGAACTGGTGACTCAGTATATTTCGAACACAAACAAGGACAGCACTGGAAGTTAGGAAAAGTAAAAGAAAAAATAAGCGAACGTGCATACATAGTTCAAAACCAAGGAGTTCCGTACAGACGAAATCGATGTCGCATGCGGCCGACGAGCATAAATGTGTAAATCCGTGATATGTCACCACCAATCAAATCGTAGAAACAAAAACTGTCATACCGACGTAAGTATCAAACAATTTAGGGCAATCTGTGAACTCTGATAATTCAGTTAGCGAATGCAAACCGATTGAAAATGAACAAAAGCGAATCGAAACGATTGCTAGACCAAAACGTATTACAAATGTACCAGAGAACCAGTCTATTTGAAAGACTTTGTGCGTTAAAGATGTAACAATTTAAATTGTTCAGAAGTTTATTTTCTAGTCATCAATTTAGTTTCTAGTCATTTTATAATTAGTTTAGTTTTTAAAAAATGAACTGCTATCACAAACTCTCTATACTGACTTTGTTTACATACGTGTAAAACAGACTATCATTGAGCAAATTATTTTTGGTTAAATTGTTTGATAATTGTTGCGAATTTTAAAACTAATTTCTTTCTTAAGAAAAGGGGATGTTGATAAATTGTGATTCGTTTCGTTCATTCAAATTTGAGTCTATATTTTTTTTGCGCATCCGGTGCAGTTAAATTGGTATTGGTTAATATTATTCCATTTTACTTATAGCACAGATGAACAATATGTCGATTTAAATCATAAGCTTTCGTTTAGTTACAAGCAAAGGATATGGATTTCAAATATATTGTCCCCGAACACCACTAAGGAGACATTAATGGTCGACATGCGCATCCGGTGCAGTTAAATTGGTATTGGTTAATATTATTCCATTTTACTTATAGCACAGATGAACAATATGTCGATTTAAATCATAAGCTTTCGTTTAGTTACAAGCAGCTAGACTAAGTTTGAACAGGATCGTAAAATATTTATATGCTACACGTTTGTTCTTAAGAAAATCGTTCGTGTGCATAAAGGAAATAACACTTGATAAATTTACTGCGTTTTAAAGGAAGAAAATATTCACTGCAAGGAACAAATGCATGTCGTACATATATCGTGTCTATAACAATTTAAGCATATGTACTCTTAATGTACAAAATGTATAATGGAAATATAAAAAAAAATAAACAGTGCTTATGTTATCAATTGATCAAACATTCTTAACATTCTTGCTATATAGCTAGTAACATGTTTTTTTAATTTGTTCTTATGTTGTACTGTTACACCACTGTTCCAGGTTAGGGTATGGTTGGGCGCCCGCAATCATATTTAACCCCACCTGTCCCAATTCAAGGGCCTGCAATTCAGTGGTTTGTTGCTTTATACCATATTTGTTTTTCGTTTGTTGTTTTGTACATCAAGCAGGCCCATATATTTCTCTTGAATGGATTTACATTTTTCACGTCGCGGACTTTCATAACAGCATATGTTGTTTGGGTTTTGCTCATTGTTGAAGGTGGCATATAGTTGCTAACCTCTACGTCATTCGGTCTCTAGTAGAAAGTTGTCCAATTGACAACCATACCACATCTTCTAATTTAGATATAACATATGCTATTTGATTTTCAGAATAATGGACCAAGTGTTTGCTTATGCATGAATAAGAAATTAGATTAATGTTCATCACTATGCACACACCTCATCATAAATGATAATTTATAAGTACAAATGCAATCAAGGAGAAGTTTGTTAATACATGTACATGCTATTTCTCCTTCGTGAATTTATAAGTAATGCATATTACTTTTACATTTCCTTATTTGTTTTGAAGGACCAATAAACTGTAAATGAGCTTATTTCAGGTGTATGATCGAACAGAATAAATTTTGTCATATAACAAATGATTGAGTATTGATGCAATATTTATCCCTATAAATATTAAATCTTGGATAGGTGTTTTATGTATTAGTGAAATATAACATTGATTTGACTTGTCATAGGAAAATATGTGGATTGGTTCACCCTCGATATGTCGTATTTTCATCTGACGACGCCCTAGGAAAATGTAACTTTTCTCGGAGGAACAAATCATCATAACTTCCGGGGTCAAGTGACGTAAAAGAGATGCGGGAGGTCTCAAAATGATATTCAAACTCACAAGTCGATGACAAAAAGTATTTCAAAAAAATACCGAACTCCAAGGTAAATTATAAAAGGGGGAAGTTCATAAATCTGACAAAATCAAACGATAGAATATATCAAAGAGAGAGACGAAAGATGCCTATGGACATTAAACAAGAAAATAAACTGACAACGATATGGCAAAAAAAAACCAAAAGACCAAAAGATAAACAACAGTATACAAAACAAACATAGAAAACTAAAGACAATGTCAACCAACGGACCGAATTGAAAACAATTGTCATATTCTTGACTTGGTATAGTCCTTTTCAGAAGAAAATCTTCCGTTAAACCTGATTTTATAGCTACTTGCTAAACATCCCACTTATATGACGTCTGTTTATAGTTACGTTATACTTTATTAATTAAAAAATTGGGTGAATAACCAAAACAGACATAATTGGTAAAGATACATCACAGACATGCAACACAATTGACTGAAAAATTCAAACAAACATACACAAAAATCTGACAAAGACACTAACAAAAAAATATTGTAGTTGATAGCAAATTTGACAATGACGCCAACAAAATGATTTTTTTGTATTTGATAGAGCATCCAGTATATTAAAACATAGTACTTGAATGTATACAATTTCCTGATAAATTAGAAATTAAGTAAAATATAAATACTAGGGTAAACAAAATGGAAACAACAATGTTAAAACCTCTCGCGTCCGAACCGCACATCTGGGCCCATCTGCAGATGGAAAGCTTAAAGCCGAAAAAACCCGATAGTTGGATGCAAAAATATCGAGTCACGTCAAGGGTCATACGACCAAAATGAACACAATAGCACACAGACAAATAGAAGGAAAACTGTAAAGTAAGTAAATGATGCACAACTTCAGGGCCTACACTTTATATCTCAAGACCATCTTGTATTATTTGTGAAATAGACACTGAATAATTGGTACTTTCCGATAAACTTTTGAGAAAAAGGACGATAAGTTCCTTGACAAAACCCATTTTTTTGTTTGCTCAGACACCTAAGACGTTTTAAACAGTCTGAGTAGCAACTGCAAGTTGACTATCGTATGAGTTGAGAAATGTATCCTTTATTCGCGGGTGAAGTTGGTTAATTGCTTTTAAGGTGAGGAATATTTATAATTTCAAAATTGAAATCGTTTCGTTTGTTATAGATTTTGGTACTGAGATGACCGCTGTAGTCAATTCTAGGTATATGTCTAGAAATGTGGCGGAAGAAGCTGTATTTGTGGTTTCTGTAATCTCTAGATCAGAATGATACATTAATGGGACCTAATCAGAAATGTTTGTATAGTCAACATCATCAATATACATGTATGTGAAATTAAATAATCTAGCTTCTCTTGTTTTTTAAAAACGGACAAAACCAAAAGACAAATGGGTTTGCTTATTCTACATTGGCTAGAGGTTTAGGGGAAGGGTTCAGATCTCACAAAACATGTTTAACCCCGTCGCATTTTTGCGCCTGTCCCAAGTCAGATACCTCTGGCCTTTGTTAGTCTTGTATAATTTTAAAATTTTGGTTCATCTATATGTTTCGGAGTTTAGTGTGACGTCCATTTTCTCTGAACTGGTACACATTTTTGTTTAGGGGTCAGCTGAAGCTCGCCTCCGGATGCGGGATTTTCTCGCTGTGTTGAAGACCCATTAGTGGCCTTGGGCTGCTCATTTGTCGGGTTGTTGTCTCTTTGAAACATTCCCCGTTTCCATTCTCAATTTTTAACAACAGTGTACAAAACCTAACTTGCTTTTGAGACTCAGTAGTAAATACAAGTTCCAAATATTGTTTTTTACTCGGGTGTTTTGGAGCTTGGTATAATTTATAGACATATTTCTGTTGTTGAATACTATGGGTTGACATGTAAATATATTCTAAGTAATTTGTGTTAGTTGCTGTCTCATTGATATATGACTTAGACGGATCTAAAAGATGGTCATTGAGTTGCCTTTATTCTAAACTGTATACAACTATAAAAATTATTTGGTTGATGTTCACGAGACCACGTTTTCTAAAAGATTCGTAATAGGTTCATGTGAAGCCAATCAATGGAATGAAAAGGAAACTCATATTGCATAAATACAATAATGCTTTAATCCTATTACGTATTTATATTGTATTTTAACATCTGCCGTTTCACCAATTTTAAGAAAGAGAAAACGCAGTGATATTGTTTTATACATGAAAAAGGTAAGTGTATAAAAATGTAGTTTCACTTTTACTTAATTATTTTTGCTTCTAGTATATGCACATGAAGATCCTAATACTGCAATAAAAGTACCTTAGATAATAGGAATTTGGTTTTGTTGCATTTGCAGTATATTCAGTGATTCTTTATTTAACCTATCATCATTATAAAAAAAAGGGAGATGTGGTATTATTGGCAATTCAAAAGCTATCCACAAGAGGCCAATTGACGAGGATGTAGATAACTATATGTATAGGTCATCGTACGACCCTGATCAATGAACAAAATTTATGCAGTATATACAGTAAGCTATACACTGTCCTAGCTTGACAAAATGTGAAACAATTCAGAACAGAAAACCAACGCCCTGGTTTATGCTAAAAAACGAAAAAAACAAATATGTGGCTCTGTTAAACATGTTTGTGACCACTCATTAACCAGACTCAAGCTAGCGACCAATTCTAGCGACCAATCAAGCTAGCGACCAATTCTAGCGACCACTAAAGAACACAATGAGAATCAACTTGTCTAAGAATCATTATGTGGTGTATGAAAAAACCACAAAACCACATTATGAAACAACGTTCTGTTAAAAAGAAATTCTATCTACCAGTACGGTATATATATTGTTTTTTAACGTTGAAATGACCAGAAATGTCCATCAAATTAAGGGAGAAGGGACACTACAATACGAATGACGTCTGTAGCTGAATGCACTAACTAGTTTGGTTGCTAAATGTCTGCATCAATATCAATGAGTAAAATATAACGTGCCAGAAAATCGTAAAAGTCAAAACAATTTAATACAATAGAAAAACAAAGGATATAGGGTATCCCTCCATGACACAAAATCAGTAAATGCACAGCGAAAAACACACAAAATGCTAAGGAACATTCTTTGTTAACGAACTATTTTTATTCCCCTACATTCGAACACATACTATATGTTATCATATATGTATTTATATAAATAAAGGTGCGCCCCTCTCCGGAGTTTATTCTATCGGGAGAGGGACTAGTTGGGAAATAAAGTAATCCATATTTTGACGTCTTCTTTACGTTTTCTCTGTTTTCCAAACTCTAATCCGAGATCGCAAAGATAAATCAATTATTGTAAACAAAATATTAAAAACGGAGCGTATATCCCCCAAGCACATAATGGTTATACAATAGTACTTTGCGGTTTAGAAATCAGAATAAAAAGCTAAAGAGTTTTTAGAATTTGAATAATAAAAAAAAAGAGTGTTTGTTTATGATGATTTGCTCGCACAATCGTTTTCAATATTCAGTGAACCGTAAATAATTTAAAAAGTACATATTTTAATGAACATGTGTACCTAGTTTCAAGTTAACCAGACTACAACGTCATCTTAGACTAGATTCAACACTAACGTCATCTTAATGCAGTATGAATGGACGGACAAACGGACAAACGAATTAACGAACGAACACAAAAACCAGATAATATTATGGGCTTTACTGTCGTAGGCGGAGCATAGAATAACTATTTAATGTGAGTTCACTTAAACGTGTTCCTTTGTACAATGTATCAGCTTTCAAATAAAAGAAATAAGAAAAATATTATGTGCGAAAGAATAACTATATACTGGCTTTCCATACACTCGGCATCCTCAAATATCCTTTATTTTCTAGAAAAGGAACTTTTAATGTCTATTCCCTATACTGAAAATGAAAACATACAAAATAACAAACTGTAAGAGTACATTTCATGCCCACAAACCATATTTTGAATTGAAAGTATACGTGCACTATTTTGTACGGCATGCATCCTTACTTAAAAGAAATGTAAAGATTTTTTTGTTTAAAAAAAAGACCGTACACTTTGAATGTCAACTTTGAACCCCTTCAATTCCCAGAAGGTCCTAACCCCCAAAAAATCATTTCAGTAGGTCCTGCTCTGATTCATTACCTTTCATTTGAGCTATGTCCGGTGTCGAACTTTGCCGTACGAAGCTGGCGAGACTTGCCGAAAGAATGTACGGTGGACACGTAAAAAAAAAAAATAATACAAACTTTGAACCCCTTCAATTCCCAGAAGGTCCTAACCCCCAAAAAATCATTTCAGTGGGTCCTGCTCTGATTCATTACCTTTCATTTGAGCTATGTCCGGTGTCGAACTTTGCCGTACGAAGCTGGCGAGACTTGCCGAAAGAATGTACGGTGGACACGTAAAAAAAAAAATAATACAAACTTTGAACCCCTTCAATTCCCAGAAGGTCCTAACCCCCAAAAAATCATTTCAGTGTGTTTTTCGCTGTGCATTTACTGATTTTGTGTCATGGAGGGATACCCTATATCCTTTGTTTTTCTATTGTATTAAATTGTTTTGACTTTTACGATTTTCTGGCACGTTATATTTTACTCATTGATATTGATGCAGACATTTAGCAACCAAACTAGTTAGTGCATTCAGCTACAAACGTCATTCGTATTGTAGTGTCCCTTCTCCCTTAATTTGATGGACATTTCTGATCATTTAAACGTTAAAAAACAATATATATACCGTACTGGTAGATAGATTTTCTTTTTAACAGAACGTTGTTTCATAATGTGGTGTTGTGGTTTTTTCATATACCACATAATGATTCTTAGACAAGTTGATTCTCATTGTGTTCTTTAGTGGTCGCTAGAATTGGTCGCTAGCTTGATTGGTCGCTAGAATTGGTCGCTAGCTTGAGTCTGGTCACTCATTAACCTCCTTACCTGGAAAGGTGGTTCAACAGCACAACATTAAAACAAACTGTAAAAAAACATTAGGAAAGGACTTAAAGCATAAAAAACGACAAGCAAATAGAGATAAAAACCCACAAAGTATCGATCTAAGAGTACTCGCTGTAACTGTGTTTCCAGACCAAAATTGCAATCATAAGACATCCACAGAAGTCTTAATAATTTTATTGTCAATATTCTTATTATCATCAACATTGTTTCTTGTGAATAAAGTAAACTTTTCGAGCAGGTTTGATACAGAAACCCTAAGTTATGATTGATTGATTGATTGTTGGTTGCTTAACGTCCAGTGGCAAATATTTCATGCATGTTCAGGACGAGAACAAATTAACAATAAATACAATAGGTAGGTCCGGTAATAGAGGTCAACTGGGTTGAAGGTTGGGAAAATTTGGACTGCCACGGAAAAATGAGGGTATATTGGATAAAACAGAAATTTAGCCTTGCAACAAGCCACCTTCGGACCCCTCAAAGAGTTGTTGCAAGGGTACTTAACGTGCAGAGAGCGTGACACACTCTCTACACGAGGCATCGGATTTAACGTCCCCATTCTGACCGGACGTGGCTGCGTACTTGATACATCCTGCACAGCCAAACGGACGCCCCACTTTGGCAAGGGTTTTACTGCCGGTCGGAAGAAGACCTGTAGTGATCATATTTCTATTCCCCAGTTACCCTTTGGGGCTCCCTAAGTTATGGTTGTGGTAGCTATCACATACTCATTTGAAAAGGTTGCCTTAATTCTAGACATCGAAAAAAAAGTTATTATAAACCGCAATGATAACCTTCAAATAATTTATTTTCAACAAATAGATTTATGAATTTGAGAACAGACATACGAAATCAATTTCTATTTTTAGATATGACTGGATTTTCTACCACATATGTATCTATCATACTCCTATATTGAAAAAAAAATTACAATGTAATAAAATTATTATGATTGTATATTTCCTATTAATGTTAAACGTAAACAATGAAATCCCATGATTGTTATTCCTTTAAAAAATATAAGTTAAAAATTTGACAAAACGTTTCATACTGTTTCAAATATTGTAACATAATCTTCAACGTGTTTTCATTCAGTCTTACGATTCAACCTTCTGCTTCAAATTCTTGAGAAGAGGAAAATGATATATGCGATTCTTTTCTTGATGTTTGTACCTGTTGACAGTCAGCCAGAGAAGTAACGTGTTCTTTTTTTATGTTTAACCTGTTAAAATTCAGCCAATGAGTCAGTTAGTATTTTTTAGATGTACCTTATACAGTCTATAAGAGAAGTAAGTTTGTATGTTTTAATTACTATAAATGTACCTGTTTGCAGTCAAACAAGAAAGGAAGTATAACATAGATATCACACTGTTGGGCTGTTATTTAGACGAATAATACATACAACTCGTCTAAACATCAGCCCAACAATGTTAGATCTGTAAATTTGTTTTCGCAAATTTTTTGTTCTTCCCTCGCCGGGATTCGAACTCATGCTACTGATATATCGTGACACCAAATTGCCTGCACTGTATCCGACGCGCTTTTTTTTTTTAATCTTTATTATGTATCCGACGCGCTAGACCGACGCGCTAGACCACACGACCACCTAGGCTTCACAATAATACAGCTTTCGGTGGCCCGTCAGTTTTAATCTAGCGTCGTAATACAGTACATGATATATAAGGCATGAAGATGGAATTGTTACAGATCAGCTGAAATATCATATCTTCAAAAAAATTAATTTAAACAGTTTATCTCCCCCCAAAAAAAATTTAGAAAAATAAAAAAAATATGATACAAAAGTTAACAGAGAAATTTTTAATTCAATTCTATGTAATGTACATGTAAATTACGTGTACATGTTGTTTACTGATGTGAACAATTTTCATGTACAGGTAATTAAAACCGATGTACAGATGAGAACAAATTTAATGTGAAACCATTAGCACATACTTACAACTTCTCGTCCAATCAAATTGCTTATATTTGCCTTCTAATTTTCATAGTACATACTTTTCCTGTGTACTAAGTAACTACGCATGAATGACCACAAGGGTAAGATTTCATTGTATCGTAATCAAGATATTTAAAACAAAAATTGCCACTGGCTATTTTGAAATAAAATGCTGTGTTCCAAATTAAAGACATTAAATTAAATAGTTTGTAATTAGTTTTCACATTGATTTTTAAATATCCTGCTATTAAAATCTTTGGATCTAAAAAATGTTTTTGACAATTGCAAATTTTATCATTAAAATAAAGGGTAATACATATGGTTCTTTATACCTTGATTAGAGTACAACGATATCTTAAAATTATGATAATGTATCATCCATGCAATTGCTTTGTACACAGAAAAGTGTGTACTATGAAAACTTGTGAAGGAAAATTAAAGCAACTTGGTAATAATTTTTTAAACTTTCTTAAGGAAAGTGATCTATTTCGTCATGAATTGATTGATTTATTGATTATTGGTTGCTTAATGTCCAGTGGCAAATATTTCCTGCATGTTCAGGACGATGTCATGAATTGAAAAACTGTGATTATGTCTGAAGATAATGTGCCACCTATATATATATATATATATATAAACATATTCTGATAAATCTTTTAGTTTTTACTTTGAACTAATAAAAAAAAACACACAAAACCTATAATCTCTGATCTATTTGTAGTTGCTTTTTAATGCCTATCTGCTAGACTATATCTTTGGGGACAAACTATCTATATGTTTCAAATTTGTTATAGCTTTAGTTTTACTGTGAAATTAAAAAATGTTTTCAAAACATGTAAAGCTTCCACTGCAATTTCATTATTACCTGCTTTTGGTCAATTCATTTTGTCATCTTACCTAAGAAGAACATGTATAGTAAAACACCGCTTTATATCAGTATACATACTTACACCAGCAGCTACCATCTTTTCATTCTGGAGTGAAGGGCCTTTTGAAATCACATATTTTACAATGATACTGGTGAGTAGATTTACAAAATTCGTTAATGAGCTCCGTTTTACAAACACCTGTGATACAAGTAGTCAGCCAAAATAAGTGTCGGTTAGTGTATGGAAAGGTATATACTATGAAATTTAGAGCGAGGGGCTTGCCCCGAGCTCTTAATTTCATAGTATATACCTTTCCATACACTATCCAATTTAGCACATATTTACAACTTGAGTAATCCTGTAATTAGTCTATTGATATGTTTTGGCTGACTAGGTGTAGCTCATGTACGTAGTTTTGTAAATCTACTCACTAGTTTCATTGTAAAATATTGAATCCAGAATGAAAAGATGGTAGCTGCTGGTGTAAGTATGTTTATTGACATAAAGCGGTGTTTTACTATTCATGTACTTCTTCACATGATAAGATGACAAAATAAATTGACCAAAAGCAGGCAATAATTAAATTGCAGTGGAAGCTTTACATTCTTGAAAACATTTTTTCAATTTTACCTAAAAACTAAAACTATAATAAATTTTACACATATAGATAGTTTGCACTGGCGGATCCAAAAAGGGGGAGGGGGAGTTCAGGAGGGGGAGTTCAGGAGGGGGATGGAAAACGCCCTGTTTGTGATGATCAATGCTTTTGAATGAGGACATACAGTTGGACCCCTCCTTTTATCTTGGGTTGGAACCCCTTTTAAAAATGACTGGATCTGCCCTTGTATGTACCCATAGGTAGTCTAGTGGATAGTTTACATGCATGAAATATTTGTCACTGGACATTAAGCAACCAATAATCAATCAATGCATGACGAAATATATCAAATTGCTGTAATTTTCCTTCACAAGGTTTCATGGTTCACTCTTTTTTGTGTACAAAGTAATTGCATGGAAGATAAATGATTACAATTTTCAGATGTCGTTGTACTCTAATCAAGGTATAAAAAAAACATATGTGTTACTCTTTATTGAAATGAAAGAAACTTTTAATCGTCAAAAACATTTTTAGATCCAAAGATTAAATAGTAGGATGTTTAAAAATCAATTTGAAAACTAATTACAAACTATTTAGTTTAATTTGGAACACAGCATTTATTTCAAAATAGCCAGTAGCAATTTTTGTTTTAATATCTTGATTACGATACAATGAAATCTTACTCTTGTGGTCATTCATGCGTAGTTACTTAGTACATGGAAAAAGTATGTACTATGAAAATTAGAAGGCAAATATAAGCAATTTGATTGGACGAGAAGTTGTAAGTATGTGCTAAACTATCAATAGACCAATTAAAAGATTACTCAAGTTGTAAATATGTGCTAAATTGGATAGTCTATGGAAAGGTATATACTATGAAATTAAGAGCTTGGGGCAAGCCCCTCGCTCTAAATTTCATAGTATATACCTTTCCATAGACTAACCTAGACGTATTCACTACATGAAACTAATTGTAAACAGGTTTACAGCACACAGCGTTTGGTATGAACACGGCCTAATACAGGTAAGTTTTGGTCTATTGATTTAATCTCAAATCCTCATCAAATAAAACAAAACTCAATAATCTATAGACGTCCTTGCGTATATATACATCCCAAATTGTCAAAATACAGTAGTATGTAAGAATGTGTGTAAAATAATAGAAGAGTCCCTCTATAAAACTGCTAGTGTTTCTTATTGATGCCGTTTGGATAAAGTATATTTAGTTCCTTTAGGGGCTCGGGAAAAATCTTTGATAGTTTGGAATTCTTTTCAACTGTTTTCCAATGCTCACGAATGACACCGAAGCTGTTTTTGAGAGATGTGTGGGTAGAAAGAACACATGGAGTCCTTTTATTTTTATTTTTATCCTTGTATTCTTACAGTTTACTCCTTGTGATAGTTTCCACTTTCTAAAAACTTGTTTGAATAGTTTTGTGTGTATAGCCCCTTCTCTTCAAGCGCGTTTCGAGTTGACTCAGTCCACTTGAGGTCAACATGATAATGGCATCATAGTGACATTACATCGACAATTGTGCACCATAGTGTCCAAATGATATAATTGTATTCATTTATCAATTAGACTAAATATGAAGGTATACTATTTTAGAAATTAATGGGACCAATTAATCATAACGAGTGAGAATTGGATATCGTTAGTTTAATTTCATTACAATATGGAGCCTTCGTCGAGTTTATTATTACTATTTGAATTAAATAACGAGAGTTGATATCAAGCGATATCCAATTCTCACGAGCTTATTGTGTTAAATTAAAATTTCGCGAATCGTCGTTCTAGTCTTTATCACATACCTGTATGACGTCATATGTCTATAACCGGCGTCAGACTAATTGAAGATTTCAGATATGTCCTTTGCCATGGACAAAATGTACATCGTCTCAACCTTTGAAAGTTATCAATGACTTAACGAATAGCTATTAGAAATGTCGTAGTATCGTCTCATGATGCTGGATAAGCCAATCAAAATAACCCAGTTTTCGTATCACTTTTTCTTCTCACACTCCGTGCAGTTGATACGAGATATATCTCTTCTTGCAAGAAATAGATAACTAAGAAAATGGTTCTTATCATATACTTAGAGCAAATAACTTATGAAAACTTTATCAACTGCTTCCGGTTATTATCGCATGCCTTTCCATAACATTATCCCTTGGCATTTCGGCGTCACTCGGCAAATTTCGGAAAATACACCTCAATGGTACGTTTTTAGGGAAAACATAACAAAGTAGGATAACAAAAATATATTAGGAAACAGGAAAATCTATTTTGAAAAATGTAAAACAAATGATACAATTAAATGCATTTTTTTCAAAGTTTTAAAAATAGTTCTTGTATGTATTTCTTCTGCTGAAGCATATGATAAAAAGATCATTACATGTCATTTGTTCATAACTACGGAAGCGTATTAGCGCCACACGATTTTTTTAATATTTCTTCCTATGTTTGCGTTATAACGCAAACATTTGCGAAATAACGCAAACCTTTGCGTTATAACGCAAACATTTGCGAAATAACGCAAACCTTTGCGTTATAACGCAAACCTTTGCGAAATAACGCAAACATTTTGATTTTAATTATTCATTAAGTTTTGAATATTTAATAATAAAAAACTATACATAATAATAAATGTACATTTTATGTTTATTATATAATTTGAAAACAGTGTTTTGTAAATGTCGGCATTTGCATGTCCGTCTGTCATCAAATTTCGGTTGTGATTTAGTTAGAAGAAGAACCATGAACACAAGGCCAAATCATTATAATAAATATGCATAGAAATAAAGGAATATTTGAAGTGCAATTATACACAAATTAATAAATGGTTTATGCATCAGAAGATTATATAAATTTAACAAGTAAATAGATATGGTATAGGCAAATTTTAATTGAAAGGCCAAGATTTTGAAAATTTTTAATAACGGAAAGTGGTAAACTAGATAAGAGCAAAAATAATGTCATACAGTTGTGAAACTATAAGTCAAATAGACAAAATGATCTTTCTGCTTTAAAATTTATTATTCAGAAAAAAACATTTTTTTTAAATTTTGATGTAAGAAATCGTTTGTTGAAATCTCAGAATATGATAAAGATTCTTTAAAAAAAGTCATTGAATTTTAATTTCAATCTAGTGAGGTAGCTATTTAAGATGCTTGGGTAGCAATTTGAATGTAGAGAACATAATTATAATAAAATAGCATCTTCATCTTATACATTTATGGAAAAAGGGTAGCTTGTTTGAATTTAACCAATCTTACACAATGCTCAAACGAGCGCTTACTTTGGAAGTATACTTAAATTCGGCTACACTAGCGGGGTTGATTTTTTATTTTCTTCGGTATAACTTCAATTTACTCAATTTTCTTTGTAATATATATATATATTAATAATAAGATCTATTTTGTTACATCTTGTGATCCGTTTATTTGGCAATCGCCAATGGCAGTCAGCAGGGTTTAAGAACATCAGTTGTTCGACCTGCTAGTCAAATGCGTTTTGTTAAAATATACTTTTTCACTCATTTGGTCTTTTGGAAAATGTTGTTTGTGCTGCATTTAGACCCCTCTACCAAGAAATTTGTTTGCATGCACACGTATAAAAATTGCGGTTTTTATCCAACGCAATCATAGGTTTGAACGTTGTTTTCAATTTAGACTTGTTTATATATATATATATATATATACATGTATTATCCTGCTCATTCTTATCCCATGATGTGTGCTAAACACTCAAGCATTTTACATTGCAATGAGTACAAAGGGTGATAAATTTTAATATTTGCAGCCTCTTCCATTTATAACAGCTGCTGCCTTTGAAACTTAAATAAGAAATAAAATAAAACAAATGTCTGCGTTATTTCGCAAAGGTTTGCGTTATAACGCAAACATAGGAAGAAATATAAAAAAAAAAAAACGTGTGGCGCTAATACGCTTCCTTACATAACAGAATATTCATCGGCCCTCGTTTTTTATTCGTCAATATAAAATATATTATACTGTTGTTTCTCCTCTGTTGAGGCATATGAAAGAAATATTTCATATCGGATGTATTACATTTAGCGTTGGTCGTCCGTAAACTTTTCACTTTTTGAACTTCTACTTGAGAACCACTTAAAAGGATCAATATATTAAACTGTTATTTTTCTCCATTGTTGAAGCATATGATAAAAAGATCATAACATGTCATTTTTCATATCGGCTCTTGTGCTGACATTGAACCTTGGGCTGATAATACATCTGATATGAAAAATGCCATGTAATAATCTGATATTATCATACCTACCCCAACGTTCTGAGTTTTTGAATTTAAAATCATTTTATCTCATGAATATCCATTTCAAATCATATAAAATCGGTTATAAATAATGACTATAATTGTTATAATTTTAGCTGTACTTACATGATGACAGTCCCAAGGGTTACCAGACCAGGAACAGAAATTGATATTTGTATCACAATATGGAAGAAAGGGTCTGGTAATGTCAATATAGCTGCTGTATTAAGAAATAACAAAGGAAAAACGATATCTGGAATTTCAAAGATATATTCGGGGATATCAGGTATGATTCAAAATCAAAATCATATACAAAAATTTATCAATACTCAATAGCAAAATATACGCACCAACTCCATTCATTAATTTGGAGGAAACATTTCAATTGCTTATAAATTAAAGTTTTTTTTTTAAATAAGTCAAATTCTGACACATGATTTCTAGAGTAAAAACACCAAATTCTGTGAAAATGAAGAATATTTTTAATACTTCTCATTTTCAAACCAAAAAGAAAAATATAACCAAATTTATGAAAACTTAAGTCGTGTGTATATTTTCATCTGAGACGAAGGATAATTAACTACTGTATATGGGTAGAAGTGGTTCGATATCTTTTTTGTTGAGTATACTTATGTATGTCAGATTAGCGTGCATAATATAATATATTACATATTGCATAAAGAACTCATTGAAACAAATATTTAATGTTAACATCAGTACACGTACATGGAATGGCATAAAAGTTGCCAAAGAATCATGTGACTTAATTGAGAAACGGCGTACAAATCATTAAGACATATTGTATTTAGATATTGAATGGTTTTTGTTTGTTTGTACTTCATTGGATTCGGATGTTGGTGTTTGGTTTATTCTGTATACTGTAATTCTGTCCAATATTGTGGAGATTCTTTTTCTATAACACATTTTTCAGTATTCTTTTTTATCCAATGGTGAAAGAGATAAAAATTTACACAAAATGCATTTTCATTGCAGGAAAACCACAGATTGTTAAACTGAAGGTAAAATTGAAAATTATTATCTGAAATTCAAGCTCTCAGTCTAAGCAAAGTTAAAAACCTTAAATTCATAGATTTGAAACATTGATTATTATATAACACCGTATAATATATCAGTTTGATAACATACACATAAGTGTTTTTGATTATATGTTGTTTATTTCTAAAATTTAACCTATGATGATTTGCTCTGCAACTTTGTATTTTATCTGGCCTCTTTACTTTTTAGATTCGATTGTCACTGTTGAGTGGTAGTAGACGAAACACGCGGTTGCTGTACACAATTATAAGCTTGTTATCTTGGATGAGTTTTTTACTCAAAACTTGTCTCACTTTTAAAGACTTTTAATAACAATCTTATCAATAGGGAATTGTTTCAAAGAGCCTGACTGTTCTTATATCAAATAACCTGTATTATTTCAAATTTCGTTACTGATTAGCTAAATGTTTTGTTTTTGTTGCAATAGGTTCCAAGTGATGCCCCGTCAGGATATGACTATCATTTAGACACTATTTGTACTGGGTGGATAGTGTTTTACAAAAATATTAACAGGATCCGAATTGACTCAAGGAATGCTTCAATGTTTATACAGACAGATAGACCAATATACAAGCCAGGCGATTTTGGTAAACTCAAACATTTATTATATTGATAATTATATGCAAAAGTATTTACGAATTAAAAATCTTAGCATCAAGCACTACGTATATCCCGTCTGTCAATCTCAACTAGAAATGTAAGAATAGTTTGTAAAATGCTACAGTTCAACTCGCATGAACTTAGTCTACACAACAAATTAGAACTGTTGCTATTCTGCGACGCACGATATTGTTTACTTCTACGAAAAATGGCACGTAATTCATATACATACATCATTGGTAAAAAAATCGGGTATCTGTCACTATCCAATTTGTGTGTTAAATATTTCAAATTAATTTATATCTATTGTCAGCAGTAGAAGCATATTTAAGGCAGAAAGATTGACATTCATTGTACATTTTTTTATTTTTTTAGATGATTTTGATCATTTTCATTTAATAACCAACGTATCAAACATCATATATAAGTTTTATATATGTTAAGCCGCCGACGGCAACCAAACAGAACAATCAAAATAAAAACAAAAGAAATATTATCTAATAAAACCAGACACAGTAAAAATTAGAGAAGAAAAAAACACATCAAGTAAAATCATAATAAAACCAAAAAAAAAAAAAACCAAAGCAAACACAGATAATAGACAAGTGTCTGTACCGTGTTCCTACCTTGTAATCGTCTGTTAATTGTCAAATTAATAAGAGAAGATGTTATGTATACGTCAACGACAAAGCAATTGAAACAAACCAAAAACTTAAAAAAAACATCTAGAGATGATCATACTGTCTTTAACAATTAAGATATATCGAAACAATATGTCAGGATCTAATCGAGTCAGAAAAAGATCGCAGCGAAAACATTATCAAAGATCTACAATAAATTAACCCAAATTCCCTAAAATGACAAAACAAACATATTAATATTTGGCAAAAGACAACCAAACTATCAGTAGAGAAACATACTGTCACCAATAACAGATAAGAGTTAACAAATGTAAAGCTTGCGTTTTACTGTTTTCTAACGTTTATCCCACATCTACTTTCATTAAAGTGATAAAATGATGATGTTCTACCTGTCACGATTCAGTCACTCTGTGATTTAGATATATTAGATATGTTTCTATCTAGATTCAAAACGATGATAAAAAATAAATCTATTTATTTATTTATTGTTCACACTATCTGCGTTTATAGTAAATTGTAGACATCGAATGTTATATTCAAAGATGACATTAAGTGCATTTGAAACGGATGTCTGTGCGTTAATTGATTTTGTACTGTAACCAAAAGATATATGAAATCCGATATAAATATTTACTCAAATTTGTGCTCTTTTCATCTTACTGCGAAAAATGTAGCAAATACTATAAACTCCACGCTAATGTCAAATATAAAAACGACCAAAGCCAGTTTGTCTATAATAAGTGAAATTTCCTTCCCTGATTTTCTGTGTGAACGTTGTTGTGGTAAAGCAATACTGTTGTTTAGGTTCGCGTCCTCTTTAAACTTATTTCGCCTATTTGTCTGAACAATGCTATTTTTCAACGTTTTGTCATCATCTCTGAAATACACTGATATTGATAAGATTGCAATTATTGTTGTCAGACCACTTGTTACCAATCGTAAAATTAAGAATATAGTAAATGCACTCACTTTATTGGTAGCTGGAAATGTATCCGAAACGACTGTCATAACAACGGCGAAAGTAAGAAATAAAGTCACTGCAAATGACGTTCTCTCTCCGGACTCAACAGGCAAAATAAACGTAAATATATTCAAAACACTCACAAGTATAAGAGGCAGAATGAGACTTTTAATGAGATGCAAAGGCTTTCTTTGGATATGAAAATTAAAAACCAGAGTAGGGTAACCTCCCTCTATGAATGAAACGGATGTTATATTAGTCACATCCCATTCAGGATCACCTTCAAAATACTTCATTGCGATTTCATACATATTTGGCTTAGGTTTCAAAAGTTCGATTTCCTTAGTCTCTGGCTGCAGTTCCATTTGACATATATGATTATCCGCTGGGTAATAAACGATATCGGCATCGCACGAAGTATCGATAATTCCACCAGCTAGCAAGTAAGCTGTTCCTCTATTATCGAAGGATACTTTTGATGTTAGATAGTCAAAGTCATTATCAAATTGATAAAATGTCCTCTTACTTGCACTATTAGCAATGATCAACTTTGGAACCCACACTTCATTAAACGGCACATGAATACTGGTGATTCCACCGTTTTCAGAAACGTTCCAAGTCATAAGATCATCTGTCCAGATCATTTCAAAAGACCCATACCATGAAAAAACACCTTTACTTTCGTCAAAATCAATAATTTGCTCCATCAAAGGATCTATTTTCACGTCCACTAATATATCTTGTTTAAGTCGTGGTGTTATATGCTTTGAATAGTTTGTCATCAGTGTTTCTATTAACTGTTGGCGAATATAGTAACCTGTGTGGCAATTCCTTTCAAAAACTTGAACGCACAAAATGAAAACTATGAATATTGCTCGTATCATTATTGTGTCAGATTAGAACGAATGAACTAGATGAAACTCTTTAATATTTTCTTATATACGAAAAGCATAGCTTTTTCAATTATAACACAGGTAAATGACATAGGTCGCAAATTATGAAAAGTATCACAAATACCATTCACAAAAACACTTTTAAGAAATCAATAAAAAAACTTTATAACTGTGTTAAAAAGATTTGTTTACATCAGTAATTTTCACTTTTAAATATAATTTCATAGTTGAATACAGAAAATACCGTATGAACTAAGATATTTGTTGATAATAAATAAAAAAAAATTAAAGAAGTTGACATATGTTGTAGATACTTGATTGTTGACGTCTAGATGAACATGTCTTTTAATTTTATATTCGTTCGTTTATTCATTTGTTCGTATTGTAATAAAGAAATAATCCACCATTCATTGTAAAAAAAGAAATGACGAGATGTTGATATTGGTGTAATATGGTCTGTCTTTGAGTAATCCCCCTTGACTCTCGGCGACTTCTGTGAGAGCAGGAACTGAATATTAATGTTGTTGACAGACTAGCTGGTTATAATGGCGCCGCGCTGATGTATTGCAGCATTGCCACCGATGTTGCGCCAATTGCTGCTGATATATTGCGGCCTTGCTGTCGATGTTGCAGCAATTGATGTCGGCGTAGAGATAGCCCTTGACACCTATTAAGAAGAGGTTCGCATTTTTTTTATAAAGAATAAGAAAGAAAAAGTAGTAACAATAAAGATAAAGTACAATTTGTACAGTAAAACATATTGAAGAACAATTACAAGATTAATGTAAATTAACTGTTTACCGCCATCTTGGAGTGTAAAATAGCAGTACACAATCTGTTTAGTTCTTTGCCTAAATCTGCAAATTTCGGGACAAATTGGTAATTTTCAGGTGTAAGACTGTTTATTTGAATTCAGAAAAGTAAGTGATTTATTGCATTCTTGTACACTGTTTTAGAAAATACCAAATATTTATGTTTGTTCCAATCATTTTTTTTTTTCAACTTAGCCATTTAAGGGGAGATAGCTCTTAAAGTAAAAATATGTTTAAGAAAATTTAATTTTTTTACATGTAGCAAGAAAACAATATTGGTGACATCATTTTTTTATTTTTATTTTCTTAAATCATAATTATTATAAAATCTATCTTATATTTTATTTCAAAATTCTATCTCACAGGTTTATTTTTATTCACAAAAAGTGTTTTTTCAATTATAATCTATGCAAAATTGGGCAGTTTTGCACAACTTGTAGTTTTGAAAATAGTACGGTGAACCATACTTTTTATTATTATTTTTTTGGGGAAAAAAAGCATGGTAAAATCTACATCTTGGCAAAGTATAAGAAAATTCTATCTAAGGAAATATATATCAATGATCTACTTTTCAATTAATTTCTAATTATTAGAACAGCCAATACTTTTTTACATAACATTTGATTAATATTATATTAATTATAGTAATTATCTAAGTTTTATTTAACTTTACAAAAATACGCGAATACAAAGAATTGGAATTGTATTTTAAATCTTAACTATTTTAAAGTCATGAACTTACCTTTTAAGAAGAGGTTCGCATGTTGGCAAGCCAGCAGTAATTCGACATTATATAGTTGTACGCACTGATGCTATATGGCAAATATAGTACTGTCCATAAGAAGGGCTATTAAAGTTGATCGTTAGTTTATACTGAAATGTGAGTATTTTTTCTCGTATGTCTTTTTGTATAACGAGTCGCATATGTTTATATCATGTCCAAGGTTATATAACAAATGTTAATTTGATTCAAAACTTTACTCATTTGGGATTCGTTCTATCAACAGATTGTTAATAATTCAGTTGTACTATTCTTGCAATGATAAAGAAAGTGTCGGACTTTACAACTATACGTTGTATTAATGATATTGATCTCCCCAAAAGCCAAGTAATAGTTTCCGACATAGTTTGTGAGAAAGATTTATATAATATTTTGTCACAATATTCGTCCGTTTTTTACTCTTCGTATAATAAGTACAATATGCTGACATTTTAAATCATTTCAGAGATGGGTTGACATTATCCTTTCGATATTGACGATTTTCTGAACTGTAATTTTGATTTGGACTTAAATTATTCAAGGGGTATCATATACTATTTACAATATCAAAATTCCTTCAAATAATGAAATAGTTTCATAACATTATAAAATGATGTTAATAATAATATTAGAAAGTTCATTAATATCTAAATGATTATTTAATGTTTCATTCGTTAGTAATTTTAACAACATTATTTAAAGAAGGGCAATTGTTATTTCCGTAGAGCACAACATGTGGAAATGTCCTCTTTCTTTTGATAATTAGTGAAATGGTTTCAAAAATAGCATGTTTCAGCTAATAATGCTTATCCTCCTGTTCATTTTGATGATTCATTGACGCGAGAACACATATATAGAAAGTGACACTTCGTATATAAAATGACACAAAATCTGTAGATTGTTTACCGGTTTAAGCCGGTAACCAGACTGATTATAAACTTATTTCTTAACCATGATAATGCTACATCTTATAAAATTATCTATTTGCTACACGTCTGCAATTTAAAAAATCTGTTAAATTTTGCTGCATATTGATTTTAAAAATTGAAAAAAAATGTACATACAATATCTGACGCCCTTTCCGGTCACCAATTGGTTAGAGTGTTCCATAAAGTCCTCAGCATCATTTGAATTTTCTAAAAATATATCTATTTTCCTCAACTAAATATAACGTTTTTTTAAATTTATGTCTGTTCTGATTCAAATATTATTACAAAATTATTACTTTTTTTTATCAGAGGTCGTCTTGATATTTTGACCATGTATGTGCGGTCTACTCGGTTTATTCCCATTTAATTACATTGGAATGAAGTCCGTTTGAATGTGCCCAGTAACTTAATTTTTAAAGTATTAATCTTTACTGCAGATCAATCTTTTTTGGTATTTTTTTCCCAGAACTTCTCTGATCTAGCTGCATACATATACAGATAATTGTAATGTTCCCAAGCGGTATACAGCCTGTAGAAAAAGTAGTTGAAGTTGGTACTTGAGAAATTTTTCCGCATAACAAGTTTACAAAAAGCCTGCTTAGCTCGTCGTTTTCTTTATATGGAGGGAAATGATAACATTATATTGAAATTTTGTTTTTATTTAAATTTTCTTGTGAATTTATAATTAATAGCGTCCTTGCGAAAACGGAGCAAGCATTGACAAGATCAAGCTTTAAGTCTTTGCAGGGAGTTAATTTTTTGACACTAAATTCCCCACTGTACTGTTTTAATTCGTAGTTATTTGTTCGGGCTTATTGGAAATTAGTCTTGACATAATACATTTAAACGCGTGATGTCGGGTGTATCATATACTTATGGTGCAACGGTTCATCATTTTTTGTGTTTTTGTCTATTTTCTGCCTCAATTCACATATACATTTTTTCATATATGCAATGCGAAGCTGTTCGTCTAAATTAACTAGTAAAAGGATACATATAACTTACACACTCTTTTGAAAAATGAACATTTATACACTGTGTACTGTTGTGAGGAGATTTTGTTAGTCTATGTTTTATGCATTGCAGTATATCTGCACCAGGGCGCCGTATTACAACTGAATTAATACGAATCTATATTGCACCACAAAATAACATTATCTTTTGTCTTTTTGTTGTTTGTTTTGTGTTTAGTATTGGCATGATGAGCCAAGCCCTTTCAAAATGACTTTTCAATTTATTCTTTCTTCAAGTTGTAACACCACTGTCTAGGGTTAGGTTTAGGCAACAATAGTTTACAGATGTTCAAATATCATAAATCGAATAAGAAAATACAAATCAAGGTAAAAAATGGCAGGAATCGCATCAACTCAAGGGTGTGTCGACATATAAGACATCTCCTACTATTCGTGCATTACCCGCCAGTCAAATCCACACTCAGTGTCACAATAAGGATTAGGGCGCAACATAGAATCTGTAATCCAGTGGTTGGCGTAGGTTGCTGTCTGCCATATATAGTTTTCATTAATTGTCGTATAAATCAGGCTTTTTTTTAAAATTGTTTCACATTAAGTCATCCGAGGTCTTTTATGGCCAATCGCTTCGGTAGTATTGTGGTCGCGTGTTCTCCTCGAATGCGGGAGGTCGTAGGTTCGAACCCGTCCGGGTCAAACCAAAGACTTTAAAAATTGGTATTTGCTGCTTCTCCGCTACGCACGCGGTATTAAGGAGTAAGAGGAAAAACTGGTTGGTCAAATAATGTGCCCTGGTAGGCCAACATGTCTGAGGGTCTGGAAAGGGGGGTCTTTCGTTTCTGTATTCCTTATTTTTTTATTATTCATTTTGCTTTATCTTTAAAAATTACGCTTATTCTGTAATATTCTCATTTTACTATTGGATTAATTTGTTATTACATGATTTCTTTGTTCTGTACATGGATCATTTCTGTAATCAGTATTGTACAACCTAATTCTTTATTTTTTAACAGTAATGCTATTCTTTATTCTTTTGCACACCATTATTCTATATACCTTAATTTTTATCTCATTTTTCTCTATTATTTATTTCTGTGCTTATTTTTCTCTATTCATTATTTTTGGGCCATTATGCTCTATTCTGTAAACCCCGTCAAGACCCTCATATTTTCCTGTGAACTAGTACGTTAAAAATCCGGATCAGCGTGTCGGTCGAGTACAAAGTAGGGTTAATATTCATACATCATCATCATCATCATCTTTTTTTTTTACCTGAAAAAGTAGCAAAATGTAGTGCTGAAGTTCCACTTGTTTTCAAAAGTTGAAATGAAAATGTTTGTGACTGATTAATGGTACTGATTGACATGTTAACAAAAAAAATACAGAAAAGAAAAGAGTCAACACATTGGCAAAATAGATGTTTACAGACAGATGGACAAAAAAGACACTTCGTTATACTCCTAAAGGCTATTTCCAATCTATGAACAAGTGCATTTATCTGAAAAATAACAGGTAAAATACTTCAATTCAACCAATTCTCAAAGTCGATATCCTGCTTTAATCGTAGCAAATAACAAGTTTAAGTCTTTTTTATATTTCAGTACAGTTCAGAGCTTTTGGAATAAAACCATCACTGGATGTCGTTAAAGCTCCTATTGATGTCATTATATTTGTAAGTAAACAGTTCGATATATTTAACTTTTAATATATTGTGTTACTTCATTGAAGTGACCAATTGGTGTATATATATAGAGGTATGTAGGAAGGTAGCTGGTAACAGAATAGCGTTAATATTTTAAATCTTTAGTTAGTTCAAGCTAACGATATTTGTAAAATTAATAAAAAAAACATTCTGTCTTGCTTTTCCTTCATATAAGTTTGATAAAAGGAGGAGCTACTTAAAAAACAATTGGTCCCGTAAGACACAGAGCTGTGTTCTTCAGGGGACAGATTTACGTGCTCGACGGGACATTCACGAGACAGATTTACGTGCTCGACGGAACATTCAGGGAACAGATTTACGTGCTCGACGGGACATTCAGTGGATAGATTTACGTGTTCGACGGGACATTGTTCAGTGGACAGATTTACGTGCTCGACGGAACATTCAGTGGACAGATTTACGTGCTCGACTGGACGTTGAAAGGACAAAATGATATACGACGAATAGAAAATACACCAAAAAACTACATAGAAAAAGACTGTGCAACACGAACCCCATTAAAAACTGGGGGTACTTATGGAATGTAATGTATGTGATATGTCGATCACGATATGTAAGTTAAACGTTTGGAGAAAATTGTGAATTATAGATGAAGAAAAAAAGCGACATTTTCATTTTGCATAATTTGATAAAGGCATTCCTAAAAATAGTTTATATGTTTTTGTATCAATGATGCATGAACGAAATAAATCATGTTCTTTTTCTATAAACTAAATAACACTTTTACATCCTTGCAGGGATATTTGCAATATTGAATATTGTTGCATTAGTCCTTTGATTATAGCCATATTTTGTTGTATGTCTACTTAATTTTGTATACACATACAGCTTGTAAAACTCTTTTTGCTCTCCGTATTTTCGTAGTTGTGAATTTGAGTCATAACGGTACATTTTCTTATTTCGTACATTACAAAAGTCACAAGTTAAGTTAAATTATTTTATGGATATTTTGTAGGATCCTCTAGGTAATAGAGTCAAACAATATTTGAAATTACAAGAAGAATATGGCGTTGTATCTGGTTTCTTACAATTATCACCGGAAACACATCTTGGTAGATGGGCTATAGAAATGAACCAGATGGTATGTAATCATGTACACAATGTACATGTTTTAAATGCAACAATCTTGGTAAACATCTCGCATAAAACTGAAACCTTGTATATATTCGTAAATGAAAATAATGGTTAATTAATATCGTGTGTACGAAGCGCTTTTCATCAGGAACGTACAAACCTAATCATTTGAAAGCCAAAGATGTTTATAGAACGTGTAGAACTATATGACCATAAATAACCTAAAAAAACAGCATAATTATCTAAGGCCAAGGTTGCCTGAGGTAGTTGGAACCTTGGTTACTTAAAATAATTTATGAATTAATCGACGGAGAATCTAAGATAAAGGTACCCTCGGAGACTAACATTCAGCCACCAGTGGCATCGACTTAATACTGGTATGAAGAGGCCATTTTTTACCCTTGTAATGAAAAATTAAGAAGTATCATGAAATGTATCAAATGATAGTCGTCAGAGACTTTGATTTAGAAATATTTTTTGTATAGTTTTCAAGAGTTACAACCCTACCACCGAATTTCACAACAAAGTCACAACAAAGTATATATCTTAGTATAAAACAGCATGAACAGTGCCAATATTAATAGGGTCCTTCTTTTTTTTTTTATACATTTTACAAAATATCATTTTAAGCATTTGTAGAACTTATATTCCAATTGTGTTCGAATAAGTATAAAATTATATATTACAAACAGGGACAAAAGAAAAGAGAATACATCGAAGTGAAAGAATACGGTAAATTAATAGTGGTGTTGCCTATACCTCATTTTGCTTTTATAAACTTAAGTTACCAGAAAAACTTGAAAAATGACTTAAAATTGAAATTTACAACTCTGTTGTTAGGGGTGCTTATAAAATTTGAAAACACGAAAAACAAAAATAACACAACAAAGAGTTGGGACCAAATTCCACTGAATTACTTCCTTGTTCATTTTCAATCTTTTTTAATTTTTTTTTAAATTCACAGTTTCACTCCCTCATTATTTATTATTGAAAGAACTAACAACACAATATCTTTTCTAACGTGCAACAACTAATTATCATTGCTTTTTTACGATAATAACATTAACTATATAATGAAACTTTATAGTGTTGCCAAAATTTAACGTTGAAGTGTCGGTACTCGGAGAAAATTTTGTGCAAGATGACTTTGTTACTGTGAGAGTAACCGCAGCGTAAGTACTATTCTAATGATATTATATACGAATGCATTGACATTGATCTAGACTCAGGGTGATGAAGAGCTCGACATATTGAACAGATACTTTTTTTTATTGTTTATGATTCAATGAAACCTCTAAAGTCTTTCGTATTGTTTTACATTGGATTGCTGTCTCAATCGTTGATATACTTGAACCCTTCTCGATTACATCTTCGGTAGACCAATGAAGTACTACACAACAGTTTAAGTGCAATAATGATGTTGATATAAACAAAATACTAGTATAAATATAACCATTCCTAGTTTGCTCCGTATTCCTGTTTTGTATGTTGTTATTGTATATATATTTTTTTTTGGGGGGGGGGGGGGGGGGAGTCAAAAGGTTCCGAAACTTATCTATACTTAACTGATGAAGTCGAATGATGAAATGAAATGCAAGTGGAAGGATAACTAATGTCGAGATATAATAACACTTTTGCTTACCTATAGATACACATTTGGAAAGCCAGTAGAAGGATATGTGTTTCTCAACGTAACTCGTACCTGGAGAGAAAGAGATAGTTTATTTGTAAAGTATCAAAAGGTATTGTTTAGTTATTTTTTTTATTATATTCTAAGATTTTATTTTATTTGATAACACAATTCTTCACTGGACTTATAAGTGTTATAGGTTGGTTAATTTTTCCTCAATTAAGGAACAGATTTATCCTTTGAAATTGAATTCTTCTTTATGCGGTACGCTGTGATAGTTCATTCCTTAACATTTTGTTATGATTTATTTCATGTTGGGCATTACCTTATCATTATTGTAAAAATAAATATGAATTAATTTTTGTAAATTTTTACTTTCTCGATGTTTCCTAGTGTTAGATTGGAAAAAAATAATTGTATTCAAAATTGATTTTGACATAATACAAGAAAGAATTTCAGACTGAGCAATCAATCAATAGGATTAACTATGGCACCAAAGACCATGAGTATAACAGAAAAATAAAGGATAAGAGGTATCCATCCATGACACAAAATCAGTACAGCAAAAAACATACAAAAAGTGCGTGTATTGCTGTTCTTCATCTGAAAGTCATGTATGTTTTATTTAACAAAGATGATGATTGCAAAACCTTGCATTAGTTGACATCAAATAAGTGAATCGTCTGATATGATATATCTTATGAAGATAATATTATGTTTTAACAAAAATATGACAAATTAGATTCAATTATATAAGGCAGGGAACATAGTTTTTCAAACAGTGACGCTATATATGATTTTTCCAACCATTCATGAGAGTTAAGTAAATGGTGTTTTGAAGGACAAGTTGTTTATCATATCCAAAAGGTCTGCATTTTCCAGTGAGAGTTAATGATATTCCTTTGTATATCTTATTGAAATATTAATCTATATATATATACTTTTAATTTATTGACTATCACTGATATGTTTTTTTCTCTCAGATAAACGGGAAAGTTGATATCAAAATTCCAATGTGGTCCCTTTATCCTGTGTTTGGAACTTACTACAAACTCTTCGTAAAAGTGAACGAAACTGTGACTGGAAAGGAAGCAAATGATACAACAAATTTACAACTATATACCTACAAACATAAAGTCGTGTTCTCACAGAGTATGCCTTATACCTTTAAACCTGGACTTAAATATACAATCATTGTAAGTACAGGATGCATATTGTAGATGTTAATTAGACTTTAGTACTATCAATTGACTAAATACTTGTTCTAAAATTTATATGATTTCTACCATGGCACCTTGCATGTGATCTGTTTTTAGCTTAAGACTTCAATGTCATATGAAAGCTTTTCTTACACACCCTACATTACACAAAAATATATGTATCCTTGTCAGCTAACGTTTGGATAGAAAATAGAAGTTCTAAAAATTAAAGGAGGAAAATAAAAACATAACACGACAGTTAAGGTAAAGTTTATTCTACAAGAGGTAGATGAATTTCGGACATTATTGAATATACTTCCAATACCTTTGTAGGCAAATAATTTCTGTAAATTTCAGCACTCAACCGACCCTCCCTATCGATTGAAAATTTTTAGGAAAAGCATAAAGCAAAAACAGCTATCTGTGTTTTCGTTTGTGTCAAGCTCAATGCGTTAAGCGTAAGGTGTGACCAAAATAGTGTTTTGAAAGAAACGGTAGATATATTCATTTACATTTTATAGCAGTGCACCATTTTATGAAAATGAACATCAATACAATAATTCCTTTGTCGACGATATCAGAGATGCATTTAAAGACAGACAAGTATATACCAATAGATTTGAAAGGAGGTGTGGGATAAACGTTAATGTGTGAAGAAGATATTCTATAAGCATATTTATATTGTATTGTTAGCTCTACTGGACAAAAATCTTCTCCTCTCAAACTACTAAGCCAAACTTAACCAAACTTGACCACAATCATTATTGGGGTATCTAGTTTATAAAATGTGTCCGACGACCCCGCCTGCCAACCAACATGGCCACCATGGCTAAAAATAGAACATAGGGGTAAAATGCAGTTTTTGGCTTATATCTCTGAAACTAAAGCATTTAGAGAAAATCTGAAATGGGGGTAAAAATGTTCATCAGGTTGAGATCTATCTGCCCTGAAATTTTAAGATGAATCAGGCAACCCGTTGTTGGGTTGCTGCCCCTGAATAAGTAATTTTAAGGAAATTTTACAGTTTTTGGTTATTATCTTGAATATCATTATAGATAGAGATAAACTGTAAATAGCAATAATGTTCAGCAAAATACAAAGTAAGATCTACAAATAAGTCAACAAGACCAATATTGTCAATTGACCCCTAAAGGAGTTATTGCCCTTTAAAGTCAATTTTTGACAATTTTTCGTATATGTTTGTAATCTTTTACAAAAATCTTCTTCTCTGAAACTACTGAGACAAAATTTAACCAAACTTGGCCACAATCATCATTAGGGTATTTTGTTTAAAAAATGTGTCCGATGACCCCACGTGCCAACCAACATGGCGGACAAGGCTTAAAATAGAACAAAGGGGTAAAATGCAGTTTTTGGCTTATAAATCTGAAACTAAAGCAAAAGCATAATGGTTGCATTATCTTATGCATCAATTGTAAACAAAAATAGCAGGTGAGCGACACAGGCTCCTTTTAGCCTCTAGTTATCTTAAGTTAACTTTTTTACTAGTTTGTTTTTCTTTAGATGAGGATAGAAAAGTCAGACGGAAGTAGCATCGGAACACCACCGGGTACTGTCAGAATGATCATAACTTATGATTTTATCGTCAAGATCAAAAAGAGATCATTAAATCAATCTAGAAAGACCGAAATCTTCTTTACAAAAACAATTGACGTTGACAAATCTGGAGTTATAATTCAACAAGTTTTATTTCCTAAACTTGCAGTGAATTGCAGAATTTATGTGAGTACCAATTTGTTCCTAAATCAAAGGCAAATATCCAATGCTTATATAAACGTTTTATAATTGAGATGAATAAAACAATAAAACATTTGTTTTTATTTCATTTTTGCAGTAAAAAGCCGATGAATTTCTCTTTTGAATTGTTACACATTTTGTCATACAGGGGCGAATGTTGATGGTATGGGCTATTCATTGTTTTGAAGGCCTTAGGATTGTGTGTAATTGTTGCATCTTTGCCTTTGTTTTTAATTGATTTGTCGCATTGACAAGCCTATAAAATCTTCTTATTTCTATATTACTAGTACTTGATTTTTTAACGATTACTGCGTTTTCCTTCTCTTAGCTGTTCTGAACTTTGTTTGTGGATTTTTGAAACATTGGATTTTCACAAACGGTTATTTGAATATTTGTGTCCGAGGGGGACATAACAACACAAATCAAAGTACTGAAGTACTGAACATCGGATGACCGCAAGTTCTTGTGGATGGTCAAAAGCACTTGTCTCAGAAAAAAATCACATCTCTATACCTGAAACTGAGATTAATGTACATAGATATATTTTTTTCTGAGACAAGTTCGTGCGTGGATGATGAATAAATGACTGGAAATTCAACCTCACCGTAATAACTATTATATTGTAGTGATACAAATCAGTATACACTGGTTTGTTGTTATGTATTATATTAATATAACAGTTACATGTATATATAATTTTCATCCATTTGTACATCATTCTATTCTACTATTCTGATAATAGTGCAGTGCAAGTGCATGGTGGACACTCTTCGATTTTTCTAAAAGATCGGATATGAGTAGGCATTCATATTTTCCCGCAAAAAGCAAACTTTCATGCAGAGTTACCGGTCCTTGCGGGGATTGCCGCAAAACGTTCTTGAGATATTCTTCCGCATGCGTTAACGCAATTTTTCGGTACTTGTGCATAGATATTATCAATGATTTTTTGCTTATACATATATATCTAACGACAAAACATTTTCATATTATTAATTTATGTTCTAAACAAAAATATTTTTATCAGTATTCATTGAAGAGATGTATTTATAACAAACGATAAGGAATGTCACTTTTGCACTCCTTAATGTCTGCGTATTTATCATGTTTATAGATCGGTTACAAACCCAACACGAAAGTTACGTAATGGAAATCTAGGCGATAGCAATACATCGGAATGCCCTCACGGTCATCGCGATGTAAAAATCAAAAAGGAAGTAGAACTGTTCATGGAATTTTGCGTTTGGTAATAAATACGATAAATTGAAACAAAAAGTAACATGTAGCAACGGAATAATTCAGACCGGGATTGGGGGAGGCAAAAAGTAACAACAAAATTACTAGGTAAATGGAACTATTCAGGGAATTGCAGTTGTGTTTGTAATTGACCTTTCCAATTATTTAGATGTACGTTTTGTGAAAAGATGTGAGGAAATAATGTTGTTTAATACATTTGTAGGTTGTATACAATGGGCGATATCTGAGTTCTAAGTCTATATCAAAAGCAACCTCACCAAGCAATAACTATATCCAGGTTAGAAAGAGGAGAGAACGGTCAAGTGTACAGGTTTGTTGTGTCTATATATATAGATGCAAATGGTAGAAAGAAATAAGTTATATAATACACATATGAATAAAAGGAGGTTTAAGTAATTCACCAGTGAGGCAACAACCCAATAAAAAAGACATCTAGAGGGCAAAATACAGTCCTAGAAACATATATATGTGCTTTAACAGTACGTAAAGCTCCAAATCCCAAATCTATTAACTCGCTGGTGAACAAAACATACATGAGACAAAACATATAAAAACACATGTATCCAAGGAGAAGTTGTTCCATTTAAAGTTTACTGAAAATATTATACAATGAGTAGAGCTTCCGTGTGGCGACAGATAAAGCATCAACATGATCTTATCTGTATTCACAATAACACGATTATTAATTGGTGTAATAAAAAAGGTTTTGCACTTTCAAAATTATCATTTGACCTATTGATATTATGCAAAACATAGCCTCTTTACTAATAAGAGTAATGCATAAGTCACACGACTCGTGTGTGATATTTCTACAAACGATGTCATGTAAAATATTATTATTTTTCGTTTTTGATTTAATTGTTAACCTGTTTTTAGCCGGGAAGGAAGTTACAGCTTACAGTTCAAGTTACAGAGCAAATACGTTCTTGTTACTATAAAGTAAGATATATATATCTAAAAAAAGAGATGTGGTATGATAGCTAATGAGACAGATGTCCACTTAAGGACAAAGATGTGAATAACTACAGACCATCTTACGGCCTTCAATAATGAAAAGAAACGCAAAAGTAAAAAGCGGATTTCTATATGGGAAACAGTTCCAATGAGAAAAACTAACGGCATAACTTTTACTAAAACAATACACGAAAAATAACTATTTCAGACACCAACCAACGACAACCACGGGATTACAGGCACATGACTTGGGACAGGCATATTAGGAATGTTAAGGGGGGAATGTTACGTTTGTGAGCGCTTAATCCTGAGGCTCCCCTACACTAAGACAGTTTGACTCATGGGAGATGAATTGACTCATGCGAGATAACTTTGACTCATGCGAGATGATTTAACTCGTGCGAGATGATTTTACTAATGCGATAGGTTCTAAACACGAAAACGATTTACATCTCTAAGAATAGTTTTAGTAGAATATGTTTAGTTTGTCTCCTTCACCAAGCCATGCCAGCTTCAATGCATGATACTTCCTAACGTAACGGGGTTGCTGCAAGTAAGAGACGGGATCATAAGTTATAATCAGCTTCATGTAGCACCAATAATAAAAATAAGAAACTAGAGACGGACATGTTGATAACTTAGTACATTACGCCCCGACTCACTAAGTATACATGTAGAATGCTCGTTGCCTTTGTTATTTTCCGTCCGTATACGTTAATCCCCGACTCACTGAGTATACATGTAGAATGATCGTTGCCTTTGTTATTTTCCGTCAGTATACATTAATCCCCAACTCACTAAGTATATATACATGTAGAATGATCGTTGCCTTCGTTTTTTTCCGTCAGTATATATTAATTCCCGACTCACTAAGTATACATGTAGAATGATTGTTGCCTTTTGTTATTTTCCGCCTGTACGCCTTGATATTTTCTGGTTCTTTATTTGGGAATTCTTTTTTGTATACAAACAGAAGTATTTATTGTAAAAACAAGGACTTAACAAGGAAATGTGCTTGAAATTCTGTGCTATAAAGTAATGTATATACAATTGTAAATGTAGGTTTTTTCCAGAGGAACAGTTGTACAGCAAGGGATATTCAAAATGCATCGGTTATCAAGGAAACAAACTATACGTGTTACTCATGAAATGACTCCATCATTTAAAATACTCGTTTACTATGTGAGACGATATGGAGAGGTTGTTGCTGATGCCGTAACATTTTCAATAAAAGAAATCTTCAGGAATAAAGTAAGTGTTTTCAAATGAAAGCAGAACACTAAGGCCATCATGTTTTAAACGTTATTATATTTTAACTGAGTGTAAATTCTTATATCGGTTGTAGTATGCATAGCAGTCTGACGACGCATGCGTACTCACTTTTTTTCTCTTTTACCTTGATTTGTTTCTTCTTATTTTTTTTATTTACGATATCTTACTGTCAGTTACCTACTATTGCCTGGTAAATTATGCGGGTTTTGTGTCTCTTGAATGATGATCTACGTTAAAGATATTCATCGGTTTACCAATTAGCATGATAACAAGTAATTGCCATATATGATTAGTTATAACAGATACTATATAAGATATTGAGAGCAGACACTGAACTTCTAAACCACTTTATGCATGTATCATTATTACCAGCTTATGCATTCTAGTATTTCTCCTAATAGAGAAAAAAATATATAATCTAAGACGTTTGTTTTTGTAATTTCCAACTGATTATATAAAAATACAAAAAATATAAACGATGTATACGAAGAGAATATATTAAATTCAATAAGATATTTCTTACATATAACTTTGCCATTAATTTATCGATGTAGGTGACCATGAAATTTGATAAGAAAGTTGTTGAGCCAGGTAATCCAGTGATATTAGAAGTCAAAGCTGACCCAGGGTCACTGGTTAATATCTTAGCTGTCGACAAAAGTGTATTGTTACTTGGGAGTGCAAATGATATCACAGCCAACAATGTAAGTGAAATATTTGAACGTCTATCACAACTAACATTCCTCGTACTTTTAGAGGAAGCTACTCAATCAATTTTTGTGTGCTTACTAATCTGTAAAGTGGTGTCTAACTAACATGCATCAATCTGGCTTTCAAATTTTCGGCTTTGGGCATTCCTGATGAAGGTAAATCCAGAAAAGTGCTTCGGATGCATAAAACTGATAGTGTTATTTTCATTGTTAAACAAACTGATTCAATTAGTACAATAAGTCATTCAAATGAACAAAACATGAGTCCAACATACGGTTTTAAGGTACTAGTGCCCGCCTTAAACTTGCAATGACGGGTGAGAGTTTATTTTTATTTTATTTCTTTTTTTTACTCCGTGTTGAAGAGCTCACTATGACTTTGAGAAGAAGATCAGCAATAAAAGCGCTGTTCCTTTGCTTTATGTGTCTTTTGCTCTGAATATACTGATTTTGTGTCAAGGATGGATACCCAATATCCTTTCTTTTCTATTAAAATAATAAACAATTATATGTATAACCTGTCAAGTCTAAAATTGCTTCGAGTCCAGGAAACTTCGGAATTAATTCAAAAGAGACTATAATTATAGATCTGCCTTCAACACCATTTGCCTGTAAGAAACCGACCATTCATCTAATACAGGTGGGCGTTGGTATTTTCTCAGGAAACACAACGTTTTAAACTTACAAAAAAACTATTGTTTTCAATAACATATATAAACAAATAATTTTTTTTTCTAGAAACTTAGAATCAAACACTTCATTTTGACAAAATCCTACCCCTTCTTTTCTCCTTCCAAAGATTAGTGGTCGGTGCGTAATAATTACACTTCCCAGCTCAAGTTGTCCTAGTGGTCTTTTGTAATGCACATAATGCAATTTTCCGGTTAGTGTGTCAACAATATAACCAATTCAGCTATCCAAAGCAATGTAATAGTATTCATTGGCTAGACAAATGTGCGTGTCCTGCAAATAAAAACGACAACAGAGGTGTACATTTGGAGGTTAGAGATGATATTAGAATACATGTAGCTCTTATTTTCATTTTTAATTTCATTTTCTAACTTTGATTTATTATCATATTCTGTAATTTTGCAGGTACTAAAAGAGTTACAGAGGTTTAAAAATACAAGATTGCCCCTTCTTAAGGAGGACTGGGATTCAATAGTTTCAGTCGTGGACAGCGGAGTTGATTCAAACACCGTGTTCTCTGTATGTTATTAGTTTAATTTCAAACTTGGTGCATTTATACCTTTTACATGATACTAATGGTCGAAAAAAATTTACAAATTCAAAAGTAGTGAAGTTATAGAAGTTTATATGCACAATCCCTGTCTTCAAATTGTTACTTACAAACTCTATGATTTTAGTTTCACTATTGCCAACGTAACCATCATTGAGTAGAAACCTATCATCAAATGCTATGGCGATGATTTCAGTTTATAAAGTATACTAGTTAATAGGGCATATTCTGATGATGGCAATTTCAGTAGCACACTTGCTCAAAAAAGCTATTAGTAAGAGCAATAAGATATATCAATAATCATATTCTTGAAAATCGGTAAAATACCTTTGTATTTTACGTGACATTTACAAGATTTATTCTGGTTGGTATGATACAGTAACTCCAATCATCATTATATAATTTAGCACATGAATGGGGAAAAGTGAGAGTAGGTTTCGCCTTCCTTTTTTTAGTCTTGAATGGGCGTCAAAGGAGAAGTGAGAGTAGATTTCACTTTCCTTTTTTTAATCTTGAATGGGCGTTAAAGGAGAAGAGAGAGTATGAGGTTTAACCTTCCTTTTTAAATCTTGAATGGGCGTTAAATGAGAATTGAGAGTAGGTTTCACCTTCCTTTTTTTTTTATCTTGAATGGGCGTTAAAAGAGAAGAGAGAGTAGGTTTCACCTTCCATTTTTTTAATATTGAATGGGCGTTAAAGGAGAATTGAGAGTAGGTTTAACCTTCCTTTTTTAATCTTGAATGGGCGTTAAAGGAGAAGAGAGAGTAGTAGGTTTAACCTTCCTTTTTTAATCTTGAATGGGCGTTAAAGGAGAAGAGAGAGTAGGTTTCACCTTCCATTTTTTTAATATTGAATGGCCGTTAAAGGAGAATTGAGAGTAGGTTTCACCTTTCTTTTTTTATCTTGAATGGGCGTTAAAGGAGAATTGAGAGTAGGTTTCACCTTCCTTTTTTTAATCTTGAATGGGCGTTAAAGGAGAAGTGAGAGTAGGTTTAACCTTCCTTTTTTTAATCTTGAATGGGCGTTAAAGGAGAAGAGAGAGTAGGTTTCACCTTCCATTTTTTTAATATTGAATGGGCGTTAAAGGAGAAGTGAGAGTAGGTTTAACCTTCCTTTTTTTAATCTTGAATGGGCGTTAAAGGAGAAGAGAGAGTAGGTTTGACCTTCCTTTTTTTAATCTTGAATGGGCGTTAAAGGAGATGAGAGAGTAGGTTTCACCTTCCTTTTTTTAATCTTGAATGGGTGTTAAAGGAGAAGAGAGAGTAGGTTTCACCTTCCTTTTTTTAATCTTGAATGGGCGTTAAAGGAGAAGAGAGAGTAGGTTTAACCTTCCTTTTTTTAATCTTGAATGGGCGTTAAAGGAGAAGAGAGAGTAGGTTTCACCTTCCTTTTTTAATCTTGAATGGGCGTTAAAGGAGAAGTGGGAGTAGGTTTAACCTTCCCTTTTTATCTTGAATGGGCGTTAAAAGAGAGGTGAGAGTAGGTTTCACCTTCCTTTTTTTTAATCTTAAGTGGGCGTTAAAGGAGAGGTGAGAGTAGGTTTAACCTTCCTTTTTTAATCTTGAATGGGCGTTAAAGGAGAAGAGAGAGTAGGTTTCACCTTCCTTTTTTTATCTTGAATGGGCGTTAAAGGAGAAGAGAGAGTAGGTTTCACCTTCCTTTTTTTATCTTGAATGGGCGTTAAAGGAGAAGTGGGAGTAGGTTTCACCTTCCCTTTTTATCTTGAATGGGCGTTAAAGGAGAATTGAGAGTAGGTTTCACCTTCCCTTTTTATCTTGAATGGGCGTTAAAGGAGAAGAGAGAGTAGGTTTCACCTTCCTTTTTTTAATCTTGAATGGGCGTTAAAGGAGAAGTGAGAGTAGGTTTAACCTTCCTTTTTTAATCTTGAATGGGCGTTAAAGGAGAAGTGGGAGTAGGTTTCACCTTCCCTTTTTATCTTGAATGGGCGTTAAAGGAGAAGAGAGAGTAGGTTTCACCTTCCTTTTTTTATCTTGAATGGGCGTTAAAGGAGAAGAGAGAGTAGGTTTCACCTTCCTTTTTCAGCTCACCTGGCCTGAAGGGCCAAGTGAGCTTTTCTCATCACTTGGCGTCCGTCGTCCGTCGTCCGGCGTCGTCCGGCGTCGTCCGTCGTCGGCGTTAACTTTTTACATTTTGAACTTTTTCTAGAGAACCACTGAATGGAATGAAACCAAACATGGCATGAATGTTCCTTATGAAGTGCTGACCAAGTGTTGTTACTTTGAAGCCGATCCATAATCCAAGATGGCTGCCAGCGGGGGACTTAGTTTAACATGGGACCCTATGGGAAATACATACAAATGTCTTCTTTTAGAGAACCACTGAATGGAATAAAAGCAAACATGGCATGAATGTTCCTTATGAGGTGCTGACCAAGTGTTGTTACTATGAAGCTGATCCATAATCCAAGATGGCCACCAGCAGGGGACTTAGTTTAACATAGGACCCTATGGGAAATGCATACAAATGTCTTCTTTTAGAGAACCACTGAATGGAATGAAACCAAACATGGCATGAATGTTTCTTATGAGGTGCTGACCGAGTGTTGTTACTTTGAAGCCAATCCATAATCAAAGATGGCTGCCAGCGGGGGACTTAGTTTAACATAGGACCCTATGGGAAATACATACAAATGTCTTCTTTTAGAAAACCACTGAATGAAATGAAACCAAACATGGTATGAATGTTCCTTATGAGGTGCTGACCGAGTGTTGTTACTTTGAAGCCGATCCATAATCCAAGATTGCCGCCAGCGGGGGATTTAGTTTAACATGGGACCCTATGGGAAATACATACAAATGTCTTCTTTTAGAGAACCACTGAATGGAATAAAAGCAAACATGGCATGAATGTTCCTTATGAGGTGCTGACCAAGTGTTGTTACTATGAAGCTGATCCATAATCCAAGATGGCCACCAGCAGGGGACTTAGTTTAACATTGGACCCTATGGGAAATACATACAAATGTCTTCTTTTAGAGAACCACTGAATGGAATGAAACCAAACATGGCATGAATGTTTCTTATGAGGTGCTGACCGAGTGTTGTTACTTTGAAGCCGATCCATCATCCAAGATGGCCGCCTGCAGGGGACTTAGTTTAACATGGGACCCTATGAGAAATACATACAAATGTCTTCTTTTAGAGAACCACTGAATGGAATGAAACCAAACATGGCATGAATGTTCTTTATGAGGTGCTGACCGAGTGTTGTTACTTTGAAACCGATCCATAATCCAAGATGGCCGCCAGCGGGGGACTTAGTTTAACATGGGACCTATGGGAAATACATACAAACGTCTTCTTTTAGAGAACCACTGAATGGAATGAAACCAAACATGGCAAGAATGTTCCATATGAGGTGTTGATCAAGTGTTGTTACTTTGAAGCTGATCCATCATCCAAGATGGCAGCCAGCGGGAGACTTAGTTTAACATAGGACCCTATGGGAAATACATACAAATGTTTTCTTTTAGAGAACCACTGAATGCAATGAAACCAAACATGGCATGAATGTTCCTTATGAGGTGCTTTCCAATTGTTGTTACTATGAAGCCGATCCATAATCTAAGATGGCCGCCAGCGGAGGACTTAGTTCAACATAGGACCCTATGAGAAATACGTACAAGTGTTTTCTTTTAGAGAACCATTGAATGGAATGAAACCAAACATGGCATGCATGTTCCTTTTGAGGTGCTGACCAAGTGTTGTTACTTTGAAGCTGATCCTTCATCCATGATGGCTGCCAGATGTGGACAATGTTTAACAAAGGACCCTATGGACAATACATACAAATGTCTTCTTTTAGAGAACCACATACTGAATGGATTGAAACCAAACATGGCATGAATGTTCCTTATGAGGTGCTGACTAAGTTTTGTTACTTTGAAGCTGATCCCTCATCCATGATGGCCGCCAATGGGGGGACTTCCTTTAACATAAGACCCTATGGGAAATACATACAAATGCTTCTTCTAGAGGTGCACTGAATGGAATGAAACCAAAACATGGCATAAATGTTTTTTATGAGGTGCTGATTAAGTGTTGCTACTTTGTTGCCGATTTACTGTTCAAGATGGCCACCAGGATTTTTTATTAAATTACAGGACCAATATTAAACCAAATTTGGCCTCACTCATTATTAGGGTATCTGTTATGATTTTAATCTATTTTTACATGATTTCCAAAACCAAAGTAGAATCAGGTGAGCGACACAGGCTCTTGAGAGCCTCTAGTTTAATCTTGAATGGGCGTTAAAGGAGAAGAGAGAGTAGGTTTCACCTTCCTTTTTTTAATCTTGAATGGGCGTTAAAGGAGAAGAGAGAGTAGGTTTCACCTTCCTTTTTTTAATCTTGAATGGGCGTTAAAGGAGAAGAGAGAGTAGGTTTCACCTTCCTTTTTTTAATCTTGAATGGGCGTTAAAGGAGAAGTGAGAGTTAAGGCTTCACCTTCCTTTTCTTGATTTCGGGATTCATTGTTTATGTTTAGATATTGGTCCAAAACGTTCTGATTGCAATTTTTTACGTGTTTATTTTCATACGATAATTAAACAAATATTCCACAGGAGAATGCTTTTTGGAACATGTATCTACATTCTGAAAACTTATTTGAAGGGATATTTTCACGGTGGTGAATGTTTATCTTTGAAAACTGTTTTCTGAAGTCACGATGTAATTGCGGTATGTTAAAATTTAAGAAAAGCTTGCTTTCATGACGTTTCCGAACTTATGTTTTAGGTCAGTATTCTTGTGTCAATTAACAGAAAGTACATACACGTTCTCATTGTTAAAGGTGCTTTCTTTGAAATCCACGCTTAACTTGTTAAGGTTTATAGGAGCATATATGTAAGATATCTGAAGATTCCTTACTTTTTTTTTAAATCAACTAGATAAATTAGTTTTTATAAGTGAAATTCCTTTCAAACTCGTTGAACTGCATCTGAATATCACCGATACTTCCAGATATACTATCAATCAAAAATTTGTGAAATAGGTCTATAAATATGTAGAATGTACAAAATACCACACAGTTATTTTCCATTTTTCTATTTCAAGTTCAAATGTTAGAACTATACGTTAGGATAGGCTGTTTTCGGAATCTTCATCAATGCTCTTCAACTTCGTACTTTATTTTGGCCTTTTTAACTTGTGTGATTCGAGCGTCGCTGACGAAACGCGCGTCAGGCGTACAAAATTTTAGTCCTGGTATCTATGAGTTTAATCACACTGAAAGTATCAAAACTAATTAATAATAAATTGGTATATATGTACATGTTAAGCAGAACATTTAAACATACATTGTTTTTTGGAATGTTACAATTAATTAAACAAAACTGAGAGGTCATGATGTTAATTTGAATACCACACGACCATTAATGAATGAATGTAACACAATGCGTTTTTATTCTTGAAAGTATCTGCTTGAACAAAAATGTTGTTTTATGTCTTATAGAATAGCGGTGTATATGTTTCGACAGATTGTCTGTTGATTGGACGTAGAAGTAAGTTATAAATAACAGTTATTGAATTTATACAAATGACGACGTTTATACTAAAATGTTCGTAACCACAATTCCGTCCTCTGTTCCTCGAATGTGACATTACCGAATAAGGGTTACCACCGAATTTATAATGACACCTTTCTTATGTCAGGAACCTCGTAAGTGGTTGCCATGTCGTCTAATACATTTTAATGGTGTTTTGTTTTGTTTTGTACTTTTATTAATTAATTTATAATTTATTAATTTTTGTAATTTGGTGGTGATAAGTCTTTGTTTTATCATCTAAATCCTTTTAAGACTCCCGGGGAGGGGGAGCGTAGAACTTTATATTTCGATCGTAATAACACCTGTCTATTGTTAACGACCGTTTTGTTCTTTAAGACAGACGGACGGATACCATCAACATACTAATGTATACACAGGCCAGAGTGCAAAAAAATGCAAAAAAAAAACATTTTGCAAATAAAACATTTGACATAAAAGTTCATAATTAATATGAAATTATAATACATAATTAATAAGAAATTGCATCAACTAAAATCATATCAATTGAATAAATGACAAAGAATAGCAAAGGTGGGGAGAAAAATCTGCCCCACTAATAAGCATATATACATATCTTCTTCTAAAGATAAAATTAAGGGAGGTATGCGGGTGGGAATTTTTCACAAATTGTTTGATAATAATTACAAGTTAACAAGTCAAAAGCTGATGATAAAAGAAATTGCCTACAGAGCACATACACGTGAACCCGTGCTGACACCACAAGATCATTGACCAATAAGAAAGATGTAATCCAATCACTGGTCATTAGTGAAATTTCTCTACACGTGAAAACATGTTATATAATTTCAACAATTTATCGTTTAATTAAGTATGACACATCTGACCCATTGTCCAGTACAGAGACATCATAATATTTACAGTATAAATAGCTCCCTCTTATTTTAAGTCTGAGTAATAAAGAATACAGAATTAATCTTCCCTGCTGTCTTAAATTATTTTATTCAGCTTTTCGTTTAGCAAATGAAATTGGTTATCTTCTTGTCTCTGTTTTTTTGTGTCATTGGTTTTTCTCTGTCATTGATGTACTATACTTCAAATTCCCTTTTATTCATACAAAAAGGAAATTTATTATGTTTCATTCTATCGCAACCGATTTGGGAGAATCCTTTTATAAACCGTATGATTTTCGACCTGTCAAACGAAAGGTTTGAAGCTATATTGTTGCTTTATTAATACTTCAGTTGTATAAATGTTGACATTTTGACGGTACAAAACATCTTCAAATAGAACAGATTGACTTTGTTAAATAAAAAAAAGACTATTGAGAAAACTTATACGATGGCTCCCAATTTCTTTAAATGCGCTAAAATTACAATAGACATAGAAATAATATAACAGCAACACTAATAGATTAATAACAGCTTTACAAATTGAAATTTATATCCTAGTAACCGTAACTGACAACATATGTAAGACAATTAGGAATAGTTTATAGACAACATATGTAAGACAGTTAGAAATAGTTTATAGACAACATATGTAAGACAGTTAGAAATAGTTTATAGACAACATATGTAAGACAGTTAGAAATAGTTTATAGACAACATATGTAAGACAGTTAGAAATAGTTTATAGACAACATATGTAAGACAGTCAGAAATAGTTTATAGACAACATATGTAAGACAGTTAGAAATAGTTTATAGTTCAGGAACTGGTATATTTTCCGTTAATTGTAACGAACTGATTGAAAAAATATATTTGAGTATAATTTCCATCACGTTCAGGATCAATTTCAAATAGTTGTTTCAGTGAGAATGATATTATCCATACGCTATAACCCATTTTTATAATAAAACAAAATATAATAAAAAGAGAATGAAATGATGGAGGGATGTGGTATAATTGCCAATAAGAAAACTTTCCACCAAAGAATAAATGACGAAGATGTAAGCAACTATAGATCATCGTACAGTGCTTGTTTTGATTAAGCTGCAAATATTCTGTACAAAGATGAAAACATGCTTTCATGTATATTCTTGCATTATTTTTCATTAAAATTGATCATACAGATTATTGCGTTAAATATTTATGTCAAAGGAGTCTTTTCAGTGTGCAAAGATATAAGTTTTTCTACTGTTTTTTTTTCTAATGTTGGTCAATTGATTGTAGAATCAGCGATATCATCGGCACATCAGAGATCTAGTGCTTTAAGGATTGCCAGTAGTGGAAGTCAATTACGCTCGTCGTTTCCTCAAGCTAGGTCTAGAGTCGGTGCTGCTGGTCCCACGGGGGTTAGTACTCCCCTTGCATCTCCTACACGTACAAGAACAAGATTTCCAGAAACCTGGTTATGGTTAAATACGACCACAAAGTAAGTATAAGCGCTTGAATTGAATGGTGTCTTATATTGAGTGTTTGTGCGTGTTATATTGAACGGTACTATAGTACATTTAGTGTGTATGTTAGTGTATCTTAGCTAATGTTTGGTAAAACATAGATGGCCATTGTTGTTTGAAACTTAAAATATTTGTTTTCTGAACACTGTAAACCTTGTAATATCACTTCACGGCCGCCATGCAATATATCGAGACAACACATGATCATGAAAGGATAAATAACGGTTGTCAAGTATTGCGATCAGATCGTGAAAGATATCGTATCAAGTTTTGTAGTCTGTGGAAAAATCGTTGTATTATTGAAAGGCAGAACAAATCAGAAAAAAATGTCTGTCGAAAATAAACTAGTATTCTGGTCGCGTTCAAGTAAATTATGCCACATTTAAACTTTTCTGGAAAAGTAGCCGATATTATAAGAACAAGTAAAGATATAAATATGTTTCAACCATAATCATTAATTTTGGTGACAAATCGAGCAGTGGGTGAAATCAGAAAAAATAGTTTTCTTTTGCCAATTGATATACTTTTAATGGGATTAAGCTGAAATTTTTTGAAAAAGCTGCACAAGATTTTACTAAAAGTAGCAAATTAGGCGCATAAATTGGTATTTATCTGCAAGACTATTCATTTAAATGGGGAAAAAATGATTTTATCTTATGGTGAAAACATTTTAAACTATGTCATGCCAGAAGAGAGAACTCAAATAATTTATTTTCCCTAAGGAATGTACAGTCAATTTACCTACTGTGGATTCATGATTATTCGTAAGGTATCGTTTTTTGTGGATTTCATGGGTATAGATCAATCACGAATTTAAATGTTAAACGAAGTATACATTTTTCATAGGCTTGTATGAAACTTTCGCAAAACTACGAGATTAATTACAATTTTTCTTCAATTCACGAAATAGTTCCTCATAAAAATAAATGAATCCACAGTATTTTGTTATATAGCAAGAAAGCTAGTATGGTAACATTCAGGTATATGGCAGTTGTTTTCCATCATTTTGATGTGATTGACATGAGCTTTTGATTTTGCCATTCAATAAGGGACATTCCGTTTTGAATTTTCCTTGCAGTTCGGTATTTTTTGTTATTTTACTTTTTTCTATTCTAATTTTCTTGACGTTCATTTTAAGATCTACCTTCTTGTATTATATTTTAAAAAATTCTATCGTTTAGTTGTCTTTATGTTCACACAAAAGTGTTTTAATGTATAACATTACACAATCAGGCAAATTGTCACAACCTTTACCTTGACTAAAAGCTCGACGACAAATAAATTTACTCATGAATTAAACTCATCATAGATAACAGGATTAACATTTTGCTTGCGTGTTTTGTCCTCAAAAGACTCATTAATGACGCGTGAGTCACAAAGAATTAAAAAGACCAAATAAAGAATAAGGTTGAAGAGCATTGAGGAACCAAAATTCCGAAAGGTTTTGCCAAATACAACTAAGGTAATCTATTTCTGGGGTAGAAGTGCTAACTACTGGGCTGGTGATAACCTCGGAGAGGAAACCTCCACCAGCAGTGGCATTTTATATTTATTATAAATTAATATAAACTACACTTTAGATATTTTCCTGTGTATAATCCATACAAAGTAATTTTGCACAAGCTATACCTTGACAAAAAGCTGGATGACCGATTCTTGTATTACATTTGATATAATCTACGCTTTGGCAAACTATGAACAAATTCGATCGTTTTTTATTAAGACCCCAAAACTACCTTTAACATTAGGGGCTTTTGAAATTATATTTATCAAAGTTATTGAGAAATCAATAGGAAATTCAATGAAACGCTTTGATCCTATCGCCATTAGAACAAGGATGCAAAGTTGGCTTTGCCAGTTGCATTGTTTTTCAACTTGGTTGGGTAATCGCAAGATTCACGAATAAAATATAGAATCAGATCTTATGATATCTAAACATTGTAGCCCTAGCATATCTCCAGCCAATCACACACACACAATGACAAAAATTAAGAGGAATAAGTCGTGTATTATAAAGGAAACAAAACGAAATGTGGTAGGATTGCCAATGAGACAACTATCCACCAGGGTCAAATGAAGTAAATGTAAGCAGCTATAAGCTTGTTTAAAACCAATAACAATCAATACATACAGTCAAATTCTCATACCAACTGCTTTGATAAATAATTTCGGAATGGTTGGAATGCTTTCAAGCGTTTGTGCAAAAATAAATATGCGGTATCTGATCTTTCAAGATATTTTTTTACGATCATAAAAAACGTAACATTATCTTATAGATTGCCTAAATCATATTGTCTCCCCCGGCTCATGCTCTTTAGCATTGTATTTGATTTGGCCTTCCAATTGTTTTGATTCATGAGTCACTGATTAGTTTTATGTAGAGGGATCCCGTGTCTGGTGTACCAAATTATAAGCCTGGTGTCGTTGATGATATTTTACAACCACTAGGTGGATGCCACTGATGGTACACGTTTTGCTGGTGCACGTTTCGTCTCCGTTGAAATCATCAGTGCCGAAATCAGCACTGTTATGTTCGTTCACTAAAATATCGTTGATATTAAATTAAGAAGATGTGGTATAATTGCCAATGAGACAACTCTTCACCAGAGACCAAATGACATAGAAGTCGATAACTATAGGTCACCGTAAGGCCTTCACAAATGTTCCTTTCTTGTAAATTTACTGTGGAATTATTCGAAACTCTAAGTTTTTCTTCTCCACAGCAATAGATGCACTTAGCTGTAATTTGTTCATTTTTTTTTAATTTTCTATTGTTATTGCTCTGCGATTTCGTATTTGAGCGTCACTGATAATTCTTATGTTGACAAAACGCGCGTCTGGCGTACAAAACTAGAACCTGGTATCTTTGTTGATTTTTCACGACCAAAAAAATCTAAATTATATTAATATTTCGCTTTTTTTGATGAGCTACTACAAAACTTTATTGATTAGAGATAAATAGTTAAGTCATTCATATTATGAAAAACAAATATGATGGTTTACATTTTGTTTGTCATTGAAATGTTGGGACGGAATTTTTAAACTTCGATCTTTTTCAGATACTTATCATAATGTTGAACCATTTTGACAGACATTATCTTTTCCAATATTTGATCTTATTATTCAAGAAATTGGAATAAATACTGACCTTACCTTGCAAGTGTCTTTTTGATCAAATTTTGTTCGCGATATACCTCGTCCTTGAACCTTCTTAACAATATTCTGATTTTTATGGTGTAGTGTGCTTATTTACAGAGTATTTACGAAAGTTGAAGCAATCTAACTGTTTTACTCGTCATTTTTATGATGAAGTACATTGTTTAATTACAAACCAAGAACAATTTACCAAATAAACGCACTTATTTATTTAGAAAAAAGTTCAAATGCAAATGCACGATAATTGTATACCCGATTGGCATATATTGTACTTGGAGATGATATAATTTGATTGAAATCATCTATTTCATATTTAATTGTATGACTTGACATTTCTTTCATTCAAAACAAACTTTTCTTTTAACATTTGATATAGTTGGGAAAACTATTAGTATTATTGAAATCATAACAAGTATATAGATATAGAATACATTTTTTTTTCACTTATTCAGTCGAAAGGGCGTTGCCTCCGTAACATCACTAGTTCCAGATACAATAACCCAATGGATAGCAACATCTTTTGCTGTAAATCCCCGAACTGGCTTGGGTGTAGCGGCTAATCCTGCCAAAGTAAGGACTTACAATTTCATTTCCGCGGAGTGAATATCACCTGGACATTCGCAATATGTTGAATGAGATTATAAACATCAGCACTAATATACAGTTGTAATGATTATATAATATACATTTTTTTGTACATACATGTAAACATAATAAATGAATTTGGTAATTGTCATTATTTGCGGGAATATACACATGTACCCCTTATTAAAATGCTGATTCCCGGGTGCTTATTTCGTACGGCATTGACGTTAATTGAATACTCGTTTATTGAATACATTTCATTGATTTTCACTTTTTATTCTGGACAAAATTTTATTAAGTACAAAATATAAAATATTGGAATTTCTTCATTTATGAGTACAAAAAAAAAGAGAAACACAATAGACAACTCAAGCCGACAAATTCACAAATAAAACATTATTGAAAAATAAAAAGCTATTTTACCTGGTTTTCCGGGTGAACATTTTTATTTTGTAAAATTCACAAAACAATGGTTTTTGTGCCTAAGGTTTATATATTTACTGACGAATTTGACAAAGATATTTGGACATTTTATTTGAAAATCCTCGTTTTTAGCATCTTACTATGCAGCAACGGATGGGGACTTAATGAGACCTTTTATGTTTTAGGCTATATGAAAAATATTCTTCAACTGCTTTAAAATTTCAAAGTTTTAACTTGCAACTAACGAAATATTTACATTAAGTATTTTATGCAAAAGTGATTTTCGATCATCGATAAATCTGTCTATGTGAAAACTTGTTAAATGCTTTATTAATGCAGTAGTGTATATTTGATATTAAAACATGAACAACTATATCGTGTACATATTAAAATAGCCAAAAAAGAAACTGAAATCGTACCACGTGACCTGAAAAGTTTTGCACACGGCACCTAGGCTGTCGTCCCTCCTCTGATAATGCATTATGATATATTTATCTCAGGAACATTATTATTTGTCTATAGACAAAGTGATAACCAGGATTATCGAAACAATTTATATTCTATTATATTATGTTTTAAATTATGATGCCATCACACAATAAGTCAAAATTTTCCTATTTTTAAAGAATTGAATGCATTTATATATTTCGTTATAGATCACAAATTTTCAAAGATTCTTCATGCGGTTTGAGCTTCCTTATTCAGCAATACGGGGAGAAATACTAATTCTACAGATTACAGTTTTTAATTACATGGAAGAAGATCTAGATGTAGGGTGATTTTTTTCAGATTTCGTTTTTGAAGTAAAGAATAATCTATGAAATGATTAGTGAGACATGTACTTAACTAAAAGAGTAATGTTTATTAAAATGTTTTTAGACTGAAAAACAGAAGTTTAAACATATCAAATAATTTTGAATATTATATATTTTAGGACGAAAATTAATACGATAAATTGATGGACTAAACTTCTAACATAATCTTGAAAATGGCAAATGGGAAGAAGCTCTTGAAATAAAATTGAAATCGGCATAAAGAAGTAACGAGAAAGTTTCTAATGAAAAAAATATGGTTACTATTTACAATTGAGTAATACGTAAATACAGTACTCCTTAGTTCGATTGTCGAAACCATTTTATTTTGTGAAAAAAAGTCAATGGCCACAGTGTAGTAAGTTGTAATTAAAAAGACCTTAAATGACTCATTGTACAATATACTACATAATAAAAGAAAATTAATTATGATGTAAAATATGACAAACTATAGTGATTGTAGAGGATGTTGATTTATTCTGTGCTGGAAATACGGTCTCGTACTACTGAGCATTCGTTTCATTTGGAATTGCTGAACCGTTTATGCCATTTAAAATACCGTTCGTACAATTTGTAACAACTGTTTGTTCGATTTTTTCAATATTTTTTTTTTCTTTAAAAAATCGTCTGCTCGATTAAAAAGATATCGTTAATCCAATTTAAATATCGTTTAAACGATTTCAAAATCCTTTCATACGATTTTTTTTTTAAAGTAACTGTTCTATTAAAAAACTATTTTTTACAATGAAACAAATCGTTTGTTCAATTTTTAAAAAAACGTTTGAAGAATTTGATAAACCGTTCGTACCATTTAAAGAAAAAATTGTTTGTATAATTCAAAAAGGAAAACTGGTTTTTGCTGTTTTTTGCGATTTACAAATCCGATTGTTGTAAAATGTAAGAACGTTGTGTCGTTTTTTTTTTAATCGAGTAAATTGTTTTTACGATGTTTTTTTTTTAAATGTCAGAAACAAGAAACAATTATCTTCTTTTATTTTCTACATAAGGAAATGCGTGTACCAAGTCAGGAATATGACAGTTGTTTTTCCATTCGTTTGATGCGTTTGAGCTTTTGATTTTGCCACTTGATAAGGGACTTTCCGTTTTGAATTTTCCTTGGAGTTCGGTATTTTTGTTATTTTACTTTTTATCTAAATTTTGCAAATTGTTTAAAAATCGTCACACTGTTTTTCAAATTGTTTCAAAATCGTTACAACGTTTTTCAAATTGCTTCTAACTTAATTATTTCAAAAATCGTTCAAACGGGGTATTTTATGGTGAAATCGATTTTTTAAGTTGTTCGACCGATTTGCAAAGTATCAAAAAATGTATCAATTTTTCTGCTCTTCAAAATTGACCAACACTCTGTCTTAGTCTCGTCATTGTCTGCCTTTTCAATATGATTTGAAATTATCTACAGCAATGAAAAACCGCCAAACATCAGTCATCAAAACCACTTTAAAGAAAACTAAAGATCGTGGATTTGTTTTTTCGACCATGTTGGCAGTCTTTTTATTTACTTACGGTATATATATATATGTATGTATATCTCATTTTATAAATTTTAGGTTCACGTGAGTCTCAACAAAAATGTCAACTTAACGTTTGTAGATGTGAAAGGTAAAGCAGTTGTTCCTAGGGGAAAGGCATGGACAAAGGTACAGCATATATAATGAATATAAAAAAGCAACACTAAAAATACGTCAAATAAACAGACGTAATCAGTTTTTCTGCTTAAAGCTGTGGTCACACCTTACCGGATAGCTCGAACGGACGCCGAACGGATGAAAAAAAAAACGTTTTCCGTTGACAAAACTTGTATCCGTTGGGTGTCCGTTGGTATACTGATCAAATCTAACGAACGGGTAACGAATGCCTAACGGACACTCACAGGATATGCAACGTACGAGAAACTGAAACGTACCGGACAGAACGGACGCCAAACGTACATCCAACGGACGAGTACCGCATAAAACGGACACCTAACGGAAGCGTACCGGATAAAACGGATGAACAAGATAAGCGGAAAATAAAAGCGATAATAATAATACATATCTTTCAGTACTAAGCAATGATCTTGCCCACCATCTCCTTTGTTTTCTCCTTCTTCTCCTTTCGACAACTAGTAGGTTTATATTTGCAACATTTAAGTTCAGTCGGACCTGAATAAGAGCTGCTTGATAGTGAAGACATGCCCTTACTCCAAGATCCATCACGAGTAATAGACGTTCATGACACTCAAGAAATCTGACATATCAATAATTGTCATTTCTGAGAGACGCGAAATTTTCAGTTGGCATTTATCCGTTTTACATTCGGTAGGTATCCGTTATCCTTCCGTTCATGTCCGTTTCCCATTCATTCATCATCCATTTTATCCGTTATACGGTAGAAGTCCGTTGGTGAATTTGTAATCCGGGCCTCTAACGGATGTATAACGGACAAGTAACGGATACAAAACGGAAACGAAACGGACGAGTACCGTACAAAACGGACGCCTACCGGACGTTCAACGGACACTTCATCCGTTGGACGTCCGTTCAAAGTTTTGAACATGCTCAAAATTTTCCACCGGACAGAACGGGCGTCGACGGATAAAACGGACGCTAAACGGACATGAAACGGATACGGACGGACGTCTAACAGATAAGAACGGACGTTTAACGGACATGAACGGATTGAAAAAAAGTTATCCTTTCGGCATCCGTTCGAGCTATCCGTTAAGGTGTGACCGAGGCTTAAGAAATATCCTAACATACGAGTGTTCGTCGAACAAGATTATAATTTACTACTTTCTGTGGATCCCCCAGTACCCCATTAAATAATGGAGACATGGAAGAGAATTTCAAAGACAATAAGAACAACTGAAAACAATTTGTCTTAGTCTTTACTTGGTTAAACAGTTAATCCAAATTTCGGGTTAAACATATTTTAAACTGATTTTATTTTTTCGTTTATCTTATAAAATTTTTATCAATTATTCACTTAGTACTTTTTTAAAATTAAAGTAACAATTGGGGAAAAGTTCGCATGTTTGACGCTATACAAACACAAATTTTATTTCAAGTATGCATGTAAATAATTTAAAGCAGAGACACATATTTCTGTTTAAAGTTACATGCTCTGAATTTCATACATTTGTGATAAACCAGCTTCAAATTATGGTCAATAAAATTGAGAATGGAAATAAATAGTTTTAGAATATAGCCATTTGAAGGTAAACTATCATTTAACATGATTAATTGCACAATGATATAAACGTATTTCCCTGACATTTACGTACCGTTAATATGAAAGGAATTCAAATTAAATGGCAAAATGAATTAATTCATAAATATGAATAAAAAATATACAACAAATAATATTTATAAGTGTATGAAACTATGAAAAAAAGACACGTTTTAAATTTGTATTATCAGATGGTTTTCATGCCAAAAGAGACAGTTAAGTCCGTGTATTTTCCAATCATTCCAACAAAAATAGGCCGAACCTTACTAGATGCGAATGTCAGATCTAAAGCTGCAGCTGACGCTGTGCAGAGGCCACTCTTAGTAAAGGTATATTAGGATATAGAAGTTGTCATACAAAATAAGAAGAGCTGCGTGTTGGTTTTGTCACTAAAATGGTATTTGAAGATAAAAAAGTACATAACATGTTCATAGTATAAAGTATCGATACATATACTTTAATGTCACCATTAAAAGTAACAAAGCCAGCGCAACATTACAGCATTACAGCATGACACCATACAGTTATAATGTTTTAATTATTTGCCTCACTGTTTTAATTTCCGTTAGCAAATTTTCACCGCTGTAACGTTTCAGGTTTTCCGTGCAAGGTTAAAATTAGACAACATGTGCATGTAAGCCATATTATTCACATGTGGAATGGTAGCTCATTCAAACTCATAAGTTGAAAAAAACTGACAAGGCCATGGCAAAAAAAGAAAAAGTAATAGTATTGCCAATCGTATTGCCATTTGATAAGGGACCTTCCGTTTTGAATTTTCCTTGGAGTTCGGTATTTTTGTTATTTTACTTTTTACTCGATTGGAAATATGAGACCAAGGAGGCAGATTTAAAAAATAAGATAAGATAAAAGATTGAGGACCTATTTTCCCTGTAATGATTATTTAAAAAGGATAATTTTCAAGTCGTAGAATGTTTACCTCTACCACAGTTTCATGTGTGTACAATATGTCATAATATGTTATTGGTCTTTTGGTGAACGTAAAGGACATAAGGAACAAATCTAAACATCTAAATAAAGTGGAACTACGTTCTGTCTTTCAGGGAACAAAATTTAATAAAAATCATTCAATCCTTCAATAGATAAGTGTTCAAACCTTGCAAAATTGTTGTATTTCAATACAATGTGTAGACGTAATTATTTTTTTGTCTTTTTGGATATTTCTGAATTTTAATTAAATTTCTTCGGTAAATGATAAAAATGCTGTAACATTCAAATTTATCAATTAATATATGTCACCCACTTCACAATCCTGAAGAAATAGGAGAAAGGGACAGATATCTTTAGATAACAGCTAACATATCATATGTTAAACACCTAATGTTCTATGTTTATATAGATATTGTGCAAAGTTTGCTGACCACATTCCTGACTCTTTTCTCTCGGCTTCCTTTCTCTTCTTTCTTCTGGATCCATTTCCTGGCTGTATTCCACTTGCCTCCTGTCAAGTATTCCAAATGAAAGAAATATTATGGAGTAATTAGTTTACATATCAGTCCGGTAGTAAAAGTAATCGGAGACATATTATTGTATCTGCACTGTGTAAAGATTTTGATATTTATATTTTGAAGCCAGAAGGTATCCGAGAGAACTATAATATACCTGTAGTTATTGACCTGCGTAGAAATAGGACGTTTTCAACAAATGTTCGCATAAGTTTACCACGATTTGTCATTCCGGATTCAGAGTTTATAAAGGTATCTGTCATAGGTAAGTCTATGCAAGCTTATACCTTTAATTCTATCAACTTCTGCAATAAACATATTTTGGGAGTATTGAACGAGCAAAAGAATGGTAAATACTAATACGAATTTTGACTCTTCCTTCGACAATCATAATTTTACTAAGAAAGATTTAACTCTAGGGGAGAAATAATGCTCGTGTTTACTATTAGTGCGTATTGTTCATTTAATTGGTAGACACTACTTATTATTGTCTTTATTCTATCGCTAATGAAAAGTGTCACTTAGTACAAATTAATTTCATATTCATTCCAAAGAAAACGTAAGGAAGGTAAGTAATGCTGTAAGTTATTATTAGTTACACATTGTGCTACTCAGCTAATACGATATATACTGGGTCAGTAAATTTCATATTTCCTTGACAAATAAGACGCATGCCACATGTGGAGCAGGAACTTCTAACACTATTTGTCTTTTCGTCATTTTGCATCTTTTTTGCAAATAAAACTTGACAAAGTATTCACACTCCGTATTACGAATATTAAACTGTTTCTTAAGTAGGAAAACATTAGTGAATCAAATTTCCAAACTTCAGAACTGTCCAAATATTATTTTGGAAATGTATGATTTTATAAAATTATCAAAAGCGATTACAAAATCGGAAGCAATCATCTAATACAATTTACAACGTTAAAAAAAAATTGACAAAATATGTTCTAAAATATATATACAATTCTTCTGTATGTTCTACGCATTAAGTGCAAGTTAGAATAATTTAAGAATTCTCTATTTAGGTGATTTGATAGGTACAACACTTGCCGGAGTAGAAGATTTGTTACGTATGTCTTATGGTTGTGGTGAACAGAACCTAGTTCGATTTGTACCAAATGTCTTTATATCTGTGTATTTGAAAATAACAAACAGGCTGACAAATGACATAAAAGACAAAGTTGACAGATACCTGTCTGCAGGTAAACTATGATTCAATGGCTAGCAGTAAAATGTTGTTCTTATTGCTCTATGATTGTATATGTAATTTTCCATTTGCGGCATTCAGTTAAGATTTAGCTCATTTCCATTACAGCAAAAGGTAAAGTGTCCTTACATGAAATAAAACAAAAATGTAATATCTGATAGGAATTAGAAACGTTTTTTTTTTATATTCTCCCTGCGTTGATGACCCATAAGAGGCCTTGGGCTGTTTTCTGCTCTTTCGTCGGTTTTTTTTTCTTTGACACATTCCCCGTTTCCTTCTCAATTCTATTCAATAATCTAAAATCTATTTGTAAACATCTGTTATAATAATACAGCTAGGTCTAAATAATTTTAAAGGAGAGTGATATAGTTGTGAATTCAAAATAATAAGATTTTGTTTTATTTTTAATAGGTTACCAAAGACAGCTATCATATTCTCGTTTTGATGGATCATTCAGTGCGTTTGGGAAACGTGACAGATATGGATCTACATGGTAATATATTTTTATCATGTTACATGTACTTGTTTATACGGCTATATTGTTAATCAAGTTACATAAATATTTCCTTAAAGCGGAAAAACACCAAGCTGGCAATAATGATTCTTAATTCGAAGATGAATAGACGCTAAAATAGAAAAAAGAGAGCATATAAATGGTTTTGGAGCATAGGAAGCGTAACGAAATAAAGTAAACTAAACAGTGCGTGTCAACATTGTTTAGGAGAGTTTCAAGCTGAATTTATAAACTATAACATTTCAAAACAAATATATATAATCAAAACATGATAAAAATATATTACCAAATCAAGGGCTTCTTGGCGAATGATACCATAAGAGACAAAAGTTAGGTCCTTACAAACAACGTTATACTGCCAAATATCAAAACGTATATGAACGGTTTGTTTTCAGGTTAACGGCTTTTGTTGTGAAATCATTTGCGCAAGCAGCAGATTTGACTTACATTGATCCGAACGTAATGCGGAAAGCTATTCAATTCCTGATCAATAAACAAGACAGAAAAAATGGCGAATATAAAGAAAAAGGGGTTGTCTTAAACAAAGGCATGCAGGTACGTAAAAGAGTTATAAAAATAAGAATTTTCAATGGGGATATCAAAGTATTGTTATATATTTTTATCAATATGAATATGAAATCATATTTTTATTATTGTAATTTTATTAACACTCCTTCGTTTAGCCGTTTTACACTAATTGATGAGTACATATAATGTTATGCCATATTCATTTAAGCTCAGAGTACGGTAGTCGTTTGCAAATGTATTCAACCACTTGTAATATCTCTACATCACACAGTTACTTTTGGCCTAGGACATCTACAGTACAAAATTACAAATTCAAGTACTAGTATTGTCTTCAATGCTGTTCAAAGCCATATATTACAGATTTGAATAAATCAAACATTGAAGAAATATAGAATAAATACAACAAAATGGACAGTAAATAAAAAATAAAAACACGCTTGCATTTTTAAAGGATAAACCTAGACTTATTTCTTAAATCTGAATACAATTTTACAGATATTTCGTAACACTGACTAGTATAGTGGATACATGTACTTCTAACGTAATCTGTTACACTCAAGCCAAAAAACAACATTTTGAAAAATAAAACCAGGTACGGAATAAACAATAAAGCTGTTGAGGCAGGTCTACCTCGAAAGTCCATTGGTTGTTTTACATACATATAACTGATTATCCTCCGCATAGATATCTACTAAAGCACAGGTATCAGCTGATGAATACCAATGATCCGATGCCGCACGACGCCATGGGTATCTGAATTTTGTAATTAGTTGAGAGTGATTCAGCTCATCGCTAATAATTTCCACATTGATAATAGAAATTTCCCAAAATTTCATAAAATTGACAATTTGTTCGTCTGATACACATTCAACCATCCTTTTCGCGCATAAAAAAGTATAACTTAAGTAACATGTTTATGTTTCCATTTCTTGTTTATATATGTCACCATGCATTTATTATGATATGTTTGCTACATGACCAGAAAACATTAAGCTCGTTGAAGCTGAAGCATGCACATTTTACTAGCAATTATCATATGAAGATGTGTCAATCTTTTCCATAGGGAGGCTCAGCATCAAGTGCTGCCAGTTTAACATCGTATGTTGTTATTGCTCTGCATGAGGCATTGATACGTAAGCAGATTCCAAATGATGTGAGTATAGGTAAACTACCACTTGCTTAAAATCAGTAGTTTTCTTTTTTAATTGTATCTTTGAGCGCCACTGGTTAATCTGGTATATACAGAACGAGAGTATGATGTAGGTAATTAATTTTGGTATCTTTGATAAATTTGATATAGTGAAAAGGCAAAAATTGATTCCCATTTTTATGGTTACGCCTGCCTTTGATAGCAGGTGGAATCATTTATCCATGCATCTGTCTGTCCGTCCACGTCCGTTCTTCGGTATTTCCGTCTGTCTTGTCTCAGTTTAATTTTTTTCTTTTGGTTAAGATTTAGTTTGAAGTATTTTACCAGAACGTTGTAGTCACATCAACTTTGAACATGCGTTCTTTTTGATCGACCATTTTGATATAAAAGTCCGAAGGAGTTTCATGTTAAGATTTTAGTCAGCGGAAATATGTTGATTTTATATTGATTTTTCAAATTTTTTTCAGTATTTTACTTTTTTCTTATTTCAGACGATTGAAAAAACCCAGGAATCGATTAAAAATGGAATTAGCTTTATTGTTAAAGTTTTAGAGAACCGTAGTTCCATTTTTCAGGATAATCTGTATGAACTTGTAATTTCTACATATGCTTTAACATTATTGGATGCTCCTTTAGCCAAATCACTGTTACGACAGATTGAAAGATACTCGTCTACAGAAGGTAAATATTTCAATGTATCATTTTAAAAGTCGTTTGGAACTAGAATCGACATTACTAGACTCATTAAAAATAAGTAAATGGTCAAGGGTTGAGGTCACCGCGACTTTTAACCTCAGAACTTATTATGAGATAATTCTGAGACCGTAATAGTTATAGACCAAATTAATGGTTGTAAATGTTTGGGACATTAAGTTGGCACTTTTTTATATCAGACTACTGAAAAGCTAAGAACCCCTCCTTAAGGGATATAATCACAATCGAATTTTCCGAAAATATCATAATTTACTCTGAATTGAGTCGTAGGGACCTTAGTTCAACACTTGTGTACTCCTCAACGTATGACCTTATTACATATCGATATTAAATTAATATTAGTGTCCGTATGATGCCATTGTATTATTTTCCACAATGCAGAAACGATAGAAAATGTATATGTCGTACATTTAATATAAGAGGTATGATTGCCAACTCTCCACAACAGAACAAATGACACAGAAATTAACAACTATACGTCACCGTACGTCCTTCAATAATGAGTAAAACCCATACCGCATAGTCAGCTATAAAAGGCCCCGAAATGACATATGTAAAACAATTCAAACGAGAAAACTAACGGTCTAATGTATGTACAAAATAATGAACGAAAAACAAATTTGCTCAACTCCGGTACATTTAATGCTCAATATTTCCATTTAATCAAAAAACAAATTAATATATGTATCAACTTCAAAAAAATACGTACCTTTTTGTCCATGTGGATGGTTTGTACAAATTTTCACTCTTTAGTAACCTTAATTTTGTCTAATTTTGTCAAGTCCATTACTGATGATGGAAGCAGATGTCAACCGCACAAGATGTATAAATCCAAATACAATACATGAAATCATGAAATCCGAAAAGGTGTCTCGTATATTTTGTTTACTTCCTTATTCATAGTTTTGCATATCTGTATAAAAGTTCTATTGTCACATGTGAGGTGGACATACCCGAACTGTTTTACATCTGATTAAACCTAAACTTAAGTCAAATGTTTCTTTCAACCGGCATTCACAGTAGTCCTCAAAGAAAATGAATATGATTCGAATACATTATATGGACCACAGTGATCAAAATACATTACACTATGTTTTTAAGATGGAACAAAATACTGGAAATTACCAGATAATGCAGCGAACACGATTCAGCCCTACATACGTTGGAAACCACCGAAAGTAAACGTCAGAGCACTTGATATTGAAATAACATCATATATTCTTCTAATATACAACAGAAGAAATGATATCGAAAATGGAGTGCGGGTCGTTAAATGGTTGAATAAACAAAAGAACCCATTTGGTGGATTTATATCAACACAAGTTAGTATTTTAGCAAAAAAATGTTTTAGCATTACGAAAAGAGGCGGAAGATACCAAAATGGACATTCAAAGCTCATAATAAAAAGAGAAACTGACAACGCCAGGTCAAATAACGATAAACGACGAAGAAAAATAAACAAGTCCACAAAACATTGCACAGTAAACTAAAGACTGAGGCACATCAGACACATATGGGGTTAATACTATACAATTTTATATATGTTGATAATTTATATCAAGTGATAATGTATCACACAATAATGGATTTATAAAGGACTCTAATCTTAATCTAATACATCCCCAAATCCGTATACTATTGACCATGATTATTTTCTAACCATAAGATTTGACCGAGTACGAAAGTTTGAAATATAAACACATTTTAAGACAAAGGATAGGTAATACTGTTACCGGTAAAATTAACACATTGAAAAATTAAAAGGCACAAAGTTCAGAACATAAAACTTAAGCAAGAGCAACACAAAGCCCTTTCAAACAAAACTAGGGGTAATATCAGGCGCTCCGTAAAGGTATTGACGTCCTGCTCCACAGAGGTATTCCCCCAGAGGTTTTTTTCTAAGCCACAAAATATATGTTGTTTACCCAGTTAAATCATTGTTTCCAATGAAAACCTGATATAATACCGGTCACAATTTATTGGTAAAAAAGTATAACAAAAAAACCGAATTTCAAGTAAAATTTTCATTATCAACGGAAAATAACCAGACGTTAGTAAAGACTGGATTAAATTTCTATTTGATTAAACCTTCATTGTAAAAGAAGGAAGGCGAAAGAAACCAAAGTGACGATTAACCTCATAAATCGAAAACAAACTGACAATGAGACGGCAAATATTGACTATGAAATGTTTTCAATAGTATTTGTTTTTATTTCATAGGATACTGTAATTGCCATACAAGCAATCACTGGTTTTGCAGAAAAGGTTTTTGTAGAACAATTTAATGCAGTGTTAAATGTGAAAGGAGAATCGTGGAATGGTCATACTTTTACGGTTGACAACAAAAATTCGTTAGTTTTACAGTCAGTGGATGTGAGTTAAATTAATATTAGGTCTTTTATGAAATAGTAAAGTAATTAATAAAAACAAATGGATATGATAAAATATTCACTATTGAAAATGTCACTCGATACTGTGAAACACGCGAGAGGCCTCTGAAATCTAAATAGGTAATATATTTAAACCACACACCAGGGATATATGAAAGCCATGCGTTTGATCAACATGCTACACAGGTATACAGTAAACGACATCTTCAAAAAAGGAAGTATCTCACATTGTATTTGATGATATTAATAAACTTGTATGGCCAGTTTGGTTACATTAAATATGAGTAAAAAGACTGTGTCCTTTCACTGAACAAATCGAATTTTGGTATCGTATTTAGTAGTTATGTACATTGGAATTTTTCATTCGTTTGCCACTGATGTATATATATATGTGGCAGAAGGAAAGTCAACACACAATGTATTCATGTTTTCGGATTACCTTTTGTGTTGTAACACGCATATTTTATATTTTACATTTGCTTTTTTCCCTCTTTTCGTTGAATAACGTGCAAATTTCTTTAACTTCTCATTGAGGAGGTAAAAAGAACTTTTCTCTTAGTTTCTCTGATCATGCTATTACCACAGCCAACAATAGATTACCATAAAGCACCTTATTTAGCAGGGCTTTTGTTTTAAACGCGCACACTTAATTATTCTTAAAGCAGCGCTTGCTTGTAGCAGTCATTTTATATTTTTCGGGACAATAATTTACTCCCACCCTCCACTACATTTAATTTTATTTGCTATATACATATATTACGGATATTGTTGCATTCGTAGAATCTTTGCATACTTTTATATTGTTTAATTAGTAGAGTAGTAATGTTTCAAAGAACTCACAGTTTTTATGTACTTCTTGTATGGAGTACCACAGTTTTTCAACTTGATTTTGCTTTCTTTGTAAATATGTTTATTGCTTATTGATATGCAAAGAAAATATTAAACTGTGATTCTTCTCCCAAACCATGTGTTTGTTCAGTTTGTACTATAATACAATAACCAGTTAGCTTATATCTTGGTCCCGTTACTTAAGTCTGATTAGTGTTAATCAAGTACCTTTTTCTGCACTGTAACTCTTCAGCATTTGGTTTGGGCACCAAAAGGATAGCAACCTGGTTATTGGTACCACTGGCCTTATTAATCAACATCAAATAAGGGAGGATCTGGGTGGGACAAGTTTTGTGAATTAATGCATGAGAAAAACGGATATGTGATTGTCGCAACCGGATTTTTAGTGAGATAAGAGCATTTCATGCCATAACAGCCACGTGACAGGTTTATGTTGATGCTTTCTATCTTAGGTTCCATCAAGCATACGGAAAATATCTATAGACTGTGCAGGATCTGGGTTTCTCATGTCTGAGGTTTGTATAATGAACGATCAAAATATATTAAGTATGAAACATGAAATGTTATAAACTGGTAAAAATGGCATTTGTTCTGATTCACGGGGTTTGTTAATTTAGTATGAAAATTGACATATAAATACAAAAAAAAATGTAGTTTTTTTGTTAATATCACCACCAAAACAAAATGGTAATAACATATAGCTGTTGACTTTCAGCGGTGTAACTGTTATCAAAAAGGTTAAAGTGACAAACAGTGACACATAGTAAATGGTTTGAAAGTAAGTGGTAACATTCGGGTATAGTGTTCGGCAGATTAACTTTGTCTGATACCAAAAATAGAAAGAAATCGTAAAATGAATAGTACAAGGCTAAATATGAAATAACAATTCTAAATTTATATCTCTCTCGTAAATTAAATAATGTTGACTTACAATATGAATGTGTAACAGGCATCCTCATTTGTATATGGTATGATCATTTGTTAACTTCTTATAAAAATAAGAAGACGTGGTATATTGCCAATGAGACGACTCTCCACCAGAGACCAAATGACATAGAAATTAACAATTATAGGTCACTGTACGGCCTTCAACAATGAGCAAAATCCATATATATACATTTGAATTATAGTATTATCAAGCTTTGTGCTGTACTCAATTTTAGGTAGCTGTGTTCTTCAACGTACCAGAAGAACTTCGGAAGCCAGCATTTTATTTACGTACTACAATTCTAAATGATTCTGTTCTTGGATTTAGGTTGAAACTTTGCTTCAGGTATGCTTCTAATTTCCTAACTAACCATTTATAAATATATTTAATTCATAATAAAATCATATCTTTTATCTTTATCAATGTTTTATATTTAATGACGTTTACCTAACGCAGTATCTTGAGTATTTGGAAGTGTGGCAGTAATTTTGGACGTTTTCTTTTTTTTGTCATTTATATGCAGGTAAAAGTTTATGAGGGTTTTTGTTAGTTATTTTTATTCATAATTTGAATGAGGGGATGCAATACAACAATGATTGATTCACTTGTAAACCAATTTTAATCTAAAATGGTCATTTTGATCTAAACATTTCTTTTTAAAGACTGAACAATAAATTATTAAGTACTTTTCAGTCTTTCGGACGTTTTTCAGTCAGTACGGTTCAGACAATACATAAGATTCTTACAAAATAAAAATTAACATGAATATTTTATCACGTTTTTGTTAATAAACGATGGGCTTTGTATATATGAATTAAAATTCAATAGACTCTGATTTATTTCAAGCTGGTTACGAGATGGTAACAGCACTATGGGATATATGGAAATTGCTCTACCTACCGGAATGGAGGCTGATCTAGATTCCATGAATACTAATAGTACATATGGTCTTTATAAGAAAAGAGAGATTAATTCCGATCAACTTGATTTGTACTTTGATTGGGTAAGGCAGGCAGTTTTTTTTCTGCTATTTTTCAAAGTTACCATATCAAACTTGATTCTGATTGGATATTGTAAACAAGTGTCTGCTACTTCATTTACAAGGATCATATAAATATGGTTTTAAAAATTGCTGCTTAATTACAGATATATAAAGAGAGATATGGGACATAAATTAATGAGATAGCAGTCCAAAGACACAATAACCCAGAAGACATCTAACCGTTAACATAGGAATTAAAAAGAAAATGTATATACAGTACATAAGGCTGTAAATTGTTCCGAGAACATAATTTATCAGAGACTATCAAAGACTGTTTATCAAAAGCATGCTAGTCTAGATCTGTTACGGTAATACATTATGATATAACAAAATACAACCACTGAAAGGTTTATGACTTAGGACAGATGAATAATTGGTAGGGGTTAAATTAGTCAAACGGATAGAGTTTTCGTAATTAACCTTGGACCATTGCTTCATTATTTTAGTCTCCTAAATCGATTAGGAAAGGACAAATCAAAATCGTAAGTTCACAAAAATTTAGACATTAAAATAGATTAAATAAGATTCGTCAAAGTGGTAGATATCTCCTTTATATTGGAATTAGAGATAAGGTGGATAACATATTCACAGTGAAAAACAGTGTGTGTTTGATTTCCTTCGCGCAGTCAACACAATTTGAAAGTTAAAAACTTCCTCAATCCATCATTTTATCCAATTCTTTGTTGCAACGTAGAATTACTTTCACAAAAATATGGAAGGACTTCGATTATCGGAAAGAATCATTTTTTGGAAATGGAAAGCAATGAGAGTAACCTTTTCTTGTTCTCAGGGGCGTTGATATATGAAAGCTTGCTGACTAATGGATTTTGATTTCTTTTATATTTGCTCTCTGTTTATATTTGTTTCCTGGTAATTAATAAATAGCTATATGTGTTGAAGCAAATCAAGAAATACTTGAGCTATTAATAATCATTATCTTAGTTTGTTGCAGTATTGTATTTTAAGATTCGCGGACTTCAATTGTCGATCATCAAATAAAACATTGACGCCCAAATATCTTGAAGTGTAATGCTGCTGTCTTTTTGTTAAGAAAATGGAAGAAAACACTATAAGATTTTATATGATGACATCTGAACTTTTGGGGTTTTACTTATTCAATTTAAATGAACGTTACAAAAAGTGTTGTATTAGAATTATGTTTATCTTGTGACGTTTTTGTATATATATTATAAATGAAAGTTATATTATAAATATGTTTTTTTTGTGACGTTTTTGTATATATATTATAAATGAAAGTTATATTATAAATATGTTTTTCTTGTGACGTTTTTGCATATTTATTATAAATGAAAGTTGTATTATAAATATGTTTTTCTTGTGACGTTTTTGTATATATATTATAAATGACAGTTGTATTTTAATTATGTTTTTCTTGTGACGTTTTTGCATATATATATTATAAATGACAGTTGTATTATAATTATGTTTGTTCTTGTGACGTTTTTGCATATATATTATAAATGACAGTTGTATTATAATTATGTTTTTCTTGTTACATTTTTGCAGTTCAGTGTTTCTGTTGTTCCGTTGTTTTCCTTTTATAGTTGATGTGTTCCCGTCGGTTTTAGTTTGTTACCAGGATTTGTTTTTGCTTAATAGAATTATGACTATTGAACAGCGGTACACTACTGTTGCCTTTTTTTATCTTGTTACATTTTTGCATATATATGATAAACGACAGTTGCATTAGAATTATGTTTATCTTGTTATATTCTTGCATATATATCATAAACAACAGTTGCATTTAAATCATGTTATCTATCATGTAAATATGTTATATATTGCATGCATATTGTAAACGACAATTTATACTTAAAGTTACATATTTTACAGATCACAACTAAGGAAATGTGTGTAGAAATCAACATTGACAGAGTAAGCCTTGTAGCAAAACAAAAACCAGTACCTGCTAGACTGTCAGAATACTATGAACAAAGTAGGCTTTTCTTCAATTAGATATTGAACTGTTACATTTCAGATTTATGATAGTATTTACTCATACCATGACTTTTTTCAGTTCTAAATATTAAGTTTCTCGTTTTGATAAGTTGTTTGCATGGATACTCATAGATGTGAATCCTTTGTGCATTTGATAAATAAGTCCGTCGGTTATATAAGGGTGATATGTCTAAAGAGTGTTTTCCGAAAATTATAAAAATAGGTTTTTTAATAGAACAAAAATTGCCCCTCGTCTCAATTCTTCTGTTATCTCTACTAACCTACATATATGAACATGTCAGTAAAATGAAAAACAAAAACACTTCATAAATTGCATGCGTCCAAAGCGATTTTCTGGATTTTCCTTACATCAAGAACGCTCAAACCGGAATATTTGAAAGCCAGGAATGTATAAGTACCGAAATATTTTCAGAGCTATATGAGCAAAAAGGACTTAAAATAAACAAATCCATCTAATGTCAACTTTGGCTGTGGAAGTTGAAACCTCAGTTTCTTAATAATTTATAAATATATAAACGGACAACTTGAGATAGGTTTGTAATAAATCATGTCAGTACCGAAGTATCGACTTCTCAGATGATGATACTGATAGTCCACCAGCAAAGGTACCGACCAAGTTCTGTAATAAATGAAAACATCACTTATATCATGCATCTGAAGCATTTTTTGTGGATTTTCTTTCATCAGGAACGCTCAAAGCCGAATATTTGAATGCCAAGGATGTATAAGTACCGTAACAGCTGAAGAGCTATATGACAAAAAAAGACCTAAAATTAATAATCAAATTCATCTAAGGTCATCTTTGCTTAGAAAAATCATATTTGTAATGAGCATGTAGCAGCTGTAATTGAATAAGGATTCTTTTTTTCCTCTTTGCAGGTAATGAAGTAATAAGAATGTACCAGTCTAAAGTTTTGTCTGAGGCTTCTGCAGATGATGTTTGTGGGCAGGATCGTTGTCAGTAAAAGGGTACATGAAAAAAGTTATATTGTAGTTACAATTAATATTTATGTATAGCATTGGAAATTATTTGTATCATTGAACCTTTTAATATTATCTTGGTTCTTTCAATAAGAACATTTTTTTCGGATAAGAGGTAAAAAGAATTACTTCCTAACTAATAAATTTAAAGCGAAGTTTGAGATTGAAAACTTATATAAGCTGTTAATCGATACAATTGTGGACAATCAACAATGTTGTTATTATGATGGGTAAAGAAGATGTTTACTTTCTGTGTGAAGTAATTTCTGTCTAGTTATTGACCCGAGCTTTCTTATTATATTTCAGGCATCAAAGATCATATGCACCTTTTCCCAAGATGTACAGCATATTACAATAAAATTGAAAATGTCTCACGTTGTCCTCTTTCTTTCCCAAGCATATATATGCAGCTTATACATTATAAAGACGTATCACATCTAAATGTGCCTCTCGAATGAGTCAATATTGGTTCATGCTATTGTTTCCTACTGATTTGAAGGACTGATATTGGAACACAACCGGTTGACTATCTGTTTCATAGCCTTACAATTAAGTTTGTAATTAGCTTCTTTATGTTACTAACCTGTTTTTATGTTTTATCCACAGTTACCGTGACATAGTTTAATATAATCACAAAATAGCATTAAGAAGGAAAAATTGACAATACTAGTGTAGTATATAATCGGGACAGAAATGAGTTCACAGCTAACATGTTGAGTGTTTCCCGGTTCGCTGGTATCACTATTCGTGAAATTTATCACCCGACCTTAGATGAAATTGATAAATTCAAATCAAGCATGGTATAAGTCATATTGTGGAATTTCGTTATATTAGTTTTAGTGGTCAGAAACCCAATTGGAAGTTTAGCATTGTTCATAGTACAACCCGATTATGCAACATTGTTCCTTTGAAAATGTTAGATCAAGTTAGGGCAAAAATTTCCTCAATATGTTTAAACCCCATCATTAGTCTCCTGGTATCCTGCCAGTCTCGAGTGTGGTATGTGGTTGGTTCGATCCCCGATCTGTCAAACCAATTCGCCAAGAATGCGGTATTTACGAGTAACAGAAACAAGAGGCTTCAAAGAGCCTGAATCGATCACCTGGAATTTTTTGTGTAGATCATGCGTCAATGATTTTTTGCTGTTTTGTGTATATGAATGTGTGTTTAAGCATGCCTTTAAATAAAGGCAACAGTAGTATACCGCTGTCCAATAGTCATAAATCGATTAAGCGAAAGCAAATCAAGGTCACAAACCAAAATTTGAGATTCTCTATTTATCAAAATTTCTGTAAAAAACTTTAAAAAATGGTAAAAGGCAATAACTCCTATAAGGAATCCCTTGACATATTCGGTCATGTTGACTTATTTGAAGGTCTATCTTTCCTGAAGATGTGTGCTCTTTCTATCATAGCTTCTGAGAAAAAAAATATATATATTCAATAAAAATATTCTTTCAAGGGCAATAGCTCCTATAAAAGATCAATTGACGAATTTTGCTCTTATTGGTATTTTTTACTTTGCTGAACATTTTTGCTGTGTAAAATTTCTCAATTTCTCTATGTATAAAAGTTTTCAAGATAACAACAAAAATAAATCCAAATCGGGTTGTCAGACGTTTTCAAAATCCTCACTCACATTTTGTCCTGCTGATAATTTTTACCCCATGTCAGTTTGCTTCAGCTGCTTTAGTTCTTGATATATAAGCCAAAAAAATGCATTTTACCACTATGGTCTAGTTTAAGCAATGGCAAAAAAAACACAAACTTTATACAAGCTACCATAAGGATCATTCATCTCAAATTTGATTGAAATTGGTTTAGTAGTTTCAGAGGAGATCTTTAAACAGGTTTACTATGACAACGACCTAGGAGACGAACACCAAGTGATGGCAATAGCTCACATGGCCCTTTGGTTGGCTCGATATTTAATTTCTTTAAATCTGTTGGAATATATAATTATTCAAAGGTAAATACTTTTTCCCAAGTTTTTCTGTTTCACCTTTTCCTCCATAATGATGCAAGCAATAACCCGAAATGTATAGTGTTATAATGCATTATATTTTCTTTTACTTGAATATTTAAAATTTGAACTTAGACAATGGGTAATGATATAACTATCAATAAAATGAGGATACTGGCCATTTATCACAAAATATGTTTTTTAATTAAATAAAATGCTCCGCAGGGCGCAGCTTGATACGACCGCAGAGGTCGAACCCTGAACAGTTGGGGCAAGTATTGACACAACATTCAAGCTTGATACAGCTTTGCATTTGGATTGTGATTAAATATTTGACACAGCATAGGTTTCTGACACAGAATGAATGTGGTCTAAGAACTTAAAAATTTTAAATTGGACATTCACCTATTATGGTCCAATATCCAAAATCTAAATACATGGTTAGATTCAGCATATCAAAGAACCCCAAGAATTCAATTTTTTATGAAATCAAACAAAGTTTAATTTTGGACCCCGATTTGGACCAATTTGAAAACGGAACCAAAAATTAAGAATCTAAATACATGTTTAGATTCAGCATATCAAAGAACCCTAAGAATTCAATTTTTGTTAAAATCAAACTAAGTTTAATTTTGGATCCTTTGGACCTTAATGTGGACCAATTTAAAAACGGGGCCCAAAATCCAAAAACTAAATACACGGTTAGATTCAGCATATTAAAGAACCCCAAGAATTCAAGAATAAAACCCCATTGAATTTGGTCAAGAAATAAGCAATTTATACAAAGTATCTTCTTTTGCACAATACTGTGCAATTAAATATTTCTTGCTATTGCGCAATACTGTACAATTGACAATTTCTTGCTATTGCGCAATACTGTGCAATTGAAGATTTCTTGCTATTGCGCAATACTGTGCAATTGAAGATTTCTTGCTATTGTGCAATTGAAAATTTCTTGCTATTGCACAATACTTATTATATAATAATTTACACATCCTGTTTGGTGTGTATCTCCTACCATATCATTATTATTTGCTTTTAAATATAAATCAGAAATAACCAACTTAAAATGGAAAATTTAAAAAAAAAAAAAAAGGAAAAAAAGGAAAAAAAAAAAATCCCCCCCCCAAATTTTTTGAACCCCCTTATGATTCATCACAGCATAGGTTTCTGACACAGAATGAATGTGGTCTAAGAACTTAAAAATTTTAAATTGGACATTCACCTATTATGGTCCAATATCCAAAATCTAAATACATGGTTAGATTCAGCATATCAAAGAACCCCAAGAATTCAATTTTTTATTGAAATCAAACAAAGTTTAATTTTGGACCCCGATTTGGACCAATTTGAAAACGGAACCAAAAATTAAGAATCTAAATACATGTTTAGATTCAGCATATCAAAGAACCCTAAGAATTCAATTTTTGTTAAAATCAAACTAAGTTTAATTTTGGATCCTTTGGACCTTAATGTGGACCAATTTAAAAACGGGGCCCAAAATCCAAAAACTAAATACACGGTTAGATTCAGCATATTAAAGAACCCCAAGAATTCAAGAATAAAACCCCATTGAATTTGGTCAAGAAATAAGCAATTTATACAAAGTATCTTCTTTTGCACAATACTGTGCAATTAAATATTTCTTGCTATTGCGCAATATTGTGCTATTGGATATTTCTTGCTATTGCACAATACTGTGCAATTGAAGATTTCTTGCTATTGCGCAATACTGTGCAATTGAAGATTTCTTGCTATTGTGCAATTGAAAATTTCTTGCTATTGCACAATACTTATTATATAATAATTTACACATCCTGTTTGGTGTGTATCGCCTACCATATCATTATTATTTGCTTTTAAATATAAATCAGAAATAACCAACTTAAAATGGAAAATTTTAAAAGAAAAAAAAAAGGAAAAAAAGGAAAAAAAAAAACCCCCCCCCCCAAATTTTTTGAACCCCCTTATGATTCATCACAGCATAGGTTTCTGACACAGAATGAATGTGGTCTAAGAACTTAAAAATTTTAAATTGGACATTCACCTATTATGGTCCAATATCCAAAATCTAAATACATGGTTAGATTCAGCATATCAAAGAACCCCAAGAATTCAATTTTTTATGAAACCAAACAAAGTTTAATTTTGGACCCTTTTGACCTCAATGTGAACAAAGTTGATAACGGGGCCCAAAAATCAAAAATCTAAATACATGAATAGATTCAGCATATCAAAGAACCCCATATATTCAATTTTTATTGAAATCAAACAAAGTTTAATTTTGGACCCCGATTTGGACCAATTTGAAAACGGAACCAAAAATTAAGAATCTAAATACATGTTTAGATTCAGCATATCAAAGAACCCTAAGAATTCAATTTTTGTTAAAATCAAACTAAGTTTAATTTTGGATCCTTTGGACCTTAATGTGGACCAATTTAAAAACGGGGCCCAAAATCCAAAAACTAAATACACGGTTAGATTCAGCATATTAAAGAACCCCAAGAATTCAAGAATAAAACCCCATTGAATTTGGTCAAGAAATAAGCAATTTATACAAAGTATCTTCTTTTGCACAATACTGTGCAATTAAATATTTCTTGCTATTGCGCAATACTGTACAATTGACAATTTCCTGCAATTGCGCAATATTGTGCTATTGGATATTTCTTGCTATTGCGCAATACTGTGCAATTGAAGATTTCTTGCTATTGCGCAATACTGTGCAATTGAAGATTTCTTGCTATTGTGCAATTGAAAATTTCTTGCTATTGCACAATACTTATTATATAATAATTTACACATCCTGTTTGGTGTGTATCTCCTACCATATCATTATTATTTGCTTTTAAATATAAATCAGAAATAACCAACTTAAAATGGAAAATTTTAAAAGAAAAAAAAAAGGAAAAAAAGGAAGAAAAAAAAATCCCCCCCCCCCAAATTTTTTGAACCCCCTTATGATTCATCACCCCCAAACTCAATTCCAGCCTTCCCTTTGTGGTATGGTACCTTGCAGTACAATTTCAGAGAGATCCATACACTTAAACACAAGTTATTGTCTGGAAACTAGAAAAATGTGTTTTTTGGCCCCTTTTTGGCCCCAAATTCCTAAACATTTAGGGCAATTACCCCAAAACTCAAACCCAGCTTTCCCTTTGTGATATGGAACCTTGTAGTACAATTTCAGAAAGATCCATACACTTACACACAAGTTATTGTCCTGAAACTAGAAAAATGCTTGTTTTTTGCCCCTTTTTGGCCCCTAATTCCTAAAATATTGAGGCAATTACCCCTATCATCAATCCCAGCCTTTACTTTTGTGGTATGGTACCTTGCAGTACAATTTCAGAGAGATCCATATACTTGAACACAAGTTATTGTCTGGAAACTAGAAAAATGCTTATTTTTGGCCCCTTTTTGGCCCCCAATTCCTAAACGTTTCAGCAATTACCCACAAACTCAATTCCAGCTTTCTCTTTGTGATATGGAACCTTGTAGTACAATTTCAGAAAGATCCATACACTTACACACAAGTTATTGTCATGAAACTAGAAAAATGCTTGTTTTTTGCCCCTTTTTTGGCCCCTAATTCCTAAAATTTTGAGGCAATTACCCCCAAAATCAATCCCAGCATTCCTTTTGTGATATGGAACCTTGTGGTACAATGTCAGAGAGATCCATACACTAACACACAAGTTATGTCTGGAAGTTACAAAAATGCTTATTTTTGGCCCCTTTTTGGCCCCTAATCCCTTTACTGTTGGTACCATAACCCCCAAAATCAATCCCAACCTTCCTTTTGTGGTATTGAACCTTGTGGTAAAATTTCATAGAGATCCATTCACTTAAACTAAAGTTAGAGTGCGAAAACCAATGTGTCTTCGGACGACGCCGGACGACGCCGGACGACAACGACAACGACGACGACAACGACGACGCCAACGTCTTACCAATATACGACCACAAAAATTTTTTTGCGGTCGTATAAAAATTAAATATGTAGCTTAAAATGTATGTTGAATTTTAATTGGTTTTCATATAAAAACAGACACGCTGGTTATAGGTGTTTTGTCCAGATTCTGATCTACAAACTCCATAGTTTCAGTTATCCTGTAAGTCACCAATTTATAGCCGTTGGCATACACACATATATATAGCAACATCCACAACAATCGATTAAGATCAAGAGCTGGACATATTGTATGGACATTTGTGTGTTGACCTGTAGATATATTTCTGTACCTTATGATTTCTGTTTCATTGACATAAATTCGCAGTTCAGATTATTGGTTTGCTAAATAAAGAAACGTTCTCCATGACACCAGTCTTAAATGTTTTTTTTGTTTGTATCCTATGTAATATTATATATATTGGCTTTGCTTTTTGAAAAATTAGCATGTTTTGTTTTGTTGACAACCTTATAAAATATGTGCTAGCTCATGATATAATAGAGTGGCAATCTTGAATCAAGGTTGAAGGTAATAGTTGTTTCTGTTTATTAACATAGAACAAAACCATAAGGAAATTTTGGTTTATCTTTCTTCTAATGAATTTCGACTATATGTATTTAACAAGATGAACCTCATTTTATAACAAAGCAAATAAATATTTTGTATGATGTATTTATAAAAATAAAAGATAAAAAAGCAATGATTTAATTTTTAACAAAGTGAAATATAATAAATAATAATAATGACTGCAAGTAAAGATTTGACGAAGCCACACATCCAGTGTTAGTATTGGTCTTCCTATTTGGAGGAGTGGCTGGTGGTTTATTTTTCACTTCTTCTATCCAGCTGTGAATAACAGTCTCCAATGTGGTAAGTGGCATTGGGCCATTTTTCAAAACAACAGAATGGAAATCCTTTACATCAAATGTGTTCCCTGAAAAAAATTATAATTATAATTCGTGCTTTACTATTGTAACAACATAAAGAAAACTTTAATCTTTCTTGAATTTTTTTATTTCTCACAATTGCATAATCAATTTTAATTGATTAAAAATAATGGTGATACACAAATAGTATGCCTAACCCATTTTACAAGTTCATTCAAAACATGAATAAAATAGCAAAGGCAGATAATATCACATCCAAATGAAATGTGTTAACCCCCACACTGCTAATGATAAGTAACCAAAATTTGCTAAAAATTCACCCAAATCGGCTACATGAATAATATAGTATTTTGCAAAGAAAAATGCACATGTTGTATATTTAAGCATGCAAAATAATAGAGGGGAGGGGATAGAAATCGAAGAAAATGCCAATTATTTACTTTTCTATCACCAAATAAGATTTGATTTATGAAAGTAATTTGTATAACATTTTGATATACCAAAGTTTAGCTGCACAACAATGATGATTTAAGAATACTATTGACATATTTTCATCCCCACACAGGGAAATGGGATCTTTATCAATACTCCCTTTAGCTTCATATAAATAAATACTTGGCTCTAAATTTTTATATTTTGCAGTCTATCAATGGTTGATTTTTTTTTGGAATGCATTTGTATTTGCAATGAAATTGTATACGGCTTTCTGTTACCAATAGTTGTATGATGTCACAAACATTTGATTGCATCGAACCTAATTTTTGGAATTTACTTAAACATCTATAAATAAAAGAACATTTTGCAAATCCTATTGAATTTTCAGTTATTTTTTTTCTTCAGAAAAAGTATTGAAATATGCATTTTAGGTAGGGTAGATACTTTCAACTGAATAATGAACAAATGTTTTCTTAATGATTAACAATACATGCATGTTAATTGTTTCTTGAATTAAAAGTAATTTAAGAAAATTGAAACATTCAAGCATCAAAATTCGTTAAGATTGACATGTATTTCTATATACTTTGTGATGGTTGCATCTTCATAGCAAAAACACATATATATAAAATAAGAAGATCGCTTTCCTCCGTCTCTCTTCGACAAAGGTATGGACAACTATCAGACTTTAAAAAATAGTGTAGGAATTACATAATCTGATCCTAAATTGGACATTTTAAAACTAAGTTTTCCTACATTGATTGCTCAGGTTTGGCAAAAAGGTTGCACATGTCTATGCAAATACAGTAGTCTTAAATATTACAACTATTTGTATCGACAATACTATGATACTATAAGTACCTAATTCATCCTCAGCTTTCTTTCTTAATTCTTTTATTTTCAGTTCTCCAATCTTATAAGCGCATGCTTGTCCTGGCCATGTGATATATCGATCTATCTCATTTGACAGTTCATTTTCACCAGAGGCAGTGTAGTTTGACATATAGTCTATAGCTTGTTTTCTAGACCACCTAAAACAAAATATGTTCATAATAATGTACAATATGTAAGCATTTGTACAAACCAATGTTCTTTTGGTGGAAAAGTTTCAATTCCCTAATCCAAGAATGAAGATGCGCTCAAATTGTAAATTTAATTAGCATGTGACTTTAGAATGTTTTCAGTAGCAACAACATTCATCTTTTATAATGGTAGTTCACTAAGAAACACTGATCACAGACACTAATTATACAGTACTGTTCAGTCTGCCAATACATTTCAGTGTTTTTCACAGCTGAATATACAGTACTGTTCAGACACTTAACAGTCTTAACCTTGGTCATCATTACATAATCACTTGCACCAGTTATTCGACTACCAAAAATAAAAGGACATGTGTCATCCAGACATAAATGAGGTCCAATTATAGTATTGCAAGTAATCATGGATTTGGTTTTGGCTTATTTTAATAAAAAGACTGTTTAAGATGTCTTTATACCAATTTCATTGGATGTGTATCGATTGATACTTTAATTAGTCTGGAAGAACACGATTTATTTATTATTTGTTATTTGCTTTGAACTACTTTCTAGTAACTACAAAAACATCAGCACTTTGATTCTATTATCTTTGTGGTACTTGTTTTTTGTGCATCGTTCCGATCTGATGAGTCAAGCCACTTCCAACAGATGTTTGAAATTTGTTCTTATGTTGTGCTCTTACATCACTGTCCAAGGTTAAGGGAGGGTTGAGCACTCACAAAAATGTTTAATCCTGAGCCACATTCTTTATGTGCCTTTCCCAAGTCAGGAGCCTGTAATTCAGTGATTGTCTTTCGTTAATGTATATTATATTAGTTTTTCATTTATTGTTTTGTCATAAATCAGGTAGTTGATTTTTTCAGATGAATTGTTCCACATTTTGTCATGGCAGGGCCTTTTACAGCTGACTACTAGTTAAGGGTATGGTTTTTGTTCATTGTTGAAGGCCGTATGGTGACCTATAGGTGCATAAATCCACTTCTTTTATACTCTGTGGAATAGATGTATTATTGGCAATCATACCACATCTCCTTACTTTGTATAGCTGTCAATAACTTATTAAATTAAAAATAAATTACAAATATGGTTGAGGTTCCAGATATCCTTACACTCCAGCATAATGAATTATTTAGATGATATGATTCAATATGTTCATTAAAATGCAAAATGCATTTCAAAACCTTACCCCATATAGTGGAGTCCAGTGTCAACTACTAGTCTGCAGGCTCTGAATATTTCCTCGCTATAACGACCTAACCTATGTAAAATTATATTTAGCATTTAAAAAGAAGTATGCAAGGTTTTAGTAATAAATATGAATTAAATATTTAGTGTAATAGATTTTAGTAAAATGTGGTTATCTGTAATTCCCTTAATTTCCCTATGAATTTATTGCATGCCATGACATATCCGATTTCTAAACTAAACTTGAAGTCTGACATTACTTTTCAGAATACAATTAAACAACCTATCGACATATATAATATCCACAAATAAATGTTTGTTTTTTTATTTAAACGCAGGAACAGGTTAAAACTATATATTATTCAGAAATCTTTGAAATATATGTAATTGATTAGTTCAAATATTTAACTAAAACTAATAAGTCATTTGGAAACTTGTTCTTTGCTGTACCATTATAAAAAGAAACAATGTGCAAATGTCCCAATAACCATGCCACATTCTTTATGTGCCCAACCAAAGTCAGGAGCCTGTAGTTCAGTGGTTGTTATTGGTTTATGTCTATCATATTTGTTTTTCGTAAATTGTTTTATTAAAAATTAAGCCATTGGTTTAGTCGTTTGGATTGTTTCACATTTATTATGTGTGAGCCTTTTATAGCCGATTATATGGTACAGGTTTTTTTCATGGTTGAAGGCCATACCGTGGCCTATAATTGCTTACATCCTCTTCATTTGAAATCTGGTGGATAGTTGTCTCATTGGCAATCATACCACATCTTCTTATTTTTATATAAAGAGTCAGGATGTAAAATGGAATAAAATAGACATAAAATTATTTCTATATTTTTACATCATTTGTAAATATACAAAACCTTACATTTGAGCATCAGTTTTATAAACACCCATTTCCTCTCCTAAGTACTCAGCATACAGGGCCCAACCCTGCAATAAATTCAATGGATCATAAGATTAGAAAAAACAAAAATATTTCATTTTGTATTGGAAAAAAATTAAACACTGCAAAAGATACTTTTAAAATACTGAATAAAGGACAAAAACAAACAAATGGAATCACACCTGTTATATACAACTTATCGCTATATAGTCCAATCCGGGAAAAACAGTCACTTAGAAAACTTCCTGTTTGGGTCAAGTGAAGCAAGAACAAAGGTCTTCAGTAATGAGATGAGGGCGGAAAACGTGTAGAAAGTGAACATTTTGAAATTTGTATAGTTTATGATCCAATTTTTTAAACACAAATAAAGTTAGAAAAATGCTTTGTTTGAAGTGTTTACAATGGTTTAAAAATAACTCTTTGAAATTTTTTTAATGCACAGTACATTGTTTAAACAGGGCCCAAGATAGCTGCAACTGGTTTGAATGAGTTGTGTAATTATAGAACTTTTCCAGATTGGAATGAATAGCGATAAGGTGTATTTTTGAATGATACAGTAAATATGTAGATTAATTTCAATGTAAATTTTAAAATGATAATTACCATGCAAATAAATATAACATTTATAATAACCTGTTATCATGATTTTTAACTTTAAATCAACTCATGATCTGAATCTAATTACGGAAATTTTAATTATTTCCATCTACGAATTTGCTATTTTGAAACAGGAAAAGACAATCATGTTAGAAATTAATTTTTTTTTTCAAGTTAGAAATTAATTTTTTTTTCACATATCTAGAAATAACTACCAAGTTCAAATAGATTAGAAATAGTATTTCATCCATGAAAGAACTGATAAATATATATACATATATATATATATACCTCTACAAAGGCTGTATAAAAAGGAAATAGTGTTGGTGGCTGAAAATATTTACTGTCTAAACCATTTCGTCTAAAACCTGCTTTCTTGGCTAAGGATTGTATGCTTATCTGTAAAATCGTTCAACACAATTATATTAAATCATTTCTAAAGTTGTGATAAAATTACTAATTATATCTAAAATATATTAATGTATACAGACAAAGAGACAAAAGAGGGGCAGAAGATATCAAAGGGATATTAAAACTAACGAGTCAAAGATAATATGACAACCCCTTGGTAAATAACGAAAAGTCTATGATAATATGACAACCCCTTGGTAAATAAAGAAAAGTCAAAGATAATATGACAACCCCATGGTAAATAAAGAAAAGTCAAAGATAATATGACAACCCCTTGGTAAATAACGAAAAGTCAATGATAATATGACAACCCCTTGGTAAATAACGAAAAGTCAATGATAATATGACAACCCCTTGGTAAATAACGAAAAGTCAATGATAATATGACAACCCCATGGTAAATAACGAAAAGTCAAAGATGATATGACAACCCCTTGGTAAATAAAGAAAAGTCAAAGATAATATGACAACCCCTTGGTAAATAACGAAAAGTCAATGATAATATGACAACCCCTTGGTAAATAACGAAAAGTCAAAGATAATATGACAACCCCTTGGTAAATAACGAAAAGTCAATGATAATATGACAACCCCATGGTAAATAACGAAAAGTCAAGGATAATATGACAACCCCTTGGTAAATAAAGAAAAGTCAAAGATAATATGACAACCCCTTAGTAAATAAAGAAAAGTCAATAATAATATGACAACCCCTTGGTAAATAACGAAAAGTCAATGATAATATGACAACCCCATGGTAAATAATGAAAAGTCAAAGATAATATGACAACCCCTTGGTAAATAAAGAAAGGACAAAGATAACATGACAACCCCTTGGTAAATAACGAAAAGTCAATGATAATATGACAACCCCTTGGTAAATAACGAAAAGTCAAAGATAATATGACAACCCCTTGGTAAATAACGAAAACTCAATGATAATATGACAACCTCATGGTAAAGAACAAAAAGTCAAAGATATAAAGAACGAAAAGTCAAAGATAAAGTCAAAGATAATATGACAACCCCTTGGTAAATAAAGAAAAGTCAATGATAATATGACAACCCCTTGGTAAATAACAAAGAGTCAAAGAGAATATGACAACCCGTTGGTAAATAAAGAAAAGTCAAAGATAATATGACAACCCCATGGTAAATAACCAAAAGTCAAAGATAATATGACAACCCCATGGTAAATAACCAAAAGTCAATTGTGATATGACAACCCCATGGAAAATAACCAAAGGTCAAAGATGATATGACAACCCTTTGGTAAATAACGAAAAGTCAAAGATAATATGACAACCCTTTGGTAAATAACGAAAAGTCAATGATAATATGACAACCCCTTGGTAAATAACGAAAAGTCAAAGAGAATATGACAACCCCTTGGTAAAGAACGAAAAGTCAAAGATAATATGACAACCCTTTGGTAAATAACGAAAAGTCAAAGATAATATGAAAACCCCTTGGTAAATAACGAAAAGTCAAAGAGAATATGACAACCCCTTGGTAAATAACGAAAAGTCAAAGAGAATATGACAACCCCTTGGTAAATAAAGAAAAGTCAAAGAGAATATGACAACCCCATGGTAAATAACGAAAAGTCAAAGAGAATATGACAACCCCATGGTAAATAACGAAAAGTCAATGAGAATATGACAACCCGATGGTAAATAAAGAAAAGTCAAAGATAATATGACAACCCCTTGGTAAATAACGAAAAGTCAAAGATAAATATGACAACCCCTTGGTAAATAACGAAAAGTCAAAGATAATATGACAACCCCTTGGTAAATAAAGAGAAGTCAAAGATAATATGACAACCCCATGGTGAATAACGAAAAGTCAATGATAATATGACAACCCCATGGTAAATAACGAAAAGTCAAAGATAATATGACAACCCCTTGGTAAATAACGAAAAGTCAAAGATAATATGACAACCCCATGGTAAATAACGAAAAGTCAAAGATAATATGCAAAGATAATATGACAACCCCATGGTAAATAACCAAAAGTCAATGATAATATGACAACCCCACGGTAAATAACGAAAAGTCAAAGATAATATGACAACCCCTTGGTAAATAACCAAAAGTCAAAGATAATATGACAACCCCTTGGTAAATAACCAAAAGTCAAAGATAATATGACAACCCCTTGGTAAATAACGAAAAGTCAAAGTCAATGACAATATGACAACCCCATGGTAAATAACGAAAAGTCAAAGAGAATATGACAACCCTATGGTAAATAACGAAAAGTCAATGAGAATATGACAACCCGATGGTAAATAAAGAAAAGTCAAAGATAATATGACAACCCCTTGGTAAATAACGAAAAGTCAAAGATAAATATGACAACCCCTTGGTAAATAACGAAAAGTCAAAGATAATATGACAACCCCTTGGTAAATAAAGAAAAGTCAAAGATAATATGACAACCCCATGGTAAATAACCAAAAGTCAATGATAATATGACAACCCCATGGTAAATAACGAAAAGTCAAAGATAATATGACAACCCCTTGGTAAATAACGAAAAGTCAAAGATAATATGACAACCCCTTGGTAAATAACGAAAAGTCAAAGATAATATGACAACCCCATGGTAAATAACCAAAAGTCAAAGATAATATGACAACCCCTTGGTAAATAACGAAAAGTCAAAGAGAATATGACAACCCCTTGGTAAATAACGAAAAGTCAAAGAGAATATGACAACCCCTTGGTAAATAACGAAAAGTCAAAGAGAATATGACAACCCCTTGGTAAATAAAGAAAAGTCAAAGATAATATGACAACCCCATGGTAAATAACGAAAAGTCAATGATAATATGACAACCCCTTGGTAAATAACGAAAAGTCAAAGAGAATATGACAACCCCTTGGTAAATAACGAAAAGTCAATGATAATATGACAACCCCATGGTAAATAAAGAAAAGTCAAAGATAATATAACAACCCCTTGGTAAATAACGAAAGGTCAAAGATAATATGACAACCCCTTGGTAAATAACGAAATGTCAAGGATAATATGACAACCCCATGGCAAATAACGAAAAGTCAAAGATAATATGACAACCCCATGGAAAATAACGAAAAGTCAATGAAAAGACACACAAGTCCACAAACACTACATAAAAACTATGTAAACAGTTTACTATGCTAAGGGCCACACTATCCACAAAAATAATTTATCAGAAATTAAACTTAAACTTATCTGTATTCTCTTGTGTATGATTGTATTGCAAATATCTAATCAATAGTTGAAGAATCAGTGAAAAGACGAACTAACGAGTGCAAACTTATACCTATAAGTGATATATGAGAAGATGGTCATAAATAACCAAATTAATTCAAGTTGACTGTAAAAGGGACGACTAAAATATTTATGAAGTTTTAAAAATTTTTTTACTAACGGAAAATTTGCATGGTTCGAAATTCATACCTTAAATTGATTACTCGTAGTTACTAAATAGTATATACAAACAACTGTTATTATATGAACACTGGATACTTAGTTGATTTGATGCACAATATGAATATTACTAAAATGTACTTCTGTTCAGTGTTTTAGAACACAAATATGCATATCAGGTCACAAGACATAAAGTCTAACCTGTAGATGATGCCCTGGAACTGTTTCATGCAGAGCCAATGCCATAAATCCAAATGTTGCCCTGGAAAAAAATAGCTACACTTAGTATGAATGACAGTATAGTATTAGAATTTGAAAAAAAAAAATATTAAACAAAATCTGTAAAGTTCACATTTTAACAAACCATCCTTAACATTTTGGATATATCGGTGTTCAGGTTCAGTCATTGTGGTGTCACCTCTGGACCGACAACAATAGGTCTCAATTGAAGACAGCTTATACCAGAATTTCAGCAATAGTGTACTTGGTTACAGTATTTTGTATTTGATGGGTTATAGATAGGTATGTATTTCTTGGACTTTTGAATGCCCTCTTTGCATCTTCCTCCTTTCTTGTGAAAAAGAGGCTTTTCTTTTATATGACATTTTCAATGTTTTTTCCTTATCTGACAACAAAAACATTTATTTTTCAGTTTTTCAATTTTTTGTTTTATTTCCTTATCCGAACTTTCAGTTGTTCTTTGTAGTATTTGTCCGCATTCGGTTTCTCTCCAATCTATTTTTGAAAGAATTTTTTTATATATCATGGCTATAGAAAAAAGTAAAATCACAAAAATACCGAACTCCAAGGAAAATTCAATCGGAAAGTCCCTAATCACATGGCAAAATCAAATGACAAAACACATCAAACGAATGGACAACAACTGTCATATTCCTGACTTGGTACAGGCATTTTCAAATGTAGAAAATGGTGGATTGAACCTGGTTTTATAGCGCTAAACCTCTCACTTGTACGACAGTCTCATCAAATCCCGTTATATTTACAACGATGCGTGAACAAAACAGACATTATAAATAAAATAGTCAAAATATGGGCACAGCAGTCACCACTGTGTTACAATATCAAAACAAACAATTATTTACAAAAATGCACAAAAGCATCTATCAAATTAAAAACCACATTCATTGCTTCCCGTGTCTGACGTCAGAAAATGTAAACGTCACATAAGAAGAAATTTTGTCATTCAATGTTTATTCAAAACAATTTTATAATTTCACATGGGGAATGTTGGTTTACAGGGTTAAAAAAATCAAAAGTTATGTTAGAATTAATTTCAGAAATAGACCGAGATTTAAAATTGTCCAGAAGTTCTTTAGAATTTTTAAGAATCCACATATGGTTAATACCACTACGCGAGTAAAATAAATTTGTCGTTTGTCGTTCAAAGTATTTTCAAATTTATAATAGAACAATAACATAATGACATATAATAGAACAATAACATAATGACATATAATAGAACAATTACATAATGTACAGAGTCACGTTATAAGAACCACAGAAACACAAAAAGTCGCATATACAAAACACACCAGCAAAAATGAAAGATACAAACACATTGACGGGATGTATAAGAATATATAATCAAAATGTGTCATAGTTATTCCAACCTTTACATCATTCATTTTTAAGTCATCTCTAGGAAGACGAATTAGCAGCCATTGTTCCTGTACGACTAAAGTGAGTGTGACCATCTAATTATATTTTAAATTCCCGAATATTTTGTGCAGTATAGCATCAAACTTTTTCACCCGTTCGCTCGACATGTGTTGGAAGTGAAGATGCCTAAATTTTTGTCACATGTTGATGGAAGTCACATGACAGATTCAACTAACTACCATATCTCGGAACTGGCATACTAGTTAACTTAAGTTTTGATGTATATGTGTTGTTTCCTTTCTGTGTTATTATAAATCTTTTTTCAGGTTTAGTGCATTTAAATTTAAGCTTACATTTCCGCAGGATGTAGTCCATTTACTTGGAATGTTCCTGGCTTTGTTCCATCTGGAGACCCTGTTGTATACGTGCCCAGGGGTCCGTCATACGGCATAGGTTCAACCCTATAGTACAATAGAATGTTTACATTTATAATTCCTGAAAATTGTGTTAAAATGAATATAATGTATGAAGGCATACCAAGTAAAAACAAAAAAGACAACATCATATAAGTGAATGAAAAGATGTTAGTTACAAATATATAGAAAGGAAAGATGCAAGGACACTACATACATTAGACAAATGCAAGGACACTACATACATTAGAAATACAAGGACACTTCATACATTAGACAAATGCAAGGACACTACATACATTAGACAAATGCAATTATATATCTTAAACAGCTAAAAACTTATATATATTTTACCTATAATTACCATGATTTTTAAACAAAACAAATACTGTACAAAATAAAGATTAAAACCATATTCTGATCGGAAGATCTTTAAAACAGATAAGGTAATATATTGATAAAAAAAAACTCATTAAAGATACCAAGCTTATAATTTTGTATGCCAGTTATGCATTTTGTGTTCAAAAGACTCAGCAACTTTAAAAAAAGAAAAAGGCTAAATTATTGTCTTTTATTGTAAAAATAGTAACTGTCAAAATGTATTTTATTTAAGCAATTAATTGTCTTAAGGGGGAAAGAAAATGTCTCTCAATGTTTAAATAGCAAATGTAATTAAAGCAACAGACAACACATGTTTTTGGAACTTTCGGTTTTTAATGCTCTTAAAAGTTTGTCTTTTATTTGGTCTTCAAATGTAACTGTTTCAATTTGAAAGCTACTGATAAGTCTTATGTAGACAAAACATATGTCTGGCCACTTTGGCGTTTATAACCCACTTCAACATCAACTTTTTTGTTGTAATATCAATCCAACAAACACAGACCTTTAGTATTTCATTGCTTTTGCAGAAAAGGAAAAAATAGTGACTGTTCTAGAAAATATAAAATTTTTGATATTGCAATCTATGTATTAGGCAAATAAATACCTATATATTATCACTTACACTAATGGCAGATTGGGATTGTCTTTGAACAGAGTGTTAAGTTTAGGTTCTATCTGTCTCTGAATAATATCCTCAAATGTTGAAACCACTTCATCCTATGGATATCAAATAGTAAAACATTTTTGTAAGTACATACATTGCTGTACAGTCGTGTACTGTGAAGTACATCAAAAAATATTCGAGCAACATGTTAGACAAATGACCTTTTGTTATCAAGAAAAAGATTTATTTGCTTTACAGTTGACCAAATCTGTTTTCTTATTAGTTCTTTGAGAGGTAATGCAGTATAAGGAATGTAATAGAATTTCAAAAGTTTTATTCATTGACTTAATTTTTTGTCAAAATATAAATTAGAATTTTTTAAAACATAATAACTACCACTACGAGTATGAACAAGTGATACATATAATATCTACATGTACTTACCTCTGTTTTTAAAAAGAATGAAGAATCGTTTTTCAGTTGATTAAAACCGTCTTTTATACTTCCAGTCATTCCCATTTTCCTAAATATCTATCAAATAGAAAGGACATTTAATTCAATCTATCTACCAAATAGAAAGGACATTTAATTCAATATATCTACCAAATAGAAAGGACATTTAGTTTAATCTATCTACCAAATAGAAAGGACATTTAGTTCATTGTATCTACCAAATAGAAAGGACATTTAATTCAATCTATCTACCAAATAGAAGGGACATTAAATTCAATATATCTACCAAATAGAAAGGACATTTAATTCAATCAATCTACCAATTGCAAAAAGAAAGGATATTTAATTCAATATATCTACTAAATAGAAAGGACATTTAATTCAACATATCTACCGAATAGGAAGGACATTTAATTCAATATATCTACCAAATAGAAAGGACATTTAGTTCAATCTATTTACCAAATAGAAAGGACATTTAATTCAATAAATCTACCAAATAGAAAGGACATTTAGTTCAAGCTATCTACCAAATAGAAAGGACATTTAGTTCAATCTATCTACCAAATAGAAAGGACATTTAATTCAATAAATCTACCAAATAGAAAGGACATTTAGTTCAAGCTATCTACCAAATAGAAAGGACATTTAATTCAATCTATCTACCAAAAAGAATAGATATTTGATTCATTGTATCTACCAAATAGAAAGGACACTTAATTCAATCTATCTACAAAATAAAAAGGACATTTAATTCAATTTATCTACCAAATAGAAAGGACATTTAATTCAATATATCTACCAAAAAGAAAGGACATTTAATTAAATCTATCTACCAAATAGAAGGGACATTTAATTCAATCTGTCTACCAAATAGAAAGGACATTTAGTTCAATATATCTACCAAATAGAAAGGACATTTAATTCAATATATCTACCAAATAGAAAGGACATTTAATTCAGTATATCTACCAATTAGAAAGGACATTTAATTCATTGTATCTACCAAATAGAAAGGATATTTAATTCATTGTATCTACCAAATAGAAAGGACATTTAATTAAGTATATCTACCAAATAGAAAGGAAATTTAATTCAATCTATCTACAAAATAGAAAGGACATTTAATTCATTGTATCTACCAAATAGAAAGGACATATAATTCAATCTATCTACAAAAAAGAGAGCAAGCTTAATTCATTATATCTACCAATTAGAAAGGACATTTAATTCATTGTATCTACCAAATAGAAGGGACATTTAATTCAATCTGTCTACCAAATAGAAAGGACATTTAGTTCAATATATCTACCAAATAGAAAGGACATTTAATTCAATATATCTACCAAATAGAAAGGACATTTAATTCAGTATATCTACCAATTAGAAAGGACATTTAATTCATTGTATCTATCAAATAGAAAGGACATTTAATTCAATATATCTACCAAATAGAAAGGACATTTAATTCAATATATCTACCAAATAGAAAGGACATTTAATTCAATCTATCTACCAAATAGAAAGGACATTTAATTCAATCTATCTACCAAATAGAAAGGACATTCAATTCATTGTATCTACCAAATAGAAAGGATATTTAATTCATTGTATCTACCAAATAGGAAGGACATATAATTCAATCTATCTACCAAATAGAAAGGACATATAATTCAATCTATCTACCAAATAGAAAGGACATTTAATTCAATCTATCTACCAAATAGAAAGGATATTTCATTCAACCTATCTACCAAATACAAAGGTCATTTAATTCAGTATATCTACCAAATAGAAGGGACATTTAATTCAGTATATCTACCAAATAAAAGGGACATTTAATTCAACATATCTACCAAATAGAAAGGACATTTATTTCAATATATCTACCGAATAGGAAGGACATTTAATTCAATATATCTACCAAATACAAAGGACAATTAATTCAATCTATCTACCAAATAGAAAGAACATTTAATTCAACCTATCTACCAAATAGAAAGGACATTTAATTCAATATATCTACCAAATAGAAAGGACATTAAATTCAATCTATCTACCAAATAAAAAGAACATTTAATTCAGTACATCTACCAAATAGAAAGGACACTTAATTCAATCTATCTACCAAATAGAAAGGACATTTAATTAAGTATATCTACCAAATAGAAAGGACATTTAATTCAATCTATCTACCAAAAAGAAAAAGAACATTTAATTCAATATATCTACCAAATAGAAGGAACATTTAATTCAGTACATCTACCAAATAGAAAGGAAATTTAAATCAGTATATCAACCAAAAAGAAGAAACATTTAATTCAATCCATCTACCAAATAAAACGGACATTTAATTCAATATATCAACCAAATAGAAAGGACATTTAATTCAATATATCTACCAAATAGGAAAGATATTTAATTTTATCTATCTACCAAATACAAAGGTCATTTAATTTAATATATCTACCAAATAGAAAGGACATTTAATTCAATCTATCTACCAAATACAAAGGTCATTTAATTTAATATATCTACCAAATAGAGAGGACATTTGATTCAATCTATCTACCAAATAGAAAGGACATTTAATTCAATCTATCTACCAAATAGAAAGGATATTTCATTCAATCTATCTACCAAATACAAAGGTCATTTAATTCAGTATATCTACCAAATAGAAGGGACATTTAATTCAATATATCTACCAAATAGAAGGGACATTTAATTCAACATATCTACCAAATAGGCAGGACATTTAATTCAATCTATCTACCAAATACAAAGGACATTTAATTCAATATATCTACCAAAGAGAAAGGACATTTAATCCAATCTATCTACCAAATAGAAGGGACATTTAATTCAATATATCTACCAAATAGAAAGGACAATTAATTCAATATATCTACCAAATAAAAAGGACATTTAATTCAATATATTTACCAAACAGAGAGCAAGCGTCATTCAATGTATCTACATAAAATAGAGCAAGCTTAATTCATTGTAATATTAAACAAAATTATCAAAATTCCTACTTGACAGATTTGGAAATAAAAAAAGATAGTTAGAGGGAATACATAAGACTAATGTCTATAGTTAAAAGAAATGGGCAGTTTTGAAAAAGGAAAACCGATATAATTGCTATTTGTCTGTTTACTAGTTATGGATGGTTGTGAAAGATTTTTTATAACATAAAATCAACATACTTATAATCTATAATAGATATAAGTGCAACTTTCATAAATGCCAGTTCTAGATAATATGCAGCAGACAACAGTATTATATACATATTATCTATAAATAATCAATCACTTTATTTACGAGAATCAGTGAATTGATCACACTCTTGGTTGAATACAATTTAATTAAATATTGATTAATGTTTTTTTCATGTATGTGGAGACAGTCTAAACTGAATCAAATAATTTTTTTATATAAAAAAGTGTCCTTGAGTTAAGTCAATTTTCTTAATATGTATAAGAAATTACAGAATTTTGAGAAAACTCACAGCTTTCATTTGTGTGGAAATGCGAGAAACTTCTTCCAATCCTTTCCTATGAACTTCTTCTGGACTGAGTGGCAATGAGGTATGCCATTTCAAGCAAGCTATATAATAGTCCATACCTTTATCCCATGATCCTACTCCAAAACCTGGCCTTGTATGATTCAGATAAGTCTACAATTACATGAACAATATTCATTGGAGTAACCAGCGGATACATTATTGTACACACAACAAAACTCATTGCACCAACTTTGTTCAGATTGCGAAGTTAAAATCAAAGTAACCTTGGAACTAATCTTTAATAGATTAGGCTTATAAAATATATTTTCTTTCGTATGTGTTTTACAAAGAATATTCATATTCCAGTCAATGTAGGGAATACAAAGCTTTAAAAATTTTGTTCACAATTGTTCAAAATATTTGGCTTTCCAAAGTTTGGTCTCTAACATATCTGATGAAATTTATTTCAAAAAGACGTATGAAGAAAATTAAAATGTTGGGGTAGTCGTCAATGAGACAGTAACTCAGCGACACAAATAACAAAAATACATGTATAGTATGTCAGAAATAAGGATATCAGTATCTTACGTTGATTCAACAAGTTATGTTTTGTAGCAATTATGCACGGAATACTATAATGAATAATTGTAGTTTACTTTTTAACTTGACACGAGTCCCTGTAATTGTGTTTTGTTTTGAAGATTAATAATCTCGTTGGTTGATACACTGCAACTCTTTTTATTCCCTTGTGTAGTAAACTGTGCATAACATACTGTCATTCTTCATTTTGTTCATTCTAAGCCATCTTGGTTTTGAACACTTCAAGTCCATGTATTTTTTTTTCCTGTCATGTGTTTAACTTTCTTTTAACTATTTTAGATGTTTCTTCTTTGCAAATAATATCTAAAGAAACCCTTGCATGTATACATAACTTTGAACACAATTCGTGTCACAGAATGTGCAGAAACGGCTCACCCTTCCAGAGCATGTTAGTTCACCCATATCTCTTGTTGGGTTCATTGTCATTAGTTTTGTTACATAGTATTTTGTGGACTGCTATTGTTAAGTTTTGTTACATAGAATTTTGTGATTGCTATTGTTTGTCAAGGTTTGTTACATAGTATTTTGTGGACTGCTATTGTTTGTCCAGTTTTGTTACATAGTATTTTGTGGACTGCTATTGTTCGTCCAGTTTTGTTACATAGTATTTTGTGACTGCTATTGTTTGTCAAGTTTTGTTACATAGTATTTTGTGGACTGCTATTGTTTGTCAAGTTTTGTTACATAGTATTATGTGGACTGCTATTGTTTGTCAAGTTTTGTTACATAGTATTTTGTGGACTGTTATTGTTTGTCAAGTTTTGTTACATAGTATTTTGTGGACTGTTATTGTTTGTCAAGTTTTTATCTGTGTTGTTCTTCTATCTGCTGTTCATCCAATTTTGTTTTTGTTTTAATTCATCTTAATTTTGTTCAATTAACAATATGTTTTAATTAAATTTGAAAGTTTTATTGTTTCCAAGTAGTCAGACGTATATGAGTATCATCCGGTTGAATCTTCACATATTTGACATCAACATTCCTACTTTAAGTTATAGCTTACCTCATTTATAAAAACCTCCATGTCATGTAAGGACCTCATGTAATGAGTGATTGCTATTTTGGCCTTTTCCCTTATACTTTCCCTACAAATAAAAATAGTTCTTGGAAAACTTCAAAATATCAAATACTTTTCATAGGTACATAGGGTATGCAATGTGTCCTCTTTCATTTAATTCTATCTATCAAAATTGATAATCGGAAGAAAATAGAATGACAATATAACTTTACAATTATTCAAAATCAACATAAGGAAGAAAATAAGATGTCGAAATAAGTCTTACATTTTACATCATAAATTAGTTTCTCACAATAAGGTTAAGTTTATCAAAACTCTGAACAAATCCTGACAGGAAAAAATGTTGATCTTTCAAGTCCATCTATTCATGTATCATTGCATTAAGTATTCAGAAAGATGCTGTTATAAACTGCTGTCTACTAATATATTGTAATTTATTGTAATTTTGTAATTCTTATCAGTCTTCAATTTTGACCAGGAATTCAAGTTTGAGAATTAAAGTCCAGTTGCATATATTATGTATTCATATTCAGAACCAAAAGAGGTTAACAATGATTTCAATAGGTAATGGTCTGCAAAGTTGACCAACATTCCTGATGAAGGTAAATCTAGAAAAGCACCTCTGCCGAATGAAATTTGTTTTTGGTCCTGAATATAGGACATACCAAAGGGAAGATTTCAACAGCTAAACATATATGTTTCTATTTATGTTAATATCAGAATAGATTTGAAAAGATGCAAGTAAATATAAATTATATATGGCTGTCTTCTCGGTAATCTTTATTTCCTGTCTGTTATTATTTCTATCTTAACTAATGAATAATGAAGATAAATTTCAAACTGAAAACTTACTTTTCCTCCTGGTTTATGGTTGAAATCTGATCTAAATCATCTGTGAATGGTTTGTACAACACAAAGCTTTCGCTGTCTTCAGTAATCATCTCTCTTATTGTTTTTGGTACCTTATCCTGGGAGAGTAAAGGATAGATTTTATTTGATAAAGAAAGTTCATTTTTCATTTTCATTTGTTTGACATTATCTGCAAATACTTCTTAATCTTAAAACAATTGTGGACAGCGATGCACATGGGATGTACCCAAAATTTATATTTCATATTTGTTAATAGCAAATTAAAGACCGAGAGTGAAGGAACCAATGTTGGAAAATATTGAAATATTTACCAGAACCAATTATCAAAGAATGTCTTTTTTTAATAGCAGGTTTCCTACTATTTATTATTCATTTTGAATAACTGTCGGTTTGATAACATGAAACTGACAGTTTGAGACTTGACTGTGTAAAAGATAGCATGAAATTGACAGTTTGAGACGTGACTTTGTAAAAGATAGCTCGAAACTGACAGTTTGAGACGTGACTTTGTAAAAGATAGCACAAAACTGACGGTTTGAGACATGACTTTGTAAAAGATAGCACAAAATTTTATGGTTTGAAAAATGACTTTGTAAAAAAGATGGCACAAAATTTATGGTTTGAGATGTGACTTTGTAAAAGATGGCACAAAATTTATGGTTTGAGACGTGACTTTGTAAAAGATAGCACGAAACTGATGGTTTGAGACGTGAATTTTGTAAAAGATAGCACAAAATTTATGGTTTGAGATGTGACTTTGTAAAATATAGCACAAAATTTATGGTTTGAGATGTGACTTTGTAAAAGATGGCACAAAATTTATGGTTTGAGACGTGACTTTGTAAAAGATAGCACGAAACTGATGGTTTGAGATGTGACTTTGTAAAAGATAGCACAAAATTTATGGTTTGAGATGTGACTTTGTAAAAGATGGCACAAAATTTATGGTTTGAGACGTGACTTTGTAAAAGATAGCACGAAACTGATGGTTTGAGACGTGACTTTGTAAAAGATAGCACAAAACTGACGGTTTGAGACGTGACTTTGTAAAAGATAGCACAAAAATTATGGTTTGAGACTTGACTTTGTGAAAGATAGCACAAAACTGACAGTTTGAGACTTGACTTCGTAAACGGTAGCACAAAACTGACGGTTTGAGACATGACTTTGTAAAAGATAGCACGAAACTTACTATTGACACTTTATTGTATGTGTGATTAACTTCAATTGCCTTCGTAAACCTGTCTTTCATTTGGTTAAGCTGAAAAATAAAATATATAGTTTTTGTAAAAGTATTTTTGTATTGGTATCTTTCTTCTCATACACCAATGGCGAATATTACAGGTATAGTAACCAAGTCCAAAGTAAGAATCCTACTATTATTCTGAATTTTTCAAGGTAGATAAATCCCTTGTCGATCATTTTTGCAATTATAATTCAAATATATCGTTCATAGTTTCCGTAGTAATTTTCAAAAATTGCAAATTTCTGAATAAAATTTAATTTACGTTGGTTAAACATGCATCTATGATTTTTTTTTACTAAATAATAAGCCTAGTATCATCTTTTATTTAACTTTATTTTTTATCTTTGAAATATCCTACGATTACTATGTTTATAAAGCCATTTTAGGTGTTAGGTGATGATTACCATCAAGTGTGTGAGTATCATTATTCAACATCATATGTGAAATATATTTACCTGAATTGGCATATTTTGGATTCTAGTTATAAAGTTTTCAAAATCTCCTTTAGTATGCTTCGCCATATTCTTTACAACAGTATCTGGATCAGATTGTGGGCCTTCAAGGAAGTTTATGGGATTTAGTGCATTGTACCTACAATTTTAAAAATATAAAACACTGAAATATATTTTTACAGCCATTCTGACAGATAGACAGATAACATTTAATAATTTCAAAAGTTGTGACGTTACTCCAAAACTGAATTTCTTTTGAATAGAATGGATATAAAACATGTTAAAAAAACAGGACAAAATCTCTTTACAACACTAAAGAAGGAGGTGCACAACTTCAATAGGTGAACACATCGTATATAATAATTTGCAATTTTGTTTTTCTAAAAACTCCAAGAATTATGGCTACATAACTTACCCTATACTAAATCTTTTATGTTAACTTACATTCTCCATTCATATCCATCATGATAGGTCTGAAGGAAATCTTTGAATATATCATAATCTACTTTCAATTTGGGAGTCAATCTATCTCTTTGGATCCTTGATAACTGGTCAAGATAGGAATCAACTCGATTCTATGTAAATATATGAGAACAAATCGTCAAGATTGAATTCATATTGGTTTTTTCATATGTGTAAAAATTGAGTATGGAAACAGGGAATGACGTCAAAGATACAACAACCCGACCAAAGAGCAGAAAACAGCCCAAGGCCACCAAAGGGTCTTCAACATAGCGAGAAAATGCTGGCCCCTAAACAAAAATGTATACCTAAAATTGAGAATGGAAATGGGGAATGTGTCAAAGAGACAACAACCCGACCATAGATCAGACAACAGCCGAAGGCCACCAATGGGTCTTCAATGCAGCGAGAAACTCCCCCTATACCTCTAGACAATGTAGAAAAAAAAAACGTACAACAGTAAACACAGTAAAACTCAGTTCAAGAGAAGTCCGAGTCCGATGTCAGAATAGGAAACAAAAGAAAATAAACAAAATGACAATAATAGTTCAGCGAAAATGGATGTCACACTATATTCTGAAACAGATAAATGAACCAAAATTAAAAAAGCATACAAGACTTACAAAGGCCAGAGGTCCTGACTTGGGACATGTTTGTTTGATTTTATGAAAAAAAGAACATGCATTAATGTGGTTAATCAACTGCATCAGGATTTATCAGCCTATTAAGTTGTTCTTAGTTTTATTTCCAGAAATGAGGTTATATTTAGTATAAGCATGATAAGTAGTCTTACCTTTTAGTGTTTTGTTTTATAAGAATATTTAAAAAGACAAAATAAATAATAATAAAAGAACAGAGTTCCAATGTCCCCCTTGTTGCACATACCTTATCTATCCAAGGGCAATAACTAAAAAAAGCATTTCTTTTTTGTTCTTTAAAACTCACAGTTTACAAATATCTTACAAAATTGAAAGCTTTAGAGGAAATATTATGCAATTTCCAATATAATTAATATTTCCAAGGGGCATAACTCTTTTAGAAATAATTGATTGTCACTGATTTTCGAATATTTCCAAGACATTGCTTATATAAACCTTTGGTATGAATTTGATAAAAAAATCTGGCAAAAATTGTACACATGAGCATGCTTACAATGCAATTTTCCATATAAATAATATTTCATAGGGGCATAACTCTTTTAAAAATAATTGATGGGCACTGATTTTCGAACTTGTCCGACCCATTGCTGCTATAAACCTATGATATAAGTTTAATAAAAATCTGACAAAAATTGTACTTGTGAGAGCACTAACAAGACAGGACAGACAGACGGATACCCAGTATTTCTATGTTCCCCGCAAAGAGTCACGCGTGGGACAATTAGCATAAATGTTCAGATAAATTGCATATATTCTCGATGTTCAGATATTGCATTTCTTAAATTTTTTTTTCTTAAAACAGAAATATAGAGAGCATGGTTCATGTATGCAAAAATATCAGGTCTTTTAAACTACATGCTCTATTTAAACTTTAGCAATAAGTTTTTAAATAATATTATTATTTATTGTATTAAGCCTGTTTGTAAGATGATATTTTATACATTAATGTCATCAATTGTTCAATATTCTAAATAATTTTTTTTTCTCAAAATATTTAAATATATGTATTAAGCACTCTATAGTTGACTAAGACATGTAAGAGTTTATGACATAATTCAACAATTCATAGGTTTACTACATGAGTCTTGTCAATTGATTCGATTTGGTACATTTATATGTTTGAGAGATAATGTGTTGTTTGAGTACGATGTTTTCTTCAATTATGGGCGTGTGATGTGTCATCATATACAGGTGACCACGAACAGCCTGTTTGTCTGTATAATTTAAGATTTTATAAAAAGATATGTTTTTGTAAACATACAAGTGTAGAGACAATAGAAGTTTACCAATGTTTATCCTGGTTCCTGGTACTACGTTCCAGGTATATGTGTAACATACTGAATATTGCGATCGGGAACCAGTCTAACCAATGTTCAAATCTCATAAATTAAGGAGATACAAATCAAAGGAGAGAAAAAAAAATGCTGAGGGAATCACATGATAACAAGTCAAAATAACCATTATGACAACATGTTCAAAATGTTAAACAAATTACATAATGATAATATTGTTACCTTCCATCTGTCAAATAACTCAATAGAGTAGTCATCGAGCCTGTCATCATATCTACGATCATTAATTATTGTAGCAAATTCGGGATTTTCAGCTAGCAACCATTCACTGAAACTGTTTTGCAATTCATTTAACTTGTCTTCTGGTGTTTCTAAAGATAATTATAGAGATCTAGTTATATAGCATGGCATGCATCAATACCAGTATGAGTATACAGTTCTATTCCGAAGAAGAACACACTAAAGGACATCTCAAAATTCTTTTTGTTATGACTTATGATTACAATGTTTTAAAAAACGTATCACAAATGTTTAATTCAGAAAATTCTACACTCATTCTAGGATGCAAAATTTCAGATGGCTTAGAAATTTTAAAAAAACACTACAATATTTACATAAAATATTTTTACCTAGTGTCAATGAAATTATCATGATTTAATGTTATAAAGGGGATGGATTGCAGCATATTTATTATCATGGTTATATAATGAATATAAAATATCTTGACAAAAATAGGAACTAAGCCATTTCACCTTAGGCATCATGCTAACATTGCATGCAAAATTGAGAGTTGTTACCATAGTTCACTACCGATCTTTAACATTGTCATGATTGAGCCGTAATTGAGTTTTAATTAATGTGTAATTATTCTGTCTTTACTAAATATGAATAACATTTGAGAATGCTTGAATTGATGTTCAAGTGCATACCTGTTGCACCAAGAGTGTTTTTTACTTGATCTATCCAAGAATCAATTATTGTCTCAAGGGTTGACAGCGGCATGGCTCCGTTTTGTAGAACAACTAGATGGAATTCGTCAATTTTGAACCGATCACCTGAAATAAAATAACTTTCATACCTAATCAATATCAACTATAAGTTATCAATAAAATTGAGAATGGAAATGGGGAATATGTCAAAGAGACAACAACCCGACCAAAGAGCAGACAACAGCCGAGGCCACCAATGGGTCTTCAATGCAGCGAGAAAATCCCGCACCCGGAGGTGGTCCTCAGCTGGCCCATAAATAAAATTTTGTACTAGTTCAGTGAGAAAATGGACGTCACACTAAGCTCCAAAACATATAAATGAACTAAAATTAAATAACATACAAGACTAACAAAGCCAGAGGCTCCTGACTTGGGACAGGCGCATATATGTGGCGGGGTTAAACATGTTTTGTGAGATCTTAACCCTCCCCCTATACCTCTAGCCAATGTAGAATAAAGAAACACATAGCAATACGCACAGTAAAACTCAGTTTAAAAGAAGTTGGAGTCCGAAGTCAGAAAAGGTAACAAAAGAAACTAAGCAAAATGACAATGATACATAAATGAACAAAGGACTACTAGCAGTTACTAACATGCCAGCTCCAGACCTCAATTAAACTGATTGAAAGATTACGTCTTCATCATATGAATAATGTCCCTGCTGCAATAAAATTGTTTTTGAACAGCCTCGATGTACGACAATATATGTGAACAAGCAAGTGACATAGCAAATTACATAACTATAAATATCAAAATATTTTAGAAGTTAAATATGGTGTCCATTTCATCAGTACAGAGATGGTTTAAGCTTGAGCATTTAGAATCCCTTGGTGTAGTAGATTTAAAGTAATGCAACCCTCAATCAAATACTGATTATTGACATATAGTTCCAGCCAGTTCATTTTCATTCATTTACTATGGAACATATCTAAAGCAAATTTCACTTGTCAAATTAATTATTATGACTAAGTATGACATAACAGCATCAAAACACCATTTGAAAGACAAAATCAATGTTTCTATCCAAAATAAATCAAAAAGAAGATTAATAAAACCCCATTATCCAGCTCTTCTTAGTTACAATGTTAATGGTAGTTATCTCAATAAACTACCTGTACAGTGGGAATTGTAATACTGACAATATAGTATGTCCCAGACCATAACAAAAAGCTAAAAATATTTTTGAACTAGAACTTGTAGAAAAATATCATCTATTTGGGGAGCATATATAAGAAGAATATCTTTTAATGGACAATTTGCAATGTAAGTTATAAAGTAAAAACATTGTTGTAAAGCAAATATTATGTTGTTTAAGACTGTGGTATGGAAAAATCTGTTTGTACTAACTACATGTATCTTGTTAATATAATACAAATAAAACCTCCAAGCAATCTAGAATAAACATTCTTTGTCTTTTATCAATGAGAAAATGTGTGTATGAATTTTTTGTATGTGTCATTTTAAGTTTATTACATTCTCTAAGACATTACCATTAGAAAATAAACTTAAAAGAAGAAATGTATTGTTATATACAAGTAAACTTTGTATTTCTTCACATCAAGTTTACTACATAGAAAACAGATAGAAAGAAATTATGTTTAACAAATCGCAAGAAATAAAAGACACAAGTACAAGACTCAAGTTAAATTCTGTTTATGCTTACTATGCTGTGTGGGTTTTGATCATCTTTAAAGGCCGTACCGTGACTTATAGTTGTTAACTTCTATGTCATTTGGTCTCTGGCAGAGAGTTGTCTCATTGGCAATCATACCACATCTTCTTATTTTTATACAATACATGACTTTAATTTTGTTAACATACCCAGTTCCTTTTCCGCTTTAGCTCGAAGTTCCCTTATCTTGAGTTCTCCAATTTTATATGCACATGCCTGGCCAGGCCATGTTATGTATCTATTTACTTCATTAGTTATATCACTCTGTCCATATGCTGTGAAATTAAGCATGTAGTTTATGGCACGTTCCTCTGTCCAACTGTAAATGCAAATAAAGCAGCTCTTAAGTATAAATAGATTTTTCTGATTTTTTTACTGAAGAAAGAATTGTTTCTTAGATTGAGTTGAAATTACTAGAGGCTCTAAAGAGCTTGTGTCGCTCACCTATCTGTAAGTGCATCCTCAACAGATTAACACTTTCCAACATTGTGGACTAAAATAGAATTCATGGAAAAAAATTCTTTTTTGTTGATCTTGTTTTGGTGATCTTTTTTTTCTATTTACACTTTATCTCTGTCTTCTTTCATTTTTGCCCAAAACACAAATATCAACAAGAAATGATTGTAACAGGATGCTGTTACGAAGTCTCCCAAACGATGCTCCCATAATTCGTAATTCCCAGGGTCGCCTGACATTGGGCAACTTCCAGTGAAAATTGGTTTGGTCCAGTAAAGTTATATGCATTAGTGATGCCTGGGGACTAACCTTGTATATCATTCAAATCATCTTGGCATGACAAACCAGAATACATATGGTTCAGGGGTGGGGATCTCAACCATTTACAAGATACTAGAACATTGGGGGTGGGGAAGAACCCCTGGGGACTGGCCCTATACGTCATTCAAATGTTCATTACATGACGAACAGGAATATATATGGTTTACGGGTGGGGATCTCAACCATTTACAAGATATTAGAACATTGGGGGTGGGGGGAACCCCTGGGGACTGACCGTATACGTCATTCAAATGTTCGACACATGACAAATAGGAATATATATGGTTTACGGGTGGGGATCTCAACCATTTACAAGATATTAGAACTTTCTCAAATGGCAGGGGGTGGGGGTGACCCCTGGGGACTAACCCTGTGTTTCATTTGATGTGCTTTATCATGACAAACCAGAATATATATGGTTTAGGGGTGGGGATCTCGACCATTTACAAGATATTAGAACTTTCTCAAATGGCATGGGGGTCGGGATGACCCCTGGGGCCTAACCCTGTATATCATTCAAACCATCTTAGCATGACAAACCAGAATATATATGGTTTAGGGGTGGGGATCTTGACCACTTACAAGGTATTAGAACTTTCTTAAATGGCAGGGGGTGGGGTGACCCCTGGGGACTAACCCTGTATTACAATTGATGTGCTTTATCATGACAAACCAGAATATATATGGTTTAGGGGTGGGGATCTCGACCATTTACAAGATATTAGAACTTTCTCAAATGGCATGGGGTCGGGATGACCCCTGGGGACTAACCCTGTATATCAATCAAACCATCTTAGCATGACAAACCAGAATATATATGGTTAAGGGGTGGGGATCTTGACCATTTACAAGGTATTAGAACTTTCTTAAATGGCAGGGGGTGGGGGTGACCCCTGGGGACTAACCCTGTATTTCATTTGATGTGCTTTATCATGACAAACCAGAATATATATGGTTTAGGGGTGGGGATCTCGACCATTTACAAGATATTAGAACTTTCTCAAATGGCATGGGGGTCGGGATGACCCCTGGGGCCTAACCCTGTATATCATTCAAACCATCTTAGCATGACAAACCAGAATATATATGGTTTAGGGGTGGGGATCTTGACCACTTACAAGGTATTAGAACTTTCTTAAATGGCAGGGGGTGGGGGTGACCCCTGGGGACTAACCCTGTATTTCATTTGATGTGCTTTATCATGACAAACCAGAATATATATGGTTTAGGGGTGGGGATCTCGACCATTTACAAGATATTAGAACGTTCTCAAATGGCAGGGGGTCGGGATGACCCCTGGGGACTAACCCTGTATATCATTCAAACCATCTTAGAATGACAAACCAGAATATATATGGTTTAGGGGTGGGGATCTTTACCACTTACAAGATATTAGAACTTTCTTAAATGGCAGGGGGTGGGGGTGACCCCTGGGGACTAACCCTGTATTTCATTTGATGTGCTTTATCATGACAAACCAGAATATATATGGTTTAGGGGTGGGGATCTCGACCATTTACAAGATATTAGAACTTTCTCAAATGGCAGGGGGTCGGGATGACCCCTGGGGACTAACCCTGTATATCATTCAAACCATCTTAGCATGACAAACCAGAATATATATGGTTTAGGGGTGGGGATCTTGACCACTTACAAGATATTAGAACTTTCTTAAATGGCAGGGGGTGGGGGTGACCCCTGGGGACTAACCCTGTATTACAATTGATGTGCTTTATCATGACAAACCAGAATATATATGGTTTAGGGGTGGGGATCTCGACCATTTACAAGATATTAGAACTTTCTCAAATGGCATGGGGTCGGGATGACCCCCTGGGGACTAACCCTGTATATCAATCAAACCATCTTAGCATGACAAACCAGAATATATATGGTTTAGGGGTGGGGATCTTGACCATTTACAAGGTATTAGAACTTTCTTAAATGGCAGGGGGTGGGGGTGACCCCTGGGGACTAACCCTGTATTTCATTTAATGGACTTTATCATTTAGAACATTTTCAATTAAAAAGATTGTTTCTATCACAAACGGTTTTCAATTTATAATCATTTGAAAATTTAAAAAAATAAAATCCCATAGGGTTCTATAGTAAAACCCTCTTTTCTATTTGCCCCTCAAAGTACCCCTTTATAAACCCCATTGCACAAACAAAACCCTGATTGCACCACTAGACATGTTAGTCTAACATATTGTGAAACCCTAAGTTAATCTGACAAGCGGTTTTGGAGAACGGGTGCGGACAAGTTCAAATTTAAAAGCGGCGGAAGAAGAAGAAGAAGAAGAAGAAGAAGAAGAAGAAGAAGAAGAAGAAGAAGAAGAAGAATAATAATAATAAGAACTGAGCAAAAACAATAAGTCTTCCCAAACTTCGTTTGGGAGACTTAATAACAACTTTCCTTGTTTGGTTTGGAACCTTGTTGTACAATTTCGTTGAGATCCATCATGTCCATAGACTTATACTCAAGTTATTGTCTAAAAACCAGAAAATCCCTGGGGTTTTTTTGCCCCTTATTCATGTTATTGACCCCTTATTCCTAACGGTTTGGGCCAAAACCCCTAAAATCAATCCCAACCTTACTTTTGAGGTATGGACCCTTGTGGTATAATTTGGTATATATATCTTTTATAGTTTTTATGATAATAGGCAAAAACACTAAAACTGGGTAAAAATAGTCATTAAAGAGCATATTAGTAACGCCAATAAGGAGTCATAAGACAATTTCAAAAATGTTAACTTATTTGAAGATCATGTATTGTCCCAGTAAACAATCCAACGTTGACACTACATTGTGACAACGTAATACTATCGTTGTGACAACGTAGTAAAATTACGATGGTACAACGTAATTTTGTGGACTCCAAGGCACGTGCTGACAACCATCCACACAACGTTGGCACAACGTAATTTATGACGTAATTTATGACCATCATAAGACGTTGTAACAACGTCACAACACAACTGTAAATGTCCCTTGTCCTCATTTGATTGATAGGAGCAATAGAATTCCATTAAAGAAGTAAACAGGGTCTATATTTTATTCTTTTGACCTGTTTTAAGTTGTAAATTTTTCTATGTAGGAAAGATGTACACAATGTCGATATGTACTCTATTTCCAAACTGCCAGCTGTGATATCAGCTGTGTATAATATAGTAACAATTTCAAAAAAGTTTTTTTTACCTTTTTGCCAGGTTTCAATGTCAATGTATAAATATCTCTGTTATCCCCAAACTTTGCATTATGTTTTACATTAAACCCGTAGTTTTGTCCAATTCATGTTTCACACAGTTGTTTAAGGTTAAAGTCTTAGTTTTTAACTTTTGCAATACTGAAGTACAAGATTTACACATTTCCATTTAACAAAAGCAACTTTTCTTTAAAGAATTTAACACATGATATTCAAAAAAGGAGATTTGGTATGATGGTCAGATGAGACAACTCTCAATCCTAAATCAAATATTGTTGAAGCTTAAGTATGCAATTATATGTAACTGTACAGCCTTCAACATGACATCTTGGTACATGCTGCAACTTCTGAATGTTTAGGGTTTCAGTGTTCTAGAATATAGATTTCACTATGATGGAGGAAATTCTAGAACGTAGATTTCACTTTGATGAAGGAAAACATTTTTTTTAATGAAATACAACAAACTACCACATATACCTTAATATTTACTGTAGATTCATTCAGCTGGATTCACTACACAATGACAAGCTAGGAAAAAAGGTTGGAAAAAGGCACAAAGCTGACTGTCTAATTTACAAATATATATTCTACACAACTTATACACACTTCTAAAAATATCCCAAATGAAGAAAATACCTGAAATTCAATCAAACTATAAACTATTGCTTTTTTTCCATTGACCAACTAGAGATAGACCTATCCAAAAGTTAAGACTTTTTCTTTTTTCTTAGCTACATGAACCAATAAGAAATAATATGATTCTGAATTTTTTTTATTTCTATTCATAATTTTAGTCTTGTGTTGGTTATATATATGTCATTCCAAATTTTGGTTTTCTGCCCTCTGGTCACGTTGATCATATTTGCTTATTTCAGTTTTTATCTATCTCTCATAGTTTTTATGATATTACAAAAATGTATTCGGAAAAAACAGAAAAAAAAGAAAGGTAATATTGTCATACAGGGGCAATACAAATGTAACACTCATAAGAGGTTGTCAGACAATTTCAACCATGTTGACTTACTAGTAGATCTTGTTTTGATGATCATTTTTGCCATATAAAGTTTCATTTTATCTATTAAATTTTCAAGATAATAGGCAAAAATGAAAACAATTGGTTAAATTTGTCATTTAAAGGCAATAAATCCTATAAGAAGTTGTCAGACAATCTGGATTTAACAGACACAGCTTTTAAACTAGACACCCCAATGATGTTTGTGGCCAAGTTTGAATTTGGCAAAGTAGTTTCAGAGAAGATTTTTGTAAAAGTAAATGGACAATGACAACAGACGACGACCATGAGGGACACAAAGAGATCAGAAAAGCTCACTTGGCACTTTTCTTTAATTTCATTGTTTTATACCATGTTCACCTATTAAATATTAAAACTAAAAAAAAGTCTGACTGTATCTAGACTTCTTTAGTATAAGGGTATTGTATAAGTTTATTCTTGCACTGAAAAATTTCAGCTTATTAGATTTTTTTTAAAGGTTAAAAAGGTCCTTACTTGTAAACATACCATGTAAAACAGGTGGGTTGTTTTTTCAAAATGTAAATGCTTTATTTAATCAATTTAGAATTTAATAGTAAAGGTCCATACAAAGGTGCTCCTACTTAAAGGAGGCACATACACAGAAGAGAGAGTTAAGTTAATACACAGCGAACACCTGTTAAAAAGAATTGAGTCACTTACTTGTAATAATGAAGGCCAGTGTCAACCACGAGTCGGCATGCTCTAAATATCTCAGCACTGTAACGTCCTAATCTATAAAAAATTCTCATTTGTTAAATAGGAAGCCAACACACTGTATATATTCTATTTTTCATCGTCGTTTAATAAATCTGTCTTAAATCTGGATCAAGCCAGTTAGTCTATATATATATATATATATATATATATATATATATATATATATGTGTATTCAAGATAAAAAGTCTATTTTTATCCAAGAAGTTACTAGTGGACAAAACCACTGTACAATACATGTTGGCTTTAGATCAAACGACTTTGGAACTCAGCATTAAAATTAACACTTTTTTTATAGTTTAGAGTTAGAGTTACATAAATTAACCAAGGATTTGTAATTACTATACGAATCCTTGAATTAACTTATTATCAGCATTTAAAATTAAGTGATACATTTCTTCTTTGTTTTAAAAATTTATCTACCAGTAGATTTATTCCTAACAATCGGATGTACATGTATGCCAGCTTCAATTTATGCTAGGAACAATCAATTATTAGATACCAACTAAATGTTTAAAGCCAGGGGCGGATCCAGCCATTTGTAAAAGGAGGGGGGTCTTAACCCAGGATAAAAGGGGGGTTCCAACTATATGTCCCCATTCAAATGCATTGATCGTCAAAAAAGGGGGGTTCCAACCCCCGGAACCCCCCCCCGGATCCTCCACTGAAGGCAGCAATTAAGAGTAGCCAAAATATTTTCATATCTTAAAAATGCCGGTACACGTTTTTGAAAGTTCTGGTGTTAATGTTTGTTTCCCCAAACTTGTGAGCCAAATCGGTTGAAACATGTCCTTCATTCAAAGGTGAACATTAAGATGAAAAAGAACGACATTGAATGGATAATATTTTCAAGTTGAGATCAATTATCAAACTTTTAAAAACTGATAACAATGATTAATACAGTACGATCTTACTATGTAATTCCTTGCTGTAAACGAAACAACTTTAAAATATTATAACTGTAGTTTTACTGTACCACCATTTTAATTCGATTCTTCTTATGCACTGACACTCTATATCGATTTTTGTCATCTATTACCTTCCATCTCATGCTTTCCGTAAAATTTTTACGTCAAAGAGAAAATGTCTGACACAACTGTTATATAATAACTGTTTTTCAATAACCAAAAAGTCGCAAAATTTCAAGGACTATCACATAACTCGAAAATGTTAAGTGTACATGCACAAATTAACAATTGCAAATGCATTTGTAAAAAGCTAATAAAAAATCGAGGATGCTAAATCACACAAAAAAACAATTGCAAGTGTTCATATCGCGTACATATGTTTTGATGTTTAATTTTCATACAGTGAACATTTTTAAAAATTACTCATGCAATATAATCTGGATTTAGTAAAGTTAGTAACGCTTGGGAAAAAATATAAATTACATTTTCTTAATAAGGACATTGGGGAGATAAGCTGCAAACTTCTTGTGCGACTTGCGCAAATTAAATGTAGTCAAATTACAGGGGCGGATCCAGCCATTTATAAAAGGGGGATTCCTAACCCAGGAAAGAGGGGGGGGGGGGGGGGGGGAGTGGATCCGCCACTGAATTAAATAGGCAGTGGCTATTTTGCAGGCGCCGGCTAAATAGAAAATATGCTATTTTGCCGCCGGCTCTAGGTAAGCGAAAGTCAATTTTGACAGTAAAAACCGATTTTGTTAACAGATATGATTCAAAGAACTGATTATTATTTCAAAATCAAATTTAATTTAATTTAAACATTTTTAATCTTGAAGCTATGTGATTGATTATGTTAGATTGTATAATGTTTTATCAAATTTATATGCAATGAGATTTTCAACTTTTATTTTTTACAGCATACAGTTAAAAAATCTTATTTTATTCTTTGCATACATGTAACATTAGACTGTGACCATTTTAGAAGTTATTTCAATATGAAGTACATGTTTTGATATGATTTCATTGCTACAAATGGACGCTCAATATTTTTTTTTTTTTATTTCATTTTACAAATTCTTATTTTCAGTTTGACTGACTAAATGTTTTTAAACGATTATAAACTAGTATAATAGTCCCAGCTAATATGTATCTCAAGTACTGTTACTGTTATCTTATTAAACTGTATGAGTAATAATTTGATTCTTTTATGTTGACAATGCACATTTTCGTAATACTTTTCAAAAGTAAATATTAAAATTCACTCGTTACAAAGAACCGGCAAAATAACAAATTTACTTTACTGCCGGCGCCGGCAAAATAGCCACTGCTACAGAAAGATTCTATTTTGCTGGTTTTAATTAAGATATGTTGATCGTTTGTGACTAGTATACCTGTCTAAAAACAAGGTGAGCCATTGTCAACGGAGAATACTAACCATTGACAGGATAGAATTTCGTTATAGAAACAAATTAAGATAGCTATGTCTGGTATCAAAAGTTAAAAACATATTGAAAAAAATCACGACGGAAAATATCAAGAGGACATTGTATACTCATAACAAAAGGTCATGAGAAGCTGACAACGCCAAAAAAACGAATAACGACAAATAGACTAACACGTTCACGTGGAGGTCCCGGGCATACAATATATATTTTCGGGGAAAACTGGCTGTCTCTATGTCCAAGTCTCTGGAAAATTTATATATTACTTATTCACATCCATATATTTCGATCAATGATCAAAAACTTAACCGAATAACTGTAACACAATGTGGGAAATTGCATTGTCCGATGCTTGACCTAGTACATGTATTATTCAACAGCTAGACTACTTTATAAACTATACCGACAGTTATGGGCTATTGTTGAAAGCTGATTGATGGCCCCTCTGAGCTATATAAGATCCAGCTTTGGACTAGAACGGCAGATTCCGACTGGAGATTCCGCCAAGGTCTCCCCCTTCGTGGGTAGGTTGGAATTAATCAGGACCGAACAGTTATACCGCTATACGATCACGTGTTCATGTGACAATTCGCTAACACCAGAATTCATCAGATCACGGCCAGTGTCACAGTGCAAAACAATCATTGAACTTTCGAACTAGTTATCTTTAGAAACTCTGTACATTGTACGTAGTTCTGTCTTAGACCTCTTTACATAACAAATTCAAAATACAAATTCAAATTCTGATAAACAATCGGAATTGAACCAATTACAATAAAAAGTTACCAAATTATACATTCCCGTTTTGCCGAAAACGAGGATTACGTTTCTTAATAAAAAAAATAAGAAGATGTGATATGATTGCTAATGAAACAAGTCTTCACCAGAGACCAAATAAAATAGAAGTTTACAACTATAGGTCACCGTACGGCATTCAACAACGAGCAAAATCCATACCGCATAGTCCGCTATAAAAGGTCCCGAAATGACAAATGTAAAACAATTCAAACGAGAAAACTAACAGCCTGATTTATTTACAAAATAATGAACGAAAAACAAATATGACATACAGCAACAAACGACAACAACTGAATTATATGCTCCTGACTAGAGACAGGCACAAACAAAATGTAGCGGGGTTGAACTAGTTTGCTGGCGCCAAACCCTTCCCTAAACCTAGGACAGTGGTGTAACAGTACAACATAATAACAAACTATAAAAATCAGTTGAAAAGGGCTTAACTCATCAGATCGATTCAAAGCAGAAAAAAAAACAAATAAACTTAAACACAGGTCGGACGTGGCAGGGTACTTATACAACCCAACAACAAAAAAGACGCTAAGTACAGATCTGAGGGTACTTGCAATTACTGACAGCTACTTCAAAGCAAATAGCAACAAATAAAAAAATCATCTATCTAAGACTAAAATATCAATCAGTACACATCCGACATCCAATAGACTTAATGTAAAGACGTCATTAACAGTCAGAGAAAATCCTTGACCTTAAGCTGAATGCCAAGATACAGGTATCGACAGATGGAAGAACCGTGAATGTGCATAAAAATTCTCTATTTAACAATAATATTAAAAAGTTTGGTTTTAATTTATTGCATGGAAACAAATCAATATCTATTGTGCGGATTACGTTTCTTAAGTTTGTCAAGAGTCGCTTTCGGTAGTTATCACTACGTGCCAATTCATCTACATAAATCTATGATTATTCAATTAAACGAAATGATTACCGGGTTTATCTTAAAATGCAAATAACTTTTGAATAGAATAAAATACAATGAACTTTTGAATAGCATAAAATTTATTATTATACTTCATGTCAAAATGCGGGATTCTGATTGGTTAATACGAGGAATACTCTATCCCATGGCAAAAACTCTATTACCCTTCACGGAGACGCTTGATCATTTGTACGCTTTTTTAAATAGGGATGACTGTTATGTACAAAACGTCATAGTTTATTACTTTGAATTTGAAATTTAATAGACAGTAATAACAGAACATTCAGTATAATAAAGTAAATAACACATAGCTGAGAGGGTAATAGAGCAGATTGTTACCCCTCGAAAAGGCATTGTCAACCTTAGCTTCGCCGCGGTTAACAACGTTTTCTCAGGTTAAAAATCTGCTCTCACAGGCACTTGTCTCGGAAAAAAAAAAATCCTATATACCTTAATATAACATTAAGGTATATAGGAAGAAAAAAAATTCAGACAAGTGCCTGTGTCTGCTCTATCACCCTCTCAGCTAAGTGTTATTTATATAATGAACCATTGAATGATTAAAATCAAATAACAACTCGGAATGTTGATAAGCGGCATGGCCTATAAAAATATACAAAATCAACAATAGTGAACTGGGGACGAACAATTTTTGGGTTATATTACTCTTATAAAATAAGTTAAAAAGTTAGGTATCTCGCAATAACCCATTGGGTATTTACTGTTCAATACTAAATAGACCAGACATACTGAAAATGTTGACGGACCAGTATACCATAATACACTGAACGGACTCATGATACTTTAAAACTATCTAAATCTTAAAAAATAACAACTAATTTCTGTTGCATTTGCCGTGCGGACGAACTAAAAACAACAAAAAAAAACAACAAAAAAAAACTCAACTAAGTTCTGTTGTGTTTGCCGTGCGGACGAATATAGCTGGCATTTAATAACCATAAAATTAACTAACATATCACTTCGAACCAGTAAAAGTCTGAAATGGCCTATATTTGTACTCGACTGTACTGATTTTTACTCGACCAGTCTGAATTGGTCTGAAATTTACTTGATAATACTCGACTGTAGTCTGAACCATACTTAACAGTCTGAACTTGTACTCGACCTTTACTCGACCAGTACTTAACCATTTTATTTTCGTCTGAACTATGCTCGACCTAGTCTGAACCATGCTCGACCTAGTCTAAACCATGCTCGACCTAGTCTGAACCACACTCGACCTAGTCTGAACCATACTCGACATAGTCTGAACCATACTCGACTAAGTCTTAACCAACCTAGACCTTATTTTTGTATCTATCTATTGTATTTCATCAATTTAGGAACTGTTTTTAACAGCTATTTCCCCTGGCTAGAAATTTGAACAACAGTTTGAAATTTAAAATGTATTTAATATGGCATTGAAACCAAAATTTCCCAATAAACATAATATAAATTCAACACCATATTTATCAACACTTACATATATATATCACCTTTAAAGTAAAAATAACACAAGCTGATCAAATAATCTCAAAACTGAATTGTGACTAATATTTTTAATGTTATTCAAATTTTTTGAATGTACAGATATATTTTATGGTTACTGGACAATTTTCACCATTTACTTAAGCCTTGTATAGATTTATGGTGTCAGTTGAGTTTAGTTAATAATGCAGTGAACATTTTTTTTATTAAAATATATTTAAAATAGTATATAATGCAACTTAATAAATTTTAAAAATAACACCTTATTTTGTAAAACCAAGATTTTAATATTATCATGATAATAGAACTTCCATAGCAATCCTTGATAACCATTTAAAAAAGGAAATGTGTTCCAAAGTTGCAGAAAAAATTTGTTTCAATTAAATTTAAATAACTTTTGTCAAAATTAAAGACATGGCATACAAGAAGCACTTTAATAAGGTTTATTTACCTCAGTACATGTCTTTTTTACAGGTAAAAAGAAAGCCCTTTTTCTAGGGAAATCACAAGGCCTTGCGATTTAAGTTTTACAAGATATGGCAATTTTTAATAAATGTTAATTAGAAATTAATACTCTCTGACCAGGTGTGATCTTTTTGATGAGTTTGCCCCAAGCAGGAGGTATTACTTTATACTTTACCACTAATCAGAAGAAAAATTTTATCTATTTCTTTAATTTTTTTATCCATTTTTGATATATATTATATATAATGTATCCCAAATAATAATAAGAATAGATATATTTCTAATATAAGGTTAAACAATTTCAGTGATTTTTTGGCAGTTGTTACCTCATTAAAAAGATAATTATATAACTATTGTATGCAACCATGAAACCTATATAGTTTTTCTTTAGAAATTTAGGAAAATGAAGTATAAAAAAAAAAATAAACACATGCCAAACAAGAAGCACCTTAATAAGGTTTTATTACCCTCAGTAAAGGTGTGGTTTTGAGTTAAAAGAACATCTTTTTTTTAACAAAACTCTAAAACTTTAAAATTAATATAATTAAATTGTTATATAGGATAATTTAATTTAACTATCTCTATTTGATAAATCTGAGAATCATGTACATGATGTAAGGATGTAAAAATATGTTTTTATATATATCTTTATTTTATTGTGGCTGTTGTCATGTCAGAAAAAAAGAAATTCATTTTAACAGCTAAAATTAAAAAAAAAGTATAGGTTTGTTGGTCAAGTATGGTTCAGACTGGTCGAGTATTGTTCAGACCTTTGGTCGAGTATGGTTTAGACTGAAAAAAATTGGTCGAGTACAGGTCGAGAATGGGTTAAGATTGTTTCAGACTGGTCGAGTAATAGTTCAGACTATTTTCAATGGCAAAGATAAGGGTCAAGTACAAATCAGTACGGTCGAGTTTGGTTAAGACTGGGGTCGAGTAATGTCGAGTAAAATTCAGACCAATTCAGACTGGTCGAGTAAAAATCAGTACAGTCGAGTACAGATATAGGCCATTTCAGACTTTTACTGGTTTGTAGTGTATATGACAATACATGTTTATACAATACATCAATAGAAAAAAATAAATTAGGCTAAAAGTTATGAACATCTATAGATTTTAGATAAACATTTTAAGATTGATTAACTTGAATCTTTTATTGCCTCTGTCATTAGTGATGAATGCCACCCAGGAAAAATATAAAAATAATTTCATGGAAACCTGTAACTCGAGATAATGCCGACACCACTTCCAAAGAAAGCGCCGAGTCCTGCGCTAACGTCCAAAATAATTCAAAATCGCTAGCTATAACATATCGGTATCTATAAACTCTTGAAAATTGTTGTTCACTATCGAACATCAACTGTTATAATGAAAACCTTGCTCTACTACGAAAATCAGAAAAATAAATAACTAGTAATTGATTCTTATCCAACCCTAAGACATCACCAATTTCGTAAACCATCGGTCTGTAAACTTTCTTATCCTAATACTAGACCGAACAAGAAATTTTGAAACTACAATTTTTTTAGGACAACGGTAGAAACCAATCTAATTAAAATAAAATCTCCGCACTCGCTCATTTTTTAAAAATAAATTTCAAAATTGAAAATCACAAAGTACAACACTGAAGACTAAAGCAAGAAAAACACGAACCCCTTTTACAAAACACTAGGGAGGGGGTCTCATGTGCTCTGGAAGGGTTTGCAGATACACATTTGGTGATGAGTCTCATTGAGTGATGTCACAATCAAGGAAAAGAGGACCTGTCAAATACAGAATTGTCCACAGGGCAGGTGTTGACAAGACCTGTCCCTAGACCGTTAAAAAGCAAGCCTGTCCAATGCAAAAATCACAAAGCAAACTTATCACCTGCAGCTGTCACAAAAGACTTGTCCAAAGCCTAGTCTATAGTTGAGACATTCAAAAGACTCCTCAAAACCAAAGACATGTATTCGAAAAAAAGCCAATCTAGATATGGTCTATCACCGATAAAGTTCATCTCTGCACTGCTCCAAAATATAACCAGATAGCTTGTAATAAAAGCCCTGTCCATTGATAATTTTCTATGTTTTCTATGTATTGTGTGCGATTTCGTCCAATGTACATTTACTCAATATCCTTTCATTTTCTAAGTATTCTTTGTCAAGGCTATATTCTGTTTGACTGCTAGCGCATATATATCTTTATACATCAGTTTAAGTCAAACCTTATTATGATTTTGGAAGAAAAGCAAAAAAACATAAAATCCAACCGATCATTACTCCATTGCTTCCATGAATATGAGTGCGTGGCTGTTACAAACTTAAAGTTGTGACTTGTGCCACTTCAACACAAGAAAACACAATAAAAGTTTTATGCAAAAAGGCAAATACATGTATAATTAATTTGTGGCTACGAAAAAAAACATATTTATACAAGATACTAATGTAGTCTGCTAATGAGTTTTCAATTACTCACTTTTCTAGATAGAAATGCATGGAAGCATAAAATGCAAACCACTACTTCTTACCTTTCATAGTCATTTTCGAAGACACCCATTTCCTCTCCCAGTGACTCAGCATATAACGCCCATCCCTTCGTTTAAAAAAGGAAAACAAAATGTGCAATATCAATATTATAAGAATATATATATATGCATATATACATAAGTATGTATAGTCAATGTTTGAAAAATCATGCACAGACAGTTTATGACATTAGATTCTGCATCTTTAGTTTCGTATTTGATAACATTTGAAATCTTTATATTTTTATTTCCTTATTCTGAATATTTAAAAAAATATATATATATACTCTTAACACAGTGAAGTAGAATAAAAAATATCAATCGATTAATGCAATTCACAATACTTCTATAAATAAGATTTTTTTTTACTGACCTCAATATAAGCAGTATAGGATGGAAAAGCTGTCGGCACCATATAAGTCCAATCTACGTATGTTGTTCGGAAAAGTGGAATTTTTGCAACACCTTGATAGCTTAGCTGTAAGGAACAGAGTAAAATAAAATAAACAATTTTCATAGTGAAAATATTTGCTTTTGTTTTTGGAGAATATCTTAAGAACATTTGTATCAAAAGTAACAACTACAAAAAAAAATTGATGGATGATTGTTTATTTCACGATAAAAATTGTTTTTGTTGTGCCTTATTTACATCTAAAAAATGACACTTGTTGAAGCCAATATGTTTACCTCTATAGTTTTGGGGGTTCTTTTTTGTGTCGTAGTGTTTCTATCTGACTGGCTTAAATTCCTCATCTAGCTTTATTCCCTTCACTGTTTGATTCAATGTAATATTGACCACCGTATTTATCAATCAAAAATTATCTTTTGTATAAAAAAAAAGATAAGAGAAGATTCCAAGGGGACAATCTAAAATTATTAGTCCAATTAAAACAGACAACACCATGACCGAAAAAAAAAAACAAACGAAAAGGCAAACAACGATATAAAATATAGCATAAAAGCAACAAGAACCCTATCAAAATCTGGCATGAACTCAAATAATCAGAGAGGGTAAACAGTACTTGCTCCACTTGTCGCACCCGTCTTTTTACTCATGCAAGTACAAATCTGATGGTAAGTCGCATTTGGCGATTAACAATCGAGGAAAAGAGGATGGGATTGGTTCGAACAAGTGGAACATACATGTGGTCATCTGTGACGCTGTTGTTGTCTGTAAGATTTTCGAATCTCTCATTTATATAATTAGGCGCCATGTCATTTTCTACTTTGTCGAAATAATTAGTCTATTTTATATCAACAGATGAAGTAATGTAAGCTTGCTTTTAGCAATCTTCGATAGGTTTGGTGTATTTTTATTGCTGTCTTTGTACGTGTATTTTATTATCTATTATGCAGCTACTATAGAGTTAAGGATGTTTGCTACTCTGTTTTAAAAAAAAGCAAGATTTTAAAAGACTGTTATCAATTAAAAATAAAACTGAAAAAAACAGAAAAAAGTTAAGGGTCCGTGTCCTTTTTTTTTAATATAAGCCATTACAAATTTGGCGGGAAATGATTCTCTCTTGATATTTCATACATTTAACATTTTTTCTTTCAAAAACTATAAAAAAAATAACAAGGATTTTATTAGATTTTCAAATATGGCATTTTAAAACTATATCTAATACAATGAAGTAAAGAAAAGTAGGGGTTTGCGGACAAAATTTGTAATGGCACTACATGGATTAAAACAGATGATTCCGAATATTTGACAAAAGGTCAAAAACAAGAGTAGCAAACATCCTTAAGGATGTTCGCTCCTCTTGTTTTTGAATTTTTGCCAGATATTCGGAATCCTCTGGTTTTATCCATGTAGTGCCATTAAAAATTTTTCCTAACCCCTACTTTTCTTTCCATAATTTGATCACATATAGTTTAAAATGTCATCTTTGAAAATCTTATAAAATCCTTGTTATTTTTTCATCGTTTTTGAAAGAAAAAAGGTGCCAATGTAAAATGTAAGAAAAATCTAGAGAGAATTATTTCCCGCCAAATTTTTAATGGCTTATATCTCGAAAACAAGCACACGAACCCTTAATATTGTTCTGCTTTATTAGTTTCTTTATTTATATACTATCAATTTATAACAGTTGTTATTTTGAAACAGAGTAGCGAACATCCTTAAGTGCTTTTCGGAATTGATTTTTAACGTTTCCATGTATCTTTTTTTATTTCACAGCTCGAGATTGAGAGGGGCAGGGTTTAGGTCACATAAACTAGTTAAAATTAGTCATATGTACGTCCATTGTCTTTGTTTGTCTTTTTTTTTAATTTAAAAAAAAATATATATATACTCTCAACACAGTGTAGTAGGATCAGGAAAATAAATTGGTTAATGCTATTCACAATACTTCTATATATTAGACATTTTTTACCGACTTCAACAAAGGCAGTATAGGACTTTTTTTTATCATTTAGGAATATTTGAGTTGATGAAAGATATCTTTGACCATAGTCTTTGTTAATTTTAGTCAAAATTTTCCAAGGGCGATTTAGAACTTGACTGTCGGTATACTCTACATTATTGTTTTTTTTTGGTGGGGGGGGGGGGGGGGGGGATGCTGTATCAGAGGAACTTTGCCTTTAATTCTCGGAAACGTATACTTGATTTCATTCATGCTATGTTTTGCACAAGATACCTTTATATCTTTATATCTATATAGTGTAGTACCAACCTGTAAATGGTGACCAGGAAGGGCTTCATGTAGAGCCAGATCAACAAAGTTAAACGTCGGACTGAAATATTGAAACGTCTTGAAAATAATTTAAAAGTTTCAATAATTACTGGCAATATTTTAACACCCGATATCTGCGATTTGTTAATTTTTCTGGTCTTATTCGCCTTTTTAAAAAGTATCCCTGTTTTTTTGTTTTTTTTTTTGCTAAACATTGATAGCACGTCTGTACAGGTGTTGTATAGTTTTGGCATATTTTTCTAATAATTTGAATAATTTGTCGGAGAAAAGTATTGTTTTGTACAAAATTAATCATAGTTTCGAACTAATATGAGAAATTGACTTTAGACAATGTGAATAGTTGATTATGCTTTGTTCTGTACGTTCCCGTGTATATGATTATGCATCTGTGGCTTCCCCTAAATGACATTCTGATTATTTATATGATGGTTAATCCTGGCAGTTCCTTGGCCACTGTATATATCATATATAGTATGTTTATGAGAATCATAAAATCGTTGAAGAGACGAAGAAAGAAGCCTGGAAGTTCATTACAACCACGGGTATATTTTTCTGTAGCAGTAAATATTATATCATAAATTGTGTTTTCATTACCTTTCATTCGGATGAAACAGATTAGCATAAAATATTCCAGGACGAGATCCATCAGGTGCTACTTGTTGGTACGTACCCCCAGGCCCATCTGTTAGAGATGGCCTGACTCTGAAATATGATAGAATAGATAATATTACTTACCCACGGGAAAACAGCCACATTAAGAAATATATACATATCACAATTCCCTATATTATATGAATAACATGTCACAAAAAAGAATTTTACGCATTTATGATATAAGTTGCATCATATTTAACATAAATGCTGAAACCCATTATATGCAATCTATTTGAATTGAAATTTTGGGGAAAAGTGAACAAGGCATAACACACGATGAAGTAAGTATAATATGTGTCATTATCTGGTCCTTGAAATTGCAAAAATTTGGGTTTTTTTTTCAAAATGGAGACAGAAGATACCAAAGGGATATTCGAACACATCAGTCGCTGACAAACTCGATATTATTTACAAATTATGTTAGTTTTTATTGATAAATGCAAAAGGACAGTATTAGTATTATCTTGATATTTTATGATAAACATAGCAGTTGTGGTGTCATTATAATGACATAAATATGCTGACATCTTTGACCAATAAGGGTTATTTCACACATGAAAAAAAAAAGAAATGATCCAACCTTTACTAAAAAAAGAAATTTGTACATTTTGGTATCTTTAAAACAAATTTCGTTGCATAACTTTTTTTAAGGAAACTTTAAAATTGGCTTAATATTTCGGACAAGTTTATAAAGTGGCTAATAGGAGGTTTTGGCATTTAAAATTTGATGCCACAAGTTCAAAGTCCAAATGCAAATATGTAAGACAAAATTCGAAAAAATTAAGACTGATAAATGAAAGACAACTTTTGTGAACATCTGAAGGATTTTATTTCAAAGATTCATAAAGCTTTCAAATTTTAGTATTTCAAGGACCAAACAAGTGGGATACCCATACCTTATTCTTTGATTTCCTGCAATGTGGATTTTCTTTTGACAATAGTATTCTCTATGATCTTGTTTTTTAACGTTTCTACGTATTTATACATCCTGACTTTGAGTGAGATTGAGTGTTCCTGATGAAGGGAAATCAAGAAAAGGACTTCGGAGGAACGAAATTCATTGAGTGATATTTTTGTTTTGTAGAAGTTAACTTATTATTTATTTTTTTAAATCTGTGAATGTTTATCACATACTTGTTTTTACATCTAATTGCAAATTGTAAATAAAATTATGAAAAAAAAAAACTGAACACAATGGCAACTGAAAATGCTTCGCTCATTGAGGATCACTGATATTATTGTCTAGTCCCTCTTCTATTTCACACTTATTTTTAGAAAATAAAAATACTTACTCAAGAGGCAGATTTGGAATGTTTTTGAATAGTTTTGGAAGATTGGGCTGTATTCGATTAAATATTATATCTTTATAGTCCTCTAATATTGCATCCTACAAATACAAGGATTTTGATATTAATACATGTAAATACCTTTGGTTTCATTAATTTTCTGTACTTATTTTATTAATATTAGGTAAACCCTTTAAAAGAGAGGCGAATGATACCAAAGGGACATCCAAACTCACAAGACTAAACCAAACAATGCCATGGCTAAAAACGAAAAACAACAAACAACAAAATGACAAACAACAGTACACAAAACACAACAAAGATCACTAAAGAACGAGCAACACGAACCCCACCAAAATCTGGGTTTCCTTTAAACAGATTATGTCAACGCTAGGTAAAGTCCAGTTTGGATTGTGTTTTTCGAATGTGACCACGATTTTCGCGTTAACATGAAGTAAAATGTAACCAATCGGTTTTTTTAGTCTTGAAATATATATACAAAGTGAGTTTGTATTTGTGATAGAAAATTATTATCAACCATACATTATTTTGAATCGTATCCTAAAATGCTATTATTCCAAAATAGAACGAAGCCCATTTAATGCAGAAACGAAGGCATAATTGAAAGGAAATGCTATCATAGATTATGCATTTCCTTACAGTTGCAGATCTAGAATACAAAAGTATTCAGAAACAGATGAAAAGTACTTTTTGAGAATAAATCAATTTGTATATATCCGGTCTTTTCCGAGAGCAGTCCTGTTTTTTTCGAATAGCGTCCAAGTTTAATCGAATGGTTAAACCATATTCACATTGGCTAAAATGTGATCTGTTAAAGCGTTTAATTGAAGAAACACAGTTTATATAAACGCTTTGTTGAATGATCAATCGTCTGTATCAGACGACTTGTAGTCAACTGTATCAGATTTAGACGACATATAGTAAACCAATCAACTGTTTCGAACTACATGAAGTAAAGTACTTAACTGTGTCTGACGACCTGTAGTAAAGTAGTCAACTGTACCATACGATCTGTAGTAATGAAGGCAACTGTGTCCGAGGATCTATGTTTAAGTATTCAACTGTACCATACGACCTGTAGTAATGAAGGCAACTGTGTCCGAGGACCTATGTTTAAGTAGTCAACTGTATCAGACGACCCGTAGTAAAGTAGTCAACTGTATCAGACGACCCGTAGTAAAGTAGTCAACTGTATCAGACGACCCGTAGTAAAGTAATCATCTGTATCAGACGACCTGTAGTAAAGTAGTCAACTGTATCAGACGACCCGTAGTAAAGTAATCATCTGTATCAGACGACCTGTAGTAAAGTAGTCAACTGTATCAGACGACCAGTATTAAAGTAGTCAACTGTATCAGACGACCCGTAGTAAAGTAGTCAACTGTATCAAACGACCTGTAGTAAAGTAGGCAACTGTATCAAACGACCTGTAGTAAAGTAGTCATCTGTATTATACAACCTGTAGTAATGTAGGTAACTGTGTCCGAGGATCTTTGGTAAGTTAAGGCGATAGTAGCTTACCGCTGTTTAAATCTCGTAAATCAATAAACTGAGTAAAGCAGTCAACTGAATCAGACCACATGTAGTAAAACAGTCAACTGAATCAGACTCCATGTAGTAAAGCAGTCAACTGAATCAGACTCCATGTAGTAAAGCAGTCAACTATATCGGACCATATGTAGTAAAGCAGCCAACAGCATCAGACTAAATGTAGTAAAGCAGTCAACTTTATCGGACTACATGTAGTAAATCAGTCAACTGAATGACACCATGTAGTAAAACAGTCAACTGTATCGGACTACATGTAGTAAAGCAGTAAACTATATCGGACTCTATGTAGTAAAGCAGTCAACTATATCGGAATACGTGTAGTAAAGCAGTCAACTTTATCGGACTTCATGTAGTAAATCAGTCAACTGTATCGAACTACATGTAATAAAGCAGTCAACTGAATCGGACTCCATGTAGTAAAGCAGTCAACTGAATCAGACTACATGTAGTAAAGTAGTCAACTAAATCAGACTCCATGTAGTAAAGCAGTCAACTATAACGGACTTAATGTAGTAAAGCGGTCAACTGAATCAAATTCCATTTAGTAAAACAGTTTACTTTATCGGACTACATGTAGTAAAGCAGTCAACTGAATCAGACTACATGTAGTAAATCAGTCAACTGAATCAAACTACATGTAGTAAATCAGTCAACTGAATCAGACCCCATGTAGTAAAGCAGTCAACTATATCGGACTACATGAAGTAAAGCAGTCAACTGAATCCGACTACATTTAGTAATTTATTTATGTACTCACAGTGTTGTTTAGTAGAAATTTTGGATCATGTTTGATTACGTCGAAGACTTCTTTGGTTGTTCCTGTGAGATTTAGTCTCTTAAAGATCTATAAAAAAAAAGATATAAAATCCAGTTTAAGAATTATGAAGTATTAAAAACCTTTTCATATTTTTTGTAAATTGACTGTGCAAAAAGTAAAATAACAGAAATACCTAACTCCAAGGGAAATTCAAAACGGAAAGTCCCATATCAAATTGACTAGAATAAAACACATTTTTTACAGGATTATTGGCCTCTCAGCATTCGCCATGTACAAACAATAAACATGTATGCATAATACCTCTAGAATATCAGTCTGCAGATAGATAAACCAAGGAAAAGACTGATGGGACCATATTTCTATACCCGAGTCACCCTTGGATATGTATGTGATCAAACCATCTGTGATGACATCATAGAAAAGAAGTGATGAGATATTGACAAATGAAAAAAAGTGTACCGGTATTCGTCAAAACCAAACAAAGGAACAGCTCTTTTACAGTTGTTCATTCTTTCAAGTAACAAAGTAAAGCAGTCATTACAGGGCAAAAAAATGTACGTTCAAGAGGCCACACAGCACCAATTTGGACGGCTCACATTTAGTTCTACCTTGAAACATACAAGATATAATTTACTACAAAAAAATCAAGTAAAGGATCGGTCCATTGTTTGCTTAATAGGGTAGTTTTTTTAACGACAAGAAGTCATGCAAAAGCCCATAACGGATGAACATTCTTGTGGTTCTAAAAGCGTAAAACAGGGATCCAAGCATGTCACCTGAATATATAATTTCATACAAGGATACAACAGACTTGCTAAAGAGCTAGTTTGCTAAAATACATCAAATCACTACCCCGTATTTTGCCAAAAAAATGAAAACAACATGTAATAAATTTCATGCGTTCGAAGCGCTTTTCTGAATTTACCTTCATGAGGAACGCCCAAAGCCTAATATTTGGAAGCCAAGGATGTATAAGATCTGGAACTGTTGAACCGTTGAAAGAAATGTTCTGTGCTTGGAAATCCCCAGTTATGAATCAATATACAAATATAGTAAGGGTCCTTTTTTGTTTCAGTAGATAAACTGATGTTTGAAATACATGAAAAATTGTAAAATAAAAAGAAATATTGATAAAGATGGAATATGTTCAAACAAACTTAATTTAACAGATCTTATTGTGAACTGAAAGTTTAACACGCAAGTAGTCAGCACTTCGGTGTTGACATGAATATCAATTATATGGTCATTTTTATAAATTTCCTGTTACAAAACTTTGAATTTTTCGGAAAACTAAGGATTTTCTTATCCCAGGAATAGATTACCTTAGCCGTATTTGGCACAACTTTTTGGAATTTTGGGTCCTCAATGCTCATCAACTTTGTACTTGTTTGGCTTTATAACTATTTTGATCTGAGCGTCACTGATTAGTCTTATGTAGACGAAAAGCGCGCCTGGCATATCAAATTATAATCCTGGTACCTTTGATAACTATTTACACCACCGGGTCGATGCCGCTGCTGGTAGACGTTTCGTCCCCGAGGGTATCACTAGCCCAGTAGTCAGCACTTCGGTGTTGACATGAATATCAATTATATGGTCATTTTTATAAATTTCCTATTACAAAACTTTGAATTTTTCGGAAAACTAAGGATTTTCTTATCCCAGGAATAGATTACCTTAGCCGTATTTGGCACAACTTTTTGGAATTTTGAGTCCTCAATGCTCTTCAACTTTGTACTTGTTTGGCTTTATAACTATTTTGATCTGAGCGTCACTGATGAGTCTTATGTAGATGAAATGCGTGTTTGGCGTATTAAATTATAATCCTGGTACCTTTGATAACTATTAACATCCACGATATGACTACAGTTGTTTACTGAAAGTTTACCCACAAATCATGTTCAAATTACTGAGAATATCGTTGTCCTGTCGTAATCTTGCATTAATGTGTGAACTGTGCGTCCCATATTGAAGGCCTTAATGTGACTTTGAGATAAAAATCATCAATTAAATCGCTGTTCCTTTAAATTTGGTTTCACTTTTGTGTAGTTTGTCTAGTGGTGGTAGGGATTTGTCGAAGAATAAACACACCATATCCCATCATTTCTATTTTATCGGTCTGTTTTATAATATGAACGTGAAAAATGTTCGTTCTTCTTCTTAATTGCTCACAAAGAAGGTTGGCATAACGGTCTCAGTACATAACATTCTTATTCTTATCCCAATTCGAATCATTATTCCATAAAGTGTATGTAGTAGTGTAAATGATGAGTTTTGATAGTTATGGTATCCTCAAAAAAATGTTCGTGCTTGTAACCCGGTTTATTATAATTTGAATATACCTTTTGAATTTCTAATGATATTCGATGGACTTCATCAATGCCTTTTTGATGAACTTCTTCTGGTTTCAGTGGAAGGGATAAATGCCATCTTAGACAAGCTTCGTAAAACTCGTTACCATGAATCCAAACGTTAACACCAAAAGCCTGCCTTAGGTGTTTCATGTAAGTCTAGAAGAAGAATTAAATAATATCGAATATAAAAAAAATGATTATGGCTTCTATGAGAATTGACTGGTCTCACTCTTATTGATCATAAGAAAAATGTCTGAACAACAGTACTGAATATTGGCTGTTTCCCTCTTAAATCTTTTTACTATTAAAAGTGTTTGATAGTTATACCGTTTTTAGGTCTATTTTAATGATTTGCAAGAAATTATCTGATCAAAAAGGGTCATTCTTTCTGGACACATTCTACATTTCTACTATTGTTTTTCTCTGTCCTTATTCCTGTTTCGAATTTTCTTTCGCTTTGGAGAGAAGCAAAAAATATCACATATTTGTATTCAGTTTAAATCAATCGGAAATCGAACCCAAATTTACCATAGTTGTTCCATGCATTCTACCACGAGATGATTGATGCAACACGAATGAAAAAAATCATTAAATTTATATTAAACAATTGCTTTCGTGGATGAAGTTTTATATATGTTATAGCTGTGTACTTGCATTTTGAATGTAATCTTTCATCTCTGTCAATGATGTCAGATATTTCTGTATTACTTCTTTTGCCCGGCGACGTAGTTCTGTTCTGAAAATTAGAAAACGTGTTTCAATAACCGAAATCTAATGTTTAAATGGCATACAACGTTATTGTTTAATCTACAATGAATAACATGTTTTATTTTGTGTGTGCATTTACACTTTCCTCTTTTTCGAATATTATTTAAAAAAAAAAACGTAAAACATTATACCATTCCCACGTTTATTGCAGTTTGAGCAAATTTAAGGTGTTTGCATTTTCTTTGTGCGCATGCCTTAAATATAGTGTGATTGGCTGTGCAATTACCGCTTCTACAAATTATTTTCTGTAAAGATCTAACACTGAAGTGTCACTGATAAACTTTGAAAAGTTGAATATATGTTGTACTCTTACTTCTCATCGTCTGTAATTGACGTAGTATTGTCTAAGGTTTCATTGAATGGCTGGTACAGTGGAAATGCTTCTGGCTGCGATGTTATGATGTCTTCAAATCTTTTTAGAACACGGAACTAAAACAGCATTAGGAATAATATATTTGGTCTAATTGTTTATCATAATTGTTAAAATACAATAATAATGTGTTTTCCTCATGTGACAAACTAGTCTATCCGTGCGTTTTGTTCTTCTGTTATTTATTTCAAGTTCGCATCTTGTTTCATACAATCGGTCATTGATTCTATCTTATAAGCACCGATTTTAGTGAATATGTTCATCAATATGTATCCAGAATCTTTTTCCAATTGAACAATCAATTAATAACCACACATCATTTGTGATTACAGTAAAGTGTAAGCATAATTGGTGATTGCGATAATATTATGCCAACGAGTATGATATACATATGGTAAGGAGTTTCATACAGGGATTTTGAAAAAAAAAATACATCGAGAAGTTTATATAGAGCTCCTCGTGTTTTTAAGTATGTATATCTCATTGGCTTTCAAATGTGCTGGTTTTAGTGTTCTTGATTAAAGTCAATTCAGAAAAGTGCTTAAGACTCACGAAATTTATCAACTGTTATTTTCATTTACTAGAACTGGGTCGATACCACAGTTAGTGGACTTTAAGTTCCCATGGATATCATCAGTGACATCAGCTCAGTATTCAGTACTTACATGATTTATAACATATTTTCTTAATTTTTCCATTGCTAAATCAAGAAATTATTAAGAAACTAAGGTTATTACTTCTTCAGGCAAAGTTGACCTCTGATGCATTAGACTATACTTTCTAGGTTCATTTTGGTCATATAGCTCCTAACATGCCAAGGTATTTATTCCCCATATGTGTCTTTCACATATGTGGGTATGAGCGTTGCTGATTAAAGTATATAAAAAAGCGCTTCGGACGCACCAAATATATGTAGGACTCTAAAGTGCGATGGTACTCTAAAGTGCGATGGTCACGCTAAAGTGCGATGGTCTACGCTAAAGTACGATGGTGTCTCACGCTAAAGTGCGATGGTTGTTTGTTTGCTAAAGTACGATGGTATATCACGCTAAAGTGCGATGAACCAATAGGGTAAGGTTCGAGGGCTTTAAACGTTAAAGTATATTGATGTTAAAAAAATAGTATTTTTGCAAAAGCTAGTATGCTAAGGTATAACATATGTGATAGGCTTTATAGTTTACTTGTAGGCTTAAGTGATTGTTTCTAAATTTAGAAGACCGACCACGTAATAATTGCTAAAAAGGTAATTTAGGTGTCACAAAATACTATATTTCCTGTAAATGAATTTTTAACAATTCGGGCGTATCAAATATTTGGATAATTTATGTAGCTTGCCGTTCAATAAGTCTTTCACTAATGTGCGTATACTATTTTGTATCTATATGATCCTACAAATATATAGTAAAATGGTCGACTGCAGGATGCTACAAGTCCTGCATCCAGCACCCGAAAAAAAACCACATTTGCTTCAGCCGATAAAGCACGATTAGGTTTAAATTAATTAAGTCATGGATATTTGATTTTAAAGTTGTTAAGCAAATATTCTTAATTTATCTTTCAGCATGTTCATTTTTGGTTTGTATAAACGACTGTTAACGTCATAATCCAACTACGTTTCGTACGTCTATACTTTCGCGGACCATCGGACTTTAGCGTATGGAGGCATCGCACTTTAGCGCAGACCATCGTACTTTAGCGTCCCCATCGCACTTTAGAGTCCTACATATATAACGTGTTATTGTTGTTTATAAACCAGCGTAAAAATCAAATTGATGAAAATACAAACAGCAGTCCACAAACACTACTTAGTACACTAAACAAATTGATTTACATGAATCCCCCAAAAAAACTCAAAATGAAGAAGCGTGAACAGTTCCTGTAATGCATTCGGTGTGTTGCGCATGACAAGAAACTATCTGCTGATAAGTTGTATACGTTGATTGTCATAAAAGAAGAAAGTCAGAACAGGATTGAGAGAAATTGAACATCTCTGTCTATTAACTAACGTAACGGTATATGATGGCAACTTTAAGGAAATCTTTATCAACTCGGATATGTGAATGAACTTCCTGAATGCTAATACATGAGTATTTCATGTACACAATAGAACATATAAGGTCATATTCTCTTTTGTCGTAAAGTTTACTTCACAATCAACCCTCACTGTTGATTGTCTCATTGAAATGAAGGTGTAATTTAGGCTTTACTGTATCTGTGATACCCTCCCATGGGATAGGTGCCTGGTCTGTTTACAATTCTAAAGTCTATGATCTTATCTTTTGAGAATGAACTTTAACTTATAGGATTCGAAGCCGAAGAAATGTTTCAAATATCGGTCAGCGCTGTTTTAGCCAATAATGGACGTTAAGATGTGTGAATAGATAGACGTTATCTTTGACTGTTTTAAGGTAAAAAAAAAAAAGAACAGTTCATCATATTAGTCTTGATAACAATAAAAATGTTTATTTACCGTTCCGTATATTCATAAGTATCACCTATTTATTTTTCTGTAGAAAGGCTTACATGTACACTTAATAGCCCATCATTAACCGAATTAAACCTCCAAGCGACTGGTAAACTTTTATTTTACATCATTTTATACACGTTTTAACAAATAATGAAGTTGTTGAAAAGAAATTTTCACATTTAACTCAGTTTGCTGACCTGAAATGATTTTACTCATCTTATTGTGTTGTCTGTTTGCTGTTTCCTATATTAGAATAGTCAACTGATTTGTTTTGTTATTGTTATTTATTAAAGTATATATCTTTTTTGCATTCAATCGGTCACTCTGTCAAATAAGCACTGATAGAAATGTGTTCTTCAAAACTTTCTTTTTCAGAAGGTATCCAAACTATTTTGACGATTGAACAAACAATCAACTTGCAACAATACCTCTTTTTGTAATTAAGGTAAAATGTAAGTATAATACTGCTAGTTGTTTTTTTCAACATTATTTCGTCAGCAAGTATGACACACAGAATGCATGGAAATACAGAAAGGGAAATTACAATAATACATCGAAAAAGACAGATCGCAACATCGCAAAAATCAAATTGAGGAAAATACAAATTACAACCCATAAACGCTACTTAAAACGCCAAAAACATTAAGTAACACAAATCCCACAATATACATATGTCAGAAGAGTAAGCAGTTATAATTGTTGCACCTCGCAATAAACAATCCGATGATAAGTCACATCTGTAGATAATTATAAACAAGGAAAATAAAGACGGTATTGTGTCTCGGACTAGTTGACATCTGTGTCTATTATGTAACGTAACAGACACCCGTTTTTTGATGGCAACATCCACGGTTCCTTTGCGAAACCTTGGTTTATTACAGTCCTTGTACTATACGAATCAACCATCTAAAGAGGAAATCCTGCATGATAGTAATCATAAGCTCAGAAATACCCTATCAACTCGGAAATATCAATGGGCTGCCGGAATACTATATGAATATAAAGGAAAATCATAGATCACCTCTTTTGTCGTAAAGGTGACTTCTCTATTATACTCTGAAACTGGACTGACTATATCTGTTTAATTTCTTGAACGGTGCAGTTATACTCTAATCAAGTACAATAACGCATTTCAATTTTGTTGTTACATATTATATTTTTAAAATAATTTCGTATAAATTGTTTATTCCTTTTAATGTTTTTATTTGACATTTTCATTTTTGTCATTTAATCAAATCAAATCAAATGTATATGTATAGAACAAAGGTTTGCACAATGTAAATAACTACAGAAAGTTTAAGAATAGTATTAAGAGTAAAATAAGGTATTTTACTATAACTCTTACCATGGATGCATTATGATTTGTATGACCTTCACTTATAGCTTTATCCATTCTTGCCTTAAACTGGTTCATCTATCAAGAAAACAATTCTGTTTCAATTTTACTATAAAGGGTAAATATATGCGAGACCTTCACCCCTAGAAGTAGTCATATTACCTCATATTATTTCAATCATACTATCTACTAGAGATGTGACATATATTTGACATATATTTGATACATTCACTTAAAGTATTTGGTTAGTCCTTGTCAAAGAAAAAACATATAATCATGAAAGCATTTTTTTCTTAACATTTTTGTTGTTATTTTCATAATAAGAAGAATTGGTGTTTTTTTTTTATCATAGTGTTAAGTCAGAAGAATTGACAAATATATTGCTCCCTAAAGGATGAAAACTGCACAAAAAACCAAGAAAACCCTTTTAATTTGTATAAGTGTAATGTAATAGCAGCAACTTTTGCCTTCTTTTTAATTTTTCTATTTATTCAATCTTTTTACATATAAAAAGCCCCAAAAAAAAATGGCATGTTTATTAAACAAAAATATGTTTCTTTACGTAACCTGATTTGAAAGATATGCAATGACAATACGGAAGCCGAAATCTTACTTGCACTGGATATTTTCCTATTCTTGTTATAAAGCTTTCAAAGTCAGTAAGGTTCATATTCTTTGGTAAAACATCAACATCACCTGATGGGTCTATTTGTGGTCCTTCTAAGAAATTAATTGGATTGACAGCGGCATACCTGAATACAAGTTTATTCATCAATTTTACATGTTGTTAAAACAACTCGCCCTTCACATATTATCTTTATGTACTTTAAAATGAATTGAAGGATATGAATTTTTTGACTGGTATTAAATGAAAAAAAATAACAATGAATATTTGCTAATAACAAGGTATTTCTTCATCTCTTGAATCGGCTTTTATTCGCAGCTGTGTTGTGACTTGTTTGGCAATAACGAACTGATTATGTTACATGCATTCCAAACATAAGTTTCATTTGAATTTCGTTTTCGTTAATATTACTTATTAACAAATGTCAACACGTGTTAACCGAATAGTGAAATATGCAAAGCAGGACCTGATTACCCTCTTAGTCAGTCTAAAGTTTAGTAAGTTCATAAAGAGCTCGAGTAATCAGGTGTTTTGGATTTATTTTTATACATTTGCAGGTTCTTATCTTCTACTTCTAACCATATGAATTAACAAATAATACTTTCGTGTGTCCTGATGAAAAAGCTAAAACCTCAATTTTTAGTTACTGGTACTTTGAAAACTTAAAGAATCATAATGTTAAATTCATCCCACCATTTGCATGCAATCATTTAAAAACATGACTTCAATCAAATTTGACTAAACATCACTATACCAATCACAAGTCATATGGCAAACGTTATCAAACCTGTTATCTATCATACACGGGAAAAACTCACCATCCCCATTTGTATCCATCATGATATGTCATTAAAGTATCTTTGAATATATCGAAATCCACTTTGTTCTTTTCATTTAGTGCACTTCTCGGTATATTGTTGAGCTTCATTAGGAAACTGTCGACGTCTTCCTAAATATAAAGGTAGTACACTGATGTTCAGTTATATTCTGGTGTTAAACAGACTTATAGGAGTCCATATTATCAAAATCTTATAAAATCCAAATTGTGATAGACTGCATTCGTCGACACGATAAGAATCAGTTCAACACAATTCAAGTCGAAATCCTTAGTAAGTTTTTAATTTCTAAAACATTAGACAACATTAATGATTACATTGTAGACCTGAGAAAAACACTTACTGATCAACCACTTCATGATTCCGAATAAAAATCTTGTGAAGTCATTTATATCTTTCTTCAGTAGTATTTGCCTGGAAATGTATTTCCTTTGTGTTTTGGTCATAATGAGATTTTGCCTTAACGTATCTTCTAATACTGAGATAAGTAACGATATACCCTGGGACATAACTCTAGGACACTTGTCATAGATTGCATTTTTTTCTCTGTTAGCTAAATTTCAAGAAATATGTAAGATGAAAGTGTGTACTGAAAAAAACATTTATTGAGTATAAAAAGTAAGTTGATGAAAATAAAGCATTTTTTAAGTTTTATTTATCAATATAACTATCAATACTAATTCGCCATATATTGCAAGTTTATGGATAGAAAAGATAACCTATTTCGACATGTTTACATTTTATCATATAACTCTGTGTTCAAAGTATTTTATACCTTTAAATCATCAAATGACTGGAGCGAAAAGTCTCTGACATCTTCGTCATAAACATGTATATTCAAGTATCTAGCAGTTCCTGGGTTCTTTGACAGCAACCAATTACTAAAGTCGGTTTCTAGTTTGTCAAGGTCTTCTACAGGATGTTCTGTAAAAAAGAGCTAGAAGGTCCCAAAGGAACAACCAGAACAAAAAAAGTCGGGGAAAAAACAAAATATATTTCCAAGATTTCCTGTATGAAGGCAGCCTCATATGAATAAAGAAAGAAGTCGCCAAGAAGAGAGGCACAGTTGGTTCCCATGGGAATGCCGATTGATTCTTGAAAAACACATTATCCAAAAGTAACAAATATGTTGTCAATCAAGAAATCAAGCTTCTAAATAATGTCAGTTTCAGAGAATTTTTTGTTTGAATCAGAATGATTTTTCACAAAGTGCGATTTATCCCTCCCTAAGACAAGATACATGTATCTACGTTGGCCATTCTTTTAAATGAAAGAAAGCAGGACAATTCTTTCAAATTCTTAACCAATTTGTCTTTTAGTTTAAAATGGAAATACTTATGCAAAAGGTAGAAAAATCAAATGTTTTAATGCTATTGCACGAGGAAAGAGACTTATGTGACAGAATATAAGTTCCCCCATAATATTTGTTCCAAAGAACTTTTAGCATATAACAAAAGTTCCATTTGGAACTTTCCTTATATAATATTTTATCCAATGCTATAGAAAATTTCCTTCACAAAGGATAAAATATTACATAAGGAAAGTTCCCAATGTTTTATGTTTTAAAGTTCTTGGAATAAATATTATGGACAATGTTTTATATAATAAAAGTTCCAGGAATATTTGTTATATTATAAAAGTTCCAGGAGAATTTGTTATATTAAAAACAATTCCAGGAATATTTGTTATATTTAAAAGTTTTAGGAATATTTGTTTTATTATAAAAGTTCCAGGCATATTGGAATATTGGCTATATTATAAATGTTTCAGGAATAGTTATCATGGTTATTAGATAATTAAAGTTCTAGGAATATATACTACAATATACAAAATTATTTCTAGCTACAAATGTATGGAGGTAAATTTCCAATAATAAAGTACAGGCATTTTCATCTGAAATTTGTGGCTAACTTCATGCTTGACTAAAGTATAAGTTAAACTTTCTTCATTGGTACAGACTAACGGACCATTTAGTTAAATAAGTCACAGTGTTGTATTCCTCAGACTCCATTCTTTGTATGTACTACATGTACAGGTAAATGTCATGTGAGGTGAACATTAATTAAGATGTAATCAGGTGTAAAAAATCAAATGACACTCTTTCATTAAAGGAACAAATATTATGACGTTTTAGTTCCAGGAAAATATCTTATGAAGGTGGAAATAGTATTATGTAATGTTTGTTCCCAAGAACTTTTATTATCCATAGTTTTGTTCCAGGGGGAACAATTATTATGCGGAACAAATATATGTTCCCAGATTGTAAGAACACTTATGTAATTTAGATATCGAATACAGTGAAGGAAGAGCCAGTTCTTCATCTTTGGTTGAAATTCCAAAATGGAACATAGAACAGACCTATGATTATTCATGATTTCTTCCTTGATAAGTGTCGTGGGGTTATACATTGAGTTTTTAGGTGAATTGTCAATACTTAATTCCTTTTTCAAGCAGTTTATATAATGTGATTTACACACAAAAACTATGCTGTTTGCGGCTTTATCTGCGGGGACAACAACATATTTGCCATCGAGGTAGCACATGTGTTTGCAAGATTTCGGTCTTTAAAGAACGACGTAGCATGTATATACATAGATCCATTCCGTTTTTTATTCTGATTTGTATCAACGACCTCACAGCCTTAACCAATTCGGAAAGATATCTACGTCTTCTTTTTCGCATATAGCGCATTGCTGGGCATAATCCTCGACTGAATTACCAATTGACGGATTTAGGCTCACGATATTTCTGGCATTTGGATATCGCATTTCGCAGAGAAGTGTTAACGACAGTATTCAGGTCACCAGTAATAACGTGTCCACTGGCAGTCGGATTATATATGAACGGGGAACTAGCATATGTGCAATCAAGGAGGTTTAGACTTGAAGTCGTCAATACTGAGATCCCTCAATACGTGGTTGTAATTGAAAATTTCTGTTGCAATAAGGGTGGTAAGGTATACATAGGGAAAGACTGATTTAAAAAGTAAGGAGGTATTATCGTGTGAACTGATAAGATTGAGGTGAAAATCTAAATATAATATATTAGTCCAATGAGATGTTCGGTGTTGTATGTATCTAACAGATGGTAGCACATGAGCGTGTCAGACAGAACAAAGAATTGATAATAGAAATATATAATTAAAACGACATAACAGTAACTTTAATGAAAAATAAATACAAAATTACAATCTTAACTTTTTTATAATAAATATCTCCCAGAATAACATTATCAAAGTAAATATTTACATCCCAAAATCTCACCTGATGTTCGGGCATTTGCTATTTTTGATCTCTCAATCCAATCATCAACAATAGTTTCAAGTGTTGATAGAGGCAAAGCTCCATTTTCAAGTACGACAGCATGGAAATCTCTTATATCAAAAAGCTCTCCTGAAATATGTTTTAATTACATCTTTTGAAACAATACTTATGGATTTTGTTTTTTCATCAATGTGCATGTAACACATGTTTTAAAATATTTTGTTTTCTTAATAAGCCTTTGCCTTGTAGAACAACTTGATCATAAGCTGTAAGTCGTCAATCATTCAACAAAAAAGATAAAATGCCATAATTCTGATTGATAAAACAGTCCAGAAGTGTCATAGTTTTATATCATATAATATATACATTGTGTTCCTCGATCTTTGATGATTGATTGTTGAGTATTGCTTGTTTTTCTAGTCTTTTCTCCGTATGTTATGTATGCAATACTTTTCTTGTACAACAAGAGAATTGAGAGATTGACAAAATGTTAGATATATTGATTAACACTATGATTTATATCATCGTACATTCTATTGTGGTTTACGAGTATCCTCTCTATAGTCGTTTTTAGTTAGTTCGTCTTTATCTATGTTGCAAACGTTTACATATAGCATTGCCGAATAATATTTATCAAGATAATTGTCTAATATACAAAATCATAGACTCGTACTAATTCTTACCTAACTCAGCCCTTGCTTTGTTCCTTAGTTCTCTAATTTTTAATTCTCCTATTTTGTAAGCACAGGCTTGACCGGGCCATGTTATGTATCTGTCAATTTCAGTAGCAATCGCACTTTCACCATATGCAGTATAAGTTGCCATATAATCGATTGCTTGCTGTCGTGTCCAGCTATCGAAGTAAAAGAATATGTCACTCTTTCGGATGGTGAAATCAATATATGTTGTAGCATCCGCAGCACTCTGCGTAAACTACACCATACTACCTAACACGTGGTCCTCTTTGGAGTAATTTTGTCCAAAGATTCAGGTGTTGGGGTTTGTTTTATATGTGTTCAAAACTTTGTCTGTTGATAGCCGTTTCCTTACTTTCATCTTGATTTTCGATCCATACTATTTCAAATATCTCGGAAATATTTTAATATCTACGTATAGTTACTCAATGATAAGTTTGTTACTATAGTTTTAATGTTATAACTCTACAATTAGAAATGAAAATACGATGATAGAACATGACAAAGATCTTTTACTCTTGTACAAATAAGTTTAACTATATGCTTACTTTTTGGAGTGAAGACCTGTGTCTACAACTAGTCTGCATGCACGAAATACTTCTGACGCATATCTACCGAGCCTAAAATAAATTGATATAAAACCTTTAAAATTATTCTTAATAATGCGCATATTATGTGCTTCAGGCAACGCTTTTACACTTCAATAAAAATACAAAAGGAAGCATTCAATGTATATGATTAACTGTATAAGGTACGAGCTAAATCAAGTCGCTCGTTTGTTTTCCTATTCATTGTTTTAATGTTGTCACGGATAGCACGTGCAGTCAAATATGTTGCATGTTGTTCTGAAATAAAATTTAACTTCTGGAATGCCTAGGCCAATCAAAATTACGGAAGAGTATGAATTATTGCAAGATAATTGCTAACATCTTAACGTACAAATCATATTCATCCTTGTAAAGACCCATTTCTTCTCCTAATGATTCAGCGTACAAGGCCCAACCCTGAAATTACACAAAACAATTTGAATTATTTTTTTATACTGTACTTCATTGATCTAATTTAAAGTTACGATTTAAATGAGCAAAAACAGAATATCTTTTTATTTGATCTCAATAGTCTAACAAAGATAGGTATTACAGCATGCGAAAGCTTATTCAGTGTACTATGTTGTCATCTGCATATAGTTGTCTTTTGCAGTTGCATAAAAGTATGTTTATATTATTTCATTGGATTTTATATGGTGTAGCATTTTGTAGTTTATTTTCGTTGATACAAATTTTCAAGCATGTAGGGATCATTGTATTTTCGAAGAGACATGATTTCGTGGGTTTTTTTTTCATACAGTTCTATACGATATATGGTTTTTTTTTAAACTGAAATTCGTTATTCACTTATCCGGACTAAATCTCGAAAAATTAGTATCACTAAAAAATGAAAAAGGACCCATAGTTCACCATTTCGGTCACTTCTTTAGGTATGTATGGCCAGCGCATGTCTATTTTGCATACGCTGTGACGTCCAATTTAATAAAACTAATTGTACTGTGTGTACGTTTTAAAACTAATTGTACTGTGTGTAATTTAAAACACTAAATGTACTGTGTGTACGTTATAAAACTAAATGTACTGTGTATTTTTTATAAAACTAATTGTACTGTGTGTTCTTTATAAAACTAATTGTACTGTGTGTACTTTATAAACTAATTGTACTGTGAGTTCTTTATAAAACTAATTGTACTGTGTGTACTTTATAAATCAAATTGTACTGTGTGTTCTTATAAAACTAATTGTACTGTGCGTTCTTTATAAAACTAATTGTACTATGTCTTCTATATAAATCTAATTGTACTGCGTGTTCTTTATAAAACTAATTATACTGTGTGTTCTTTATAAAACTAAGTTCTGTGAGTTCTTTATATATCTAATTGTACTGTGTGTACGTTATAAAACTAATTGTACTGTGAGTTCTTTATAAAACTAATTGTACTGTGTGTACGTTATAAAACTAATTGTACTGTGTGTACGTTATAAAACTAATTGTACTGTGCGTTCTTTATAAAACTAATTGCACTGTGAGTTCTTTATAAATCTAATTGTACTGTGCGTTCTTTATAAAACTAATTGTACTGTGCGTTCTTTATAAAACTAATTGTACTGTGCGTTCTTTATAAAACTAATTGCACTGTGAGTTCTTTATAAATCTAATTGTACTGTGCGTTCTTTATAAAACTAATTGTACTGTGCGTTCTTTATAAAACTAATTGTACTGTGTGTACGTTATCAAACTAATTGTACTGTGTGTACGTTATAAAACTAATTGTACTGTTTGTACGTTATAAAACTAATTGTACTGTTTGTACGTTATAAAACTAATTGTACTGTTTGTACGTTATAAAACTAATTGTACTGTGCGTTCTTTATAAAACTTATTGTACTGTGTGTACGTTATAAAACTAATTGTACTGTGTGTACGTTATAAAACTAATTGTACTGTGCGTTCTTTATAAAACTAATTAGGTCTTTCCACTTTTCCGTGGAAAGACCTATTGGTTTTCTTCTGATTATTATTTTTTTTTTTTTCTTTATCCTAATTTTTCTTCTTGCGTAGTTTTGTTGTTTCATAAGTTGTCTCTTAGATATTTGGAATATGATATCGTATAGTTTATACGCTTTTAAAACTGACAACCGCGTAACCAAATACCTTACGTTGTAAGAGTTATCTCCCCAAACACTGTTTTTCTTGTGGCCACTACTCCTTCGCAACCGTAAAAGATAACGACAAATTTATTTTACCAAATTGCTCGTTACATCTACAGGATTAGGATTTTTATTTGACCGAAGCTATCCGGATATTCCATATGAGAGTTATTCCCCCTTATGTATTTCATATAAGTGATATGCGTTTCTAACTGGTAAACCATAAGTGACATTGGCCTAGGGTCTTTGGATTTGAGGTCCTTGGTCCAAAAAAAAGAAAATTAGGTCAAGGTCAAAGGTCAAAGTCATATTCTAAATTTTGATTTTGGCTTATTCTCACTTCTTTTCAAAACCCGTATAACATATCGACATCTTATTTTTACTAAATTGTTAGTTGCGACATGTCGTAACTTATAAAATTTGGTTGAAAGGGTACGTAGACAATAAATGGGAGTTTTCGCCCATCTTATATTTAGAATTATGCGTTAAGTGGTATAATTCATTAACCAAACATATTAAAGACCTAGGGTCTTTTGATTTGAGGTCCTTGGTTTGTGACCTTGAAATTGAAGTCAAGGTCATAGGTTGATAGGACGTTCTAGATTTTGACCTTTGCTTTAAATTCATATTTATACATCATAAAGCCATAGGAACTGATATTTTAGACTGATTTTTAATATTTTAATATCAAAATAGATCTTTACTGGTGGAAAGACCTTCAATTGTTCTGTGAACAATTGGTTTTTAATTGTACTGTGAGTTCTTTATACATCTAATTGAACTGTGCGTTCTTTATAAAACTAATTGTACTGTGAGTTCTTTATAAAACTAATTGTACTGTGCGTTCTTTATAAAACTAATTGTTCTGTGTGTATGTTATAAAACTAATTGTACTGTGTGTTTAATAAGTGTCTGTTCTCTTTTTTAATCCTTACTTCAACAAAGGCTGTATAAAATGGAAACAAAGCGGGAGCTTGGAAGTATTTTTCAACGATACCATATCTTCGGAAGTCTGCTATTTTGGCCAGCAATGCTGTGCTGATCTGTAAACGTGAATAATAGTATTTATATAGACAATATTAGGTCAATTTCAGAAAAATATAAACTTTTTGGTATGAGCCTCAGAAACTGGAAAAGGGTGAGGTTTACCGAGCCCTTCAACAGTTTCGCTTACACAAAAATAAAACTTATTTTCTATCCCTAAACCGACATTGCACAAAATATCACTTTCTTAATGAATTTGGTAAATAAAGACAACAGGAAGTGTTCTAGCTACAGTATACATATATAGTTATATTTATGACCAGGGTATTTTCACTATTTCAGGGAGATACTGTTGCTTTCAGTGTTATTTCATGGTTATCTGAGAATAATTCGTCCTATTCTTACTGGTATGATACCTCCAACTGTTGTTTGAAAGGTCATTTAATATTTTTTCAGACAGCAACTTTTTGTACATGATCGACATTTACCTGTAAATGATGTCCTGGGTTGGTTTCGTGTATTGATAAAGCCATAAAATCTATTGTCAGCCTGAATAATAAAAGTTACGCATATGTATATCTTTGGAGGGATATTAAGTGCTATTTCAGGTATTCATTCTTTTTATTAAATACAGAAAACAAATATTACTAATAAAGAACGAACTGCTTCAGTTTGCTATTTCACTTCATTTGATTTTAAGGAAAATATGAGACCACTAGAGTAAACTAAATAGAATAGGCTAAACTTGCCAATGTACATTTCTACTAGCAGATACCCGTAACAACGTACATTTCATCAGGATGCATTAGGTTAACTTGGAATACCCCTGGCCTAGATCCATCAGCTGTTCCTGGAATGTACTGCCCGCCCGGGCCATCATTAGGCATTGGTCGTACCCTGAAAAAAAAACATACACATATATGAATTATATAATTTGTTTGTGTACATTACGAGTCTTTGTACTGAACAAACAGTTGATCAACAAAAGGGTTTTTGTTCGATTTGACCATTCGATATTTTGAGTGTAATTGGGTTGCTTTTTCACTGAATTACCCCTTTGAATATGTTTTTCTTATTTATTTTGAAAATGAGCCTACGAACACCACTGAAGACAAAATTAATAGTCAAAATGCACATAGAACTGGTGCAATACAATTTTTAACGTAAATATTGTTTTAACACTTCTAAATGACAAGAAATATTGAAGTTACTATGAAGTAGCGTCAAGAATAAACGTGCAATAAAACAGCCCTTTCCAAATTAATATTAAAGTGTAAAGAAATGGGGATAATTATCTTTTATTACACTTATTACAAAAGAAATTTTAGATTCTGAACATTTTTGTACTTAATTTTAAGATCCTTACATCGTTTGACATCGATATGACTTTTTTAATTATGTAAAGACGATATCTACAACCAAGCATCAATAAGTACCGATTATCGGGTTGTCTGCATACTGAGCAGAGTGATATAGACAGTGGAACGACCGATAATACTACGTGTCAGTACTGTCAGAAGCAAATCTGTAGGCTTGTTGTAAAATGTCATATTTTTACTGCATTATTGAATATATGTTTTCGTATATCTTGATAGTATTCTTATTTTCTGATAGATCATCAAGATTGATTTTAAAATAAACTTACTCCACTGGAAGATCTGGTATGTTCTTGAACATAAGTGGTAGTTTTGGTTCTATTTCTTCGTGTATAATGTGGTTAAATCTGGCTAAAATATCTGCCTTAAAAATATAAAACCTTTTATTCGAATATCTTTTACTTTCATATTATTCTTTACAGCTCCTATAACTTAGGCAGATATTGTTCTAAATTGTTCATTTTCGTTTTACTACTACATAGATTAGTGACTGTTAATAGGATGCTTTTTATTTTTGTTATTCGTGGAATGTACCTGTTCTAATTCAGAAATTATAGACATGCATTTTTCCTCAAAAATGTTCCTCAAAATGTGAGTTCTTAGTCAGGAGTCTGAGTCATGCGTTTATCACCGAAAAGTGTTCTGAGTTAAGAGTATATTGCCATGCATTTATCCTTGGCAAGTGTCTGTTCTAAGTCAGGAGTCACTGTATCGTTGTGCATTTTCCATTGGAAAGTGTCTTTTCTGAGTCAGGTGTATCCTCATGCGTTTTCTCTTGGTAAGTGTCTTTTCTAAGTCAGGTGTCTCTTAATACGTTTTCTCTTGGCAAGTGTCTGTTCTTATTCTGGTGTATATCTACATGCATTTTCTCTTGGCAACTGTTTGTCCTAAGTTAGGTATCTCTCTCTTCATGCGTTTTCCCATGGTAAGTATATTTTTCAAGTCAGAAGTATTAGCAATTTGTCATGTGTTTCCTCTTGTGAGCGATTTTGGACTTTCGAATGTTTCGCTTTGTTTAAATTATCTTGAAATTTAATGCATTTTTTTTCCTATGTTTGTGGTATCTTTTGTAATAAAGTAATTGTAACTATTACATTATAGGTTTCCTTTTTAGCAAAGGCACTGGAAGGTTGGTGAAATAATACACAGCTACAATAGATACTATTCTATTTATTATGATTAATATTATTACCCCTGTTTTGAGATAAAATCTGGAATCATTTTTTATGGTATCAAACGCTTCCTTAACAGATCCATGCAAGCCTAGATTAGCCATTATCTGAAGAAGAAAAAAAAAATACTTAGCATGGATACGCAATTTGTCAATTTTCATATTATTTATATATTTAAAAACAGACTCCTTAAAACTTTCAAAGCAAATTCGGGTTTTGCACAGGATTTAGCATTAAAGTCCCATCAAATATTGTGTCAATTCTCAAAACTCCACAAACTATTTTATTTTGATCATTGATACAGTGTAAAGAGGAGGAATCTGATTTAACCGACCCTTCATGTTAAGAAATAAAAAAAAACATTGAAATACCTGTACTCATGAACATCTTTGATTTTAAATTAATAAACATAATAATAATTATTATATAGTCCTAACTATACCACATCTTCTTTTTTATATACTAACTATCAGTATATGATTTACTTGAAAGCATTATCATCACCATATACTATGACTTTGAAAAGTCCTGAAATTATCCTTTTCCTTAAATTTCTTGCATTTTTTTGATTGAAATAGACAGTTTTCGATAAATATGTAGTGTAGCTGACAACCACATAGATTTGAATACCTAAGAAAAGTTAGGGCTTGCTTTAAATTACTCTGATAGGAAATTATGCATAGGAAATCATGCATAAAATTTTCTGTCTTCTGCTTATTTCATTTTGTCAGCAGTTTGGGTATTTCTATCATTTTAGGGGTCATTCAAACCTTTTCCATATATTTCTTATCAGGAAAATCAAAGTTAAAACATTCAATTGTAATTACTTTAAGTTATTCATGAAGATATATCATTCTTAGATGACAAAAATATTGTTTCAAATTTAGCGACCTAAATAGAATGAAGAGGACCTTCTTATCTTATTATTCGAAAATTTCCATATATGATTGTTCTTTTGAGTTTTCTATGATCTAGATGGTACAGTTACCAGCTATATATTTTCAATACATGTTTTAAACAGCTGCCACAAACAGTATAAAAATAAGAAGATCTGGCATGATTGCCAAGGAGACAACTCTCTATCAGAGACCGAATAACGTAAAAGTATGCTTAGATTGAATTTTTATATCCAGTTCACCTTTTTCATTTGCTTGGATATTCTATCCACTTCATCTAAGCCTTTTTGGTGAACTTCATCTGGTGTAAGCGGCAAAGACAGATGCCACTGTAAAACTGACTTATAATAATCTGAACCGTTGTTCCAACCGCTTACACCATAACTGTCTCGAAGATGTTGAAAATATTCCTAAAAATGTGAAGAAAAATGATTTTTTTTTCTACCGAACCATAATTATTCAACAAATGAATTATACATGCTTTGTGTAAAAATTAAAAACATGTTTTCATATTCTATAATACTAAAGGAACGAATTTGACGGATTTTCAGGAAATCGCGCGTCTCAAACTGAAATGTGCAGGTTGTTATCGCATTAGCATATACACTCCTAACTTTGTGGTAATACACATAAAGAGACGAAAAATGCAAATAAAATGGTTTCTGAAACTGTCCATTTTTCAAAAGGCATGTATGTATGTATGTTAGACCCCTCTAACAAAAAATTTGTTTTGCATGCACACGTATAAAAATTGCGGTTTTTATCCAACGCAATCATAGGTTTGAACGTTGTTTTCAATTTAGACTTGTTTATGTATATATATATATATATATTTCATCGGCTATGATTTGACATCCAAATGAAGCACATTTTATACACGTCTAAATATTTGTGGATCGATCGCCTGCAAATCACAATGCTACACAAATAGAAGATTATTTTACAAGTCTACAACAGCGACTAAAATTTATAGTTTTTTCATCATCCATGAGTATCTTTACAGATATGAAAATGTTTGAAAATAATTTAAACCCCTCCCCCCTTTCCCCCTCCACGCCTTATGTACGATAAACCTACCGTTTTCAGGTATGTCTTAACATCTCTCAACGACTGAAAGTATGCGATAATGGCTATCTTTGCTCTAGTACGTAAGTCGGTTCTGAAGTAAACAGAAAAGAAAGACAAAAGTTAATAGAATCATGCCTTGTGTATCTAGCAAACATCTAACTTAAAGAGTCGACAACATTCACTTAAAAATATAGTTGATCATTTTCAATATCTGGGTTTGCAAGAAACTAGATAACTCGAAACTAATAAAAGATCACTCGAAAGTAATTAAAAATAACTTGAAGATAATCAAGGATAACTTGGAGATAAATAAACAATTACTTGAAGACAATTAATAGATAACTTGAAGACAATTAATAGATAACTTGGACAAAAAATTAAAGATAACTTGAACAAAAAAATAAAGATAACTTGAGAGAAATTAAAAGATAACTTGAAGACAATTAAAATATAACTTGAAGAAAATTAAAAGATAACTTGATGGAAATTAAAAGATAACTTGAAGATAGTAATGGGCATGTTAAAGATAATTAATGAGTATCTTGAAATAATTTAACATAACGATAAGTTGAAGAATCAAATAAAACTAAAAGAAAATTAAAAGATAACTTGATGGAAATTAAAAGATAACTTGAAGATAGTAATGGGCATGTTAAAGATAATTAATGAGGATCTTGAAATAATTTAACATAACGATAAGTTGAAAGAATCAAATAAAACTAGCTTATTGGAAAAGACGTGAGTGCCCCTTTTGTTGCAAATAAACTCAAACTCGATTTGTAAGTTAGTATTACGAACTTACAAATAAAATATCAGCTCAGTGCATACAAACAAAAGAAAAATCGACTGGTGGATTAAGGAATATCAGACATTATCTGTGTTCTTATTTCTTTTTGTTAGTAGTAAAAATATTTTACTGGTTCGTTGAAATGAACATGGATGCATGTTACGTTATACTATAAAATGTATATAATACGATTTTGTGTTAACATTACTTTATGTTATTCGGTATAGTTGTGATGTTTTCTAATGTGCCGTTAAATGGAGAGTAAAAACTGAAATCCTCTGGTCTGGATGTTATACCATGGTCGATCATAGACGGTACCTTGAACTAAATAAAATTCGTTAGATATAAAATAAAAAAGAAACAAATCTGACATAAATTATAGCTGTTTAAATTACGAGTGAACAAAACTGAGAAGCAGGAGGGTTATATAAAACACCTGTACTAAAGGGAAAAATACAGAAAAAATGAAAATTAAGCAAACAAATTTCTTATTTCATCAAAAATCTACTTGAAATCAAATTACAACAAATAAGAAACAAAAACTGAACATTAAAATGAAGCTATAAAATTGAAGGATCCCTACAAATCATATTTGTTATATCATTGGAATCAATAATGCATTAACTTACAATTGAGACGTTGTGGTATGTGTTCCCTTGTAAGACTGCTTTCTCAAATCGTTTTTGTATCTGATGCAGCTAGATTCAGGAAAGAAAACAAAATCATAACAATTTCATTCAAATTTGGCTCTTATGAAAACAGTGAATTGATTTAGATTTGAGTAATATGTACATCCCTTCGAAATTTTTACGAACGCCTTCATGATTTGGTTGAACATTGTGGAATATATGTCACTGATATCCATTGATATGTTCCAGCTGACGTTGCCACAATCCTGTAATTTTCATTAATTTTTTGTTGTTGAAAAAAAAAACACAATATAAAACTACATCTTAACAAAGAATGAAACATTAACAAGTTGAAGGTTTTGTCCATATGTAGACAAGTCTTGCGTGAGACTTGTTTGTTTACAAATTTTATAAATATACGTATAAATATAAATTAAAACATGAAACAAAAGATGTCTTCTATATTAACTGTACATTGTTTTGAATATATCTAGTTATACCTGATTTGGAAAGCCTTCTATTCTTGCAACGAAATTTTCAAAATCTCCACGTGTATTTTGGGGTGTTATACTAACTAAATAGTCTGGATCAACGTGTGGTCCTTCAAGAAAATTTATTGGATTCAAGGAATTGTAGCTGAAAGCAAAATCAGTCTGTAAAAAAATTAAATCTAAAAAACTGTATGCTTTAAGATGTCAGAAGATCGAAAATAGAAACGGCTTTTATTTCATCTATTTTTCAGTATCTCATAAAGTCCTTATCTATTGTGTACATCCGTGTCATTTTTTTTCAAATACCATTCTTAATACTATCCGGAAGCTATAATGGCAAAATATCAGATATACAAAACTCCTAACATATATTCCATGGAATGAACTAAACGGTAGTACTTGAATCATTTGATACGCCACATCGTTTACTCTGTGGAAATATTCCATGGAATGAACTAAACGGCAGTACTTGAATCATTTGATACGCCACATCGTTTACTCTGTGGAAATACTCCATGGAATGAACTAAACGGTAGTACTTGAATCATTTGATACTCCACATCGTTTACTCTGTGGAAATATTCCATGGAATGAACTAAACGGTAGTACTTGAATCATTTGATAAACCACATCGTTTACTCTGTGGAAATATTCATATACACATATTTTGTACATCGGTAGCAGATTGGTCAAGTGACAGTCCTGAACGATTGTCCCTATATGTGCCCGAAACACGAACAAGCGAAAGATGAATTGTTTAATCCCCAATATTGTTTTATATTTGACTCCATAAGTTTTTAAACTAGTTGATATTAGTACAGACGAGTTTCGGTATCAAAATAATATACTTACTCCTTCCAGTTATAACCCTCTTGGTATGTTTTAAGGAAATTTTCGAATATATCAAAGTCTATTTTATATTTTTCAGATAATGAATTTCGTGGAATAGCAGCAAGTTGTTGAAGATAGCTGTCAACAGCATTCTACAAAACAAACAAACCAACATGAATGCCATTGATAGAAAAAAATACACGTATTTAGGAAAAACTGTGGGAAAACAAACTATTTACAAGATAAAAGTTAAGCTGCAAATAAAGAGTGACTAAACTAACTGCTACTTTCTTTTTTCGTCAACAATACGGACCTTTGTTTTAATAGAGATTTCCAATAAAATGACATACGTACGTAACTCGACGTACGGACCTAATGGGACTGGTTATTGCCAACCATTCAATTTGATTAAATACGTCGCTCAAGTTTAAACAAAGTATTCCAAGACTTTAAAATCACGCACTGGAATGTTCGTCCATATAAAATGATTTCATCATGACGAAAAATGATAGAAACCTTGCATTTTTATTAATCACGTGGTTTACCAGATTCCCGCCTTTATTTTCACTGACATAAGATCACGTTTAAACACACGTATCTCATACCTATCATACGTACGATTTGAGTTATCTTTCATGGTTTTGATTATGACAATTATTTTTCAATATACTTTGAAGATGAACGCCCCATCATACTTTTTTTCTGGTCTTTCTTAATAGTTTATCTATCTTTTTATTATATTTGTTGCGGGGAAAATATTACGAAGGATATTTTTCTGACAATTTCAGAAATATCGAAACCAGAATTTGTCTGAATCTGTCTCTTTATAAAAATTGAAAATTGAGATAAAACTATCGCTTCCATTTATTTCTAAACAAAAGTATTTTTCATTTATTATAATACATGTATGTATTGATAAAAAAAATCCCTATATATGTAGTTTTTTTTTTTTAGAATTACGGTGTGTTCGATTAGGGATTGTTCTGTATTTATTTGTTGAACGGGAATGTCCAAATACATAAGACATTTCCAGGCAATTTTTTTTTATATCCCTTGAAGTAAATTAACTTAAAGTATTTTATCCATTTTATTGATAAACAATTAAAAGGGGGTCACCGAATTCATTTTACTGAATAAATCATTAACGGAAATGTGTAAGGTAAGTAATATTGAACAACATAATATAATAAGATTTCGTTGCCAGACGCGGATCCAGGGTTTTGAAAAAAGGGGGGGGGGGGGGGGGGGGGGGTGTGGTATTGGCATTTTTAGAAGTGGAAAAAAAATAGGAGTATTAATAGGATGTAGGGCCATATATAAGTGTTCCTTGCATATGTATTTTACATATGCATAGTTAGGACGAGAAGATGAATATGAACCAGACTTTGAATTATACCGTAGGAAGACATGTCATCCTACCTGGAAACATGATTTTGACCCCGGACCGACCAATCTTTACTGTAACTCTTAAATATTGCGTACTTGGCAGAGAGGCAGCCAATCTTCGATTTGAAACATGCGAGGATCGAGTCCAAGACTTCCCGCACTCGGGCAGTTGTGTAGCTTTCATTGACGGGATGAGGCAACCGCCTCACCAAATTTTTGACCATTAAAAACGAGAGATAAAGAGAATTATATACCATGTACGTCATAGTATAAAGTATACTGAGTGACGACGGTTCAAAACGTTGACTGCTTTACTCTTTACTCACTCATTCCTCATTATTAACGTCTTGAAAACTATTTTCAGAAAATGAACAAGGTAGATGCAAATATCTTTTTTAAGTAACAGACAAAGTATACCTCGCAAAAAACTGATTCAAACAAGAGGGGATAACTGTGACACTGATATGATGCTTGATTTTTTTTGACAACTAACTTGTTACTTTTTGTGGACAAAGTTTTCAACAGACACTTGGCATTCCTACATTTTATGTAGTTCTCTTCTACCTTGGTTAAATTAAACACGATACTTCATAGTTCACCCAGTTATTATCATCCGTTCATTTTGACAAAAGCTAAACATATAAAATTAAAAAACATAGTGGATCTTAAACTTAATATCCCCAAATCTGTACAAAAGCATTTAAGAGGAGGTCATACATATTGTTTTACAATAGTCATTTTTGGGCGGGCCCTTTATAGCTTGCTGTTCGGTATGAGCCAAGGCACCGTGTTGAAAGCCGTACTTTGACCTATAGTTGTTTACTTTTTACACATTGTGACTTGGGTGGAGAGTTGTCTCATGTGTACTCATACCACATCTTCTTATTTCTATATAATTCTGTCAATTATTTTTGTTTTGATCAGGACCTGTCTGTAACTGAATACTGAGAATTAAACCTTTAACCAGCAGTTTCATTGAAATATATTGATTTAATGCGCACTAGAAATATTATTTCATGATAAAATTCCACAAATTCGAAATTTTCATAGACATGATCTTTTTGCCAATGTGTGGCCTATCAAGAGTATGATCACCTACACCTATTTTGCGATTCATATTTTCATTTAACCGTCCACTCCCTATTGGCATTGGCGTCTTTTAACCATGGTGAGGCTTTGACTGCAAATATTCAAATCATTTGCCACACCAGAAATAAAATTCAAGTTACGCTACTGTCGATTGATTGATAGTTGGTTGCTTAACGTCCAGTGGCAAATATTTCATGCATAATTAACGTGTAGAGACCGTGGCATTCTCTCTACAAGAGGCATCGGATTTAACGTCCCCACTCTGACCGGACGGGACTGCGTACTTCCTGCACAACCAAACGGACTCCCCACTTTGACAATGGTTTAACTGCCGATCGGAACAAAACCAATAATGACCATATTTCTATTCCGCCGATCACCTTTGAGGGGTAACTGTCGAAGCGAGCGCGCGACAAAAGGGACAGTTATGAATATGGAAGATACATACACATGTACGTGTATTATTCAAAACATTTGCACAAGAATGTGTGGCCTTAAGACACCGTGCCCCTTCACATGATCATATTTCCATGCTCAGTGCACCACTTAATCCGGGTCAAACTCTAATTTGGTATACAATTTTAAACGTTTTATATTTTGAACAGAACGGAAGAACGGACGGACGCACAGACCAGTAAATATAATATCCCCTTGCTGTCATAAATTGGTCATAAAACTAAAATGATCATCCTACTTAACAAAACTTCAATCAAATATTCCGTACATGTCCGTTTTTCATACGTATTTGCATAAGTTAAACGCCAAACATTTTAGAAAAACAATTAAAGAGCAATGACGTTAAATTACGCATACGTTTGTACGGGCTTTTCCTAGAATCCATGCATCATTATAATTAAAGACAAGATATAAAAAATCAACTGATTCAGTAAAATGAAATAAATTTATTTAAGATGCGTCCTCATAAATTCCATTTGATAAAATTCTACGGAAAGGTAACAAAGTACTATCAGAAAGATGCATCAGTGATCTGAATTTTACCTGACAAAAGTATCTTGAAATAAATTATAGAAGTATGCTAATAAAGAAGAAGAAGAAGCAAGTTGTGTACACCTTTTACATTCCGGCGTGTTTGAAACTCTTGTTTTATCTTATACCTTTTAAATCAAAAATGAGAATATGATCTCGCTTCAGATTCCATTATTTTTATGTTTTCAAACTTAATTTGGATTTAGGAGCTTTGAGAATTCATCGTTTGAGAGATAAATATATGGGTCAAGTGAAATAACGAAGTAATGATCGGTGCATTTGATTACCGGTACCTGAATTAATTATTCCCTTTAAAGGTTGAGGTCAATGAAATCATGCCAAATTTGCGGATAACAAAACATGTAAAGAATTAAAATAGTAGTTTGTGCTAATTTTTAAATAGCATCTATTCCAACAAAGTATGTGTATTCAACGAGCCAAACATTCATACAGTCTATGCTCCCCTCCGTCATCCTTCAATACGCAGAGATACGGCAAGATTGGTTGGTTATGTCGAGTAATGTCATTTTATTGGAAATCTCTATTAATTCTTCTTATGACGTATACTCCAATTTAATTCTGTCTGACTCGTTTATTTACGGGAAAATATTTTGAAATGTTATTGTTCGTTATGTACATTTAAATATTTGATTGTCTACTGTATGAAATATATTTTTGTTGTTGTTACATAATATTTTCTACTCTTTATATTCGTAAAGATCCATAACGTCTAGTAAAAGAAAGCTTTATACCTTCCACCTATCGAACACATTTAGGGAATAATCGTCTATTCTGTCGTCATAATTATGTATGTTTATACTAGTGGCGAATTGTGGATTCTCTGAAAACAACCAATTACTGAAGTCCTGCTGTAATTTATCGAGGTCCTCCTCCAAAGTGCCTGTAGTAAACATTAATAATTCCTAATTATTGGGCGTATAGTGCAAATGAATTAAGTGAGAAAATTCTATATGCATTATTAGACGTTATTCATTTTTTTTTTAATAATCAACTAATTTCATTCATAGATTGGGATGGGAAGCCTTAAAAACCAAAGCAAAGGGTGGCTGGTATTGTGTTTGCTAACGGTATACTACATACAGATACACCATTCTGTGATAAATCACATGTATATATACTGCTCTCTTGTATACTTCGTGTCGATATACCACTTTTTCATATACCAGATGTCTATATACCACTCTCTGACATAGCATATGTCGATGTACCAAACTCTGATATACCACATGTCGATGTACCAATCTCTGATATACCACATGTCGATGTACCAATCTCTGATATACCAAATATGGATATACCACTCTCTGGTACACCAAATGGCGATATACCACTCTCTGATATATCAAATTTCTATAGATCACTCTCTTATATACCAAGCATATGTCAATATTCAATTTTTTGATATACCATATGTCAATATAAAACTTTTTGATATACCAAATGTCGATATACCACTGACTCTCTGACGTAGCATATGTCTATATATCAAACTATGATACACCACATGTCAATATAGCAAACTATGATGTACCACATGTCAATATAGCAAACTATGATGTACCACATGTCAATATAGCAAACTTTGATATACCACATGTCAATATAGCAAACTAAGATATAACACATGTCAATATAGCAAACTATGATATAACACATGTCAATATAGCAAACTAAGATATACCACATGCCAAGTTAGCAAACTAAGATATAACACATGTCCATATAGCAAACTATGATATAACACATGTCATTATAGCAAACTATGATATAATGAAATAGCTGAGACTTCGTATAAAACTCAAGTCGCTTTGCTTGGGTTCAGGATATTTATTAATCAGTAATGTAAAACACACAACTTGTGGAGCAAGGTAGTTACTGCTGCACAAACCATTTCAAAAGTACATTCTGGTATATCATTACACAGTGATATTTATACAACAGCTTACAAATTGTCAAAATGTCAACTCTGTCGTTTCAATACAATTCAATATCAATTCTCAATATAATTTCTCAATAATTTAAATGGCTACTACTGGACATAAACATCTGTCCATTTCGAATCCATTCGTCCTTCTATCTCAAACAAAGAATCACAAAACTCAGCGCTAAAACTTTAAACCAACCAATCAGATTACTTGAAATCCAAATAATCATGAATATTCATTAATACGTCAATAATGTATGGAAACGTTTCAATGGAATCAAAATTTAGAAAAGACAATATGTTTTGTAGTTTTATTTCACATTTTTACATAACTATACATGTTATTTTACAATTTAGATATACACAAAATAAAGAGGCTATCACAATAACACATGTCAATATAGCTAACTTTGATATAACACATGTCAATATAGTAAACTATGATATAACACACGTCAATATAGCAAACTATGATATAACACAAAAGTCATGTCAATAAAGCACACTATGATATACCATATGTCCCCGCATAAAGCACCATAATGCCTTAAGTTGGGGAGTACAGTAAACATACAGAAAAAGTATTTGATTTTCGTGTGGTACTTCTACGTCCAACTAAGGGAACGACCATTTAACTTCAAAGGGGGGGGGGGGGGAGGTATGGTTTTTTCCTAAAAAAATATTCTGATCCCCAATTTGATGAAAAAAATATTGTGGTCAGGCAGATGACAAAAAAAAATATTCTGAATCCAGTTTTTCCCCATACCTTATAGAGTTGAATTTTGAAAAAAAAAATATTTTGATTGATAGCGTCGAAAAACTAGAAAAAAATGTGCCCGAAAAAAAATTTCTGACTCAGACAAAAAACCATAACCCCCCTTGAAGTTAAATGGTTGCTCCCTAAAGGCAGCACCATTTATAAAAAGTATGATGTGATTTGTTACGTCGATTATGAAATGCAAGTATTGAACTAAACTCAATGGTTGAATGTCGCATTTGTAGGATGGCATTATTTCATTATCATCCATACTCTTTATGATATACTTATGGTATTGTCGTATAATTTGTGCGTGTTTTTGTATAATCTGTTACATTTGTAGTTTTAATTTGTGTTTGTGTATAAGTCTTATGTGTTTTTCTTAAAGGCATATGTAGACACCTTTTCGTGATACTGTCCCGGCGGTGTATAAGTTAATACGGAAGTACAGCAGCTTATATGTGCCATGTCTTATTGAGTTATTTCTACGTTTTACGAGTTCAAACTAGCGGGTTTTACTTTGCAAGTTTGTGTGTTTTGACAACCCGATTACGATTGTAGAACTCAAGTTTGTTAAACCAACCACAGTGACACAAGTTTATTAACTCGTCTTAATGCAAATATTGGCTCCTCCATTGCTTTTTAAGTTTGATATTGAAAAGGCGCCACTATTTGCATTAAGACGAATTGAGGAACTTGAGTCAGTGTGTTTGGTTTCACAGACTCTAGTTCTAAAACACGTAATCTGGTTGTAAGAACACACTAACGAGCAAAGTAAAACTCACATAACGCGATCGAAACGAGTTACTCAATTTAGATATCGCATGGAGTGTAAAAAACAACTTCATTTCATGTAATGAAAACGATTGTTCCTACTTTGTTTAATATTGTGAAAATATTTGGAGAAAAAGTTATTAAAGTATGTTAATTGTACAACTCCTTTATACACACAAAGCTATTTTTCGTACGGTCTTAAAATAAGCAAAAACTGACTTCTCACGTTGATATATATATCCTAATGAAGTTTGTCAATTTAAAATCGTTGAGTGTTTTATATCGTGCTGTTGTTTGTAAAGAGATACCGGTAATGATGTATCGTTATCCAGTCAGTGACATAGTTAAGTATATGTATGTAATAGTCCACGCCTTCTATACTAATCATGACAACGAATACTTAATAGGCAACTAGGAAGATGTGATATCTTACCTTCTATGACAGATACTGTCGACAAGCACACTACAAACAGTATAAGAGCTTTCATGTTTGAACCTGTAAATCTACAAAAAGTAAGATAACATTTCTGTTTGTACTTGACCGATTATTTACATTTAGATTTTTGTTTACAACCCACTTTTAAAACTTCATTGTACTTAAAGGTCTGTTGTGTTGCACTTGTGCATTTTGCTGAAAATACATAGACAACTATTGTATATTTCAGTCAACGTGGTCAAGTCTTGCAGGAATCTGTAAAAGGGGTGACTTTACTGCTAAGTACAATAAGTGCACGGAGACTGAATACCGCAGTAAAATCAAAAGGGAAATATCCAACATCTTATCATCAAAGGACAATAAACGACTTCAAACACGTGACATATGTATTAAAATCCCGATATTAAAACAGTATAAATATTTGGAGAAATGGTGTACATAGACTTTGTTTGGTTTTCGAACTGAAATGAAACTAAAGTTCGTTTAGGGATGGAGTTCAATGACATTAGAATATTTCCAAGTTATTCCAATTAACAATACAAATAACAAGCTCTGAATGAAACCTGTGCGTCGTAAACATACATGTACTTACCCTCGATCGTTATACATACATTATGTTAGTGAATGTATAAACAAAAAATAACTGCATGCATTGATAATGATCATAGTAAGCAAGTGACATCATTATTCGCAATATATGTTTAATTTCCGATTAACACGTAGTTGATTTCCTATTGCCAAGTAGTAACAAACCTACATAAAATTGTAGGATGGCGTACAGTAGTCGTCAAAACAGTCAGGACTTACATAAAAGTTGTAGGATGGCGTAGAGTGGTCGTCAAAACAGCCAGGACTTACATAAAAATGTACTCAGTGTGTTAGTCTAGTACAAAGCAGGTATTTTTATATCGCCATATTACCGTCCTGAATATGCAAGTAATATTTGCTACTAGACGTTAAGCAACCATCGATCAATTGCATGTCTTCAACTGTTATCTATAAACAATAATAATAATATGGTTTTCATCTAGTGAACTTATATCGGATTGATTTAGATGTTGTTATTGTTATTGTTTAAGTTCATCCATGACCATTAACAGCTTCAAACTTATATTTCTTTTTATGTGTGTGATATACTTGAGTTATCGAGTTGCTTCGATCCTTGTTGTGATTACTCCGTATTATTATTGTATTCATAGTGGTCCCAGTCCGTATTTATATATCTAGAATACTATATATATGAGACGAAGTGTGTCTTTAACTACCAATTTATTAATAAATTAATCAGTATAACTGTGTCATTAAGCTTGCATGAACAGTATTATAGTTTGGGAATATTAAGTTTACCTCATTTACATGTGGTTCATCCAAGTCAAGAAAGATGTATTTTTTCTTACTTTGGTCATGCTTATTAAAGTTAACATGGAAGTTCAGATTTATGGTACTCTCAGATGTAGTCACATAAACTTGCATAGAGATGTTCCGACAAGAATTTAAAAAAATAGGCTCGGAAATTCGGACGTACATAACAGGTACTGGTGATATATGAAAATCAGGCCATAAACCCTCCTACAATGTATTTCAACAGTGATCCCAAGTCCTGAATCTTTCATTTGATGTCAAAACTAAACAAATATTTTTTTCATATTTTACAGGTTACAGTAATGCGTAAGAACTATTAATATGTATAACTTAATTGATTGACTAATTGGATAACATACCAATTGATATGTTCCCGAATTAGTGATACTTTACAAAAGCACATTGATTCTGGACGAAAGATAAAACTATAAAAACCAACAATATAACCAAACAATATCGCACTACAATTAATCTATAAAAAACAAAAACAAAAACAAACAAACAAACAAACAAAAACAATGTCACTAAAACCAACAACAATACTAGCAATTTTCTTACAGGAGATGGGGGTTTGACCTAGAAAAAAAAACCAGCTGTTCAACTATCGTGTGTTAAAGAAAGTTGTATTTCGTCCTCAAACTGAGAATTAATGGAAAGGAGTGATGGCGTTAGAATCCCTAAATTAAGACTGTTGGTGTTATTAAGAACTATTACTTCAAATGTTTCAAAAATAATATAATTATAGTCGGAACAGTGCATGCAGGGTTTGATAAGGACATTATTTTGTTATTTGTATTGTCAATGAAATTTGAAGTAAGTTTTGACCTAAGATTATCGTTATTGTGTATTTTATATATAATGTAATACAAAACTAAAAACAATAATTTTACAGGATCCACGGTGTCATAATAAATAAGTTTTGGCGTAAAAAGTATAATTCTTCTCCTTGTTTGTGAAAAATACATACATTTTTCCAGCAACAATTTAGCAATGAGTGCTGGCAGTGACGTTTAACATCAACAATCAATCAATCAACCAATCATACATTTTGGTCTCGCCCATTAAATTATGAACTATCAATAAATGAGCAAATAACATTTAATTATAAGGTCGTTTTGAAGACAAATCATGGTTGAATATGACGACAAATGACATTAACTCAGACGTTTATGACCAGTCGGTTTTTAATGGTACATGTAAGTATTAAGGACTATATCGAAGTCTTAAAATAACGCATTTGTTTTTGCAAATTAAAAGAAAACAGTGACACTGTGTGCTAATGATTAAGCGTGAGTACGAAATACATAATGTTGACCTTGTCCAGATCAACCCTTGAAAATATTACAGCCTAAAGAATTCAAACAAAACTTAGTTCTGTACATTTTTTTTAGATAAACTGAACTTACCGTTATGCATGTATCAAAACGGGAAATGGTCAAAACGAAATTCCTATCCACTTCAGGTAATCTTCAGGTATATATCTGTATAAATAATTCAAAAATGGTTATAGGCCAAAAATGTTTGTGTTGCTATCAACATAAATTGTGACTTTACATAAAATTGATAAAACACGTTTAAGTTTTACAACTAAACAAAACTCATCGTAAGTTTAAAGATAATGTAAGACTAATCTATATTCTAAAACGAATGAAGGACACTTATTGAAACAACAAACGTCTTCGTTATACCAAAAGTTACTTCTAGCAAAAAACGCCAATTTACACTCCAATACAAAAATGTTCAGCAGCCGGTTGTACGAACGTGTCATTAGTCTAATGAGTCATTAAGTCTTCATTAGCCGAATTCATCATAAAGGCTTAATGAAAACTCAATGACCCATTAGGCTAATGCCACGTTCGTATACAACCGGCTGCTGAGAGAGAGAGAGAGAGAGAGAGAGAGAGAGAGAGAGAGAGAGAGAGAGAGAGAGAGTTCGTATATTTGGAGCATTTGCATCTGTTTCATGGTTATTACCGATTGGGCGTTTTGAATAATAAACTTTAACCGCAATGATTTTTGATTCATCGTGAATTAAAAGTAAATCTAAGACTTATCATTGCCTTAAACATATTCTTGAAAATAGACTCAAAAAAAGGAAGTCGGGATTCCAGCTCCAATTTCTCAAAAAAAAAATACACCCTGAATAGCCTAATGATTTTCGATCTCGAAAAAAATGCATTTTTATCATTGCTTTTTAAATATTATCTTTGTATTGTCTTCAATTTCTCAGAAAGATTTGTTTCACCACATCATAACTTAAGTTACTATTTATTTGTGTAAGAATTACTTAAATATTGCCATCGTGTTCTTGCATGTCATCAAATGTTTCATGAAGCCTATGGATGCCCCTTAAAAACGGTCTTATAAAAAGTAAAATAACAAAAATACCGAACTCCAAGGAAAATTCAAAACGGAAAGTCCCTTATCAAATGGCAAAATCAAAAGCTCAAACACATCAAACGAATGGAAAACAACTGTCATATTCCTGACTTGGTACAGGCATTTCCTTATGTAGAAAATGGTGGATTAAACCTGGTTTTATAGCTAGCTAAACCTCTTACTTGTATGACAGTCGCATAAAATTCCATTATACTGACAGCAATGTGTGAACAAAACAATCAGACACAATAGGCAAAAATGTCAAAAATAGGGGTACAGCAGTCAACATTGTGTTATAATCTTAATCACTATAAAAAAAAAACCAAATATTTCAACAAAGAAAAACAAAATCGCATATAGACAAAGCACATAGGCAAAAACGTAAGACAAGAATACAAAAAATGACCATAGCACACCAACACAACGGCGGGACGCACAAGCACCGATCCACGCCAAAAGGACATCACCAAAAACGGACCAAACATTAAAGGTAAATAATTCAAAAAGAAAAAACAAAAGAACCCTATAACGTACACGTAATTAAGGGCATACGATACAGTTACATGGGAGGTAATGACGTTGCTAACGTAAATTGTTATTTTCGCGACGTCAAACTGTGACTTATCGGGGAAAGATGCAGTTTTCGACTGATTTTTATCATTCAAACTGATTTAACTTGAAAACGAGTTCATGGACCCCTCTTTTTTAAAGTGACATTTGGTTTGATTGCGTATGAAGATTATGTATACCAATTTTCATGAATAAGTCAATAGTGCAATTTTTTTAAATTTCATAAATATACAGCAAAAAATGACGTTATTTTTCTACATTCATGAACATTTGATAAATATGAGTTAATTGTAAAAATAAAATGTACAAATTTATAGAACATTTATATAAAAAAGAAATTACAAATAATTTAACAAAAAACAGCTTGTGTTTGTCTTTTTAAACAAAAAAGTTATGTATTTCTGTCGAAAGGAAAAATACGTCCACAAATCCGAATTTTGAGGAAAAATCTGAAATTTCAACCTCAATTTACTCAAAAAGTAGCACATGATGGTATATTTTTTATTTCATATTTGATTTAATCAGGTAAAAAATAGCCTATATGCAAATTTTCATCAAAATTTCAATATGGGATCAAAACTGTATCGTATGCCCTTAAGATGATAAACAACATCAGTACCTAGAATCTATACTCCAAGACCATCATGTATTATTTGTGAAGTTGTTACGGAATTTTTATCAACAAGGTCTTGGTATCTTCCGATGAACGTTTTTAGAAAAAGGACGAGGCGTTCTTTGACATAACCCTGGTTCGTCAACTTTTAGTTCAGACACTGGTGACGTTTTATAAAGTCTGAGTAGCAGCTGCAAGCTCTTGAATACCGAATGAGTTGGAAAATGTATATCTCATATGCAGGTGAAGTTGGTGTATTGCTACTAAGGTGGGTAAAATTAATAATTTCAAAATTAAAATCGTCTCGTTTGTCATAGATTCTGGTACTGAGATGACCACTTATGTCAAATTCGAGGTATTATAAGTCTAATAATGAGGCAGAGGAAGCCGTGTCTGTTGTTTCTTTAATTTCTAGTTCTGGAGGATATATTAATGGAACCCAATCAGAAAAGTTTTGATTGTTCATAGAAAGAACATCATTAATATATCTGAATGTGAAATTAAATAATCTGGCTTCATTGATCTTCTTGTTTTTGACAACTGTCTGAAGGAACTTCGACTCATATGAAAATAAGAAGAGGTCGGCAAGGAGAGGCATACAGTTCGTTCCCATAGGAATGCCGACAATTTGTTGAAAAGGTCTACCTCCAAATTCAACAAATATGTTGTCAATAAGGAACTCCAGCATACTGATCACTTGTTCCTCTGTGTAGCATATTTTACCTTTTTGTTCACTATTAACAAAATATGCCGTATGGTACTATCCCAAAGTAATAAATTTATAGCGTATGCTACCATTTTTATATTGAAAAGCAGTGTGGATTATTTCTTTTAGACGATTTTTCAATTTCACATTGAGAATGGTGGTATACAGGGTTGAAAAAGCAAAAGTTTTAATAAAATTAATTTCAGAGAAAGATCGAGATTTAGAATTATCCAGAAGTTCTTTAGGGTTTTTTTAGAATCCACATATGGTTAATACCACTACGCGAGTAAAAACAGTTTCACAGTATTTCTGAAGACCCTCTTTCACAACGGACAGATTTTTTGTCAATCTAATGGACAATTCCTTTTCAGAACATGGAGATGGGTCGGCAATGTACCGTTGTTTGTACGGAATTTTGTGAAATTTGGGTATCCAATACAAACAAGGTTAGTCCTCAGATTTGCTGTTTAATGTAATGTTCATTGAAGTCATGAAGGACTTATGATTCGCCAAAATCTCATCCTTGTCAAATGATATATTTTTGTATGTGGGATTACCTGAGACTCAGAGTTCTCGTGCATTCCTAATTCTTTTACAAGACACTCGTAGTAGTACGATTTACAAACAAAGACAATATTATTTGAAGTTATACTTCTGTTTCTCCTCCATCAAAATCCAGTTTCCTAGTTTCTGTACTTTTATGTTAAGGATGTAAACCGACCACGGCTTAGAAAGTGAATAACACATCCTTCTACAAACACATTGTTGATGAAAAGTGAAAAATGTAAAACTTACCATATTATTATAGTAAAGGACATGTATGTCTGGTCAAATAAGACGTTAGTCCCTTTTCGTCAGATGATCTGAACAAGTTTCCTGTGAAAAACTTTAACTATTGAACAGGTTGATAAAGATGATCAATATAGTGAATTGACATATCTTTCGTCATTTAATCTGAATTTTTAAACTAAAAGATGTGTTTACATAGACGTTTAATTGAAGATCAAATTACCCGACGAATTTAGTCATGGTTGCCATTTGGTATAAGATCGTAAAAGAATAAGTAACAAAGTTCAAGCATTGCGATTGGATCGTAAAAGATCTGGTATGATCTGGTATCGGATCGTGAATGTAATCAGTCATCTTCAAAATCTGTGAAAATATGCGGTGCATTATCAAATGGCGGAACAAATCAGAAAACAATACAATGTGTCGGTCACAATGGCTATTATTAGGTCTTTCCACTTTTCCGTGGAAAGACCTATTGATTTTGTTCTGATTATTATTTTTTTTTCTTCCGCCTAATTTTTTTCTTTCGTTGTGTTCTTGTTTTATAAGATGTCGCTTATATATTTGGAATATGATATCGTACAGTTTATACGCTTTTGAAACTAACACTGCTTAACCGACCACTTTACATTTATGTAGATATGCATTTCTAACTGGTAAACCATAAGTGATAGAGACCTAGGGTCTCTTGATTTGAGGTCCTTGGTCAAGGTCATATTCTAAATTTTGATTTTGGCTTATTTTCACTTCTTTCCAAAAACCGTATAAGATATCGACAAAGTACTTTTATTAAATTGTTAGTTGCGACATGTCGTAACACGTAAATTTTGATTGCAAGAGTACGTTGACCGTAAAGGAGAGTTTTCTCCCTTTTTATATTTAAAATTACATGTATGGTGGTATAACTCATTTACCAAGTATAATAAAGACCTAGGGTAATTTGATTAAAGGTCCTTGGTTTATAACCTTGAAATTGAGCTCAAGGCCAAAGTTGAAATTGACGTTCTAGATTTTGACCTTTGCTTTAACTTCATATTTAGACACGATAAAGCCATGGGACTCTTTTCATTAGGTTGCAATTTACATGAGCTTGAAAATCCAACCGGAAATGACTTTGTGTAAACCGGAAGTAGCTTTGTTTTGTACTTATTTGATGCTAAAGTATATAGAACCAAATATTTTTGGAATCAGTGTCAAGTAAACTATCAAATAACACTAGAAGTGACATTTTTCAGACCGGAAGTAACAAATTATCTCCCTTATTTCAATAAAATTGTTTAGAAACCATATATTTTTTTGAATCAGCGTACATTAAGGTATCATTTGACACTGTATATGACACTTTAAACCGTATTTTAATACTTTCATATCAAAATGAATCGTAAGAAGTGGAAAGACCTTCAATTGTTCTCTGAACAATTAGTTTTTAATTGTTCAATAATATTGTTCAAGAGGACAGCGAAAAATGCATTCTTTTGAAGAAAACCCATAAGGAGAAACATAACTCGATCCTGCAGATATACATGTGTGGACAAAATACGTTTCAGAATCTGTTTAGAATTATATCAAACCATATTTGAAACTATATTGTTTTGGTGTAAGATAGTACAGAAAACTGTTATTTGGGGTTTTTTTCTGGAAAAGGTTCTAATTATTTCAGAAAATATAGGATTTTGCAATTTTTTACCATAGTTGGTCGTGAAAGATCAAGCAAAGCATTAAGTTGATCGACCAGACTAATGCATAAAAAATTGATGCCTTTCACAAAATGATTATTTTTTTAAATGAGTTAGAATAGCGTTTTGTTGCTTATTAAGAATCTAAATGAGTATTATCACCTTCATGGTATGATATTTAATTCGTACAAAATATTGCTTATATTTGCATGCACATAATGTGTCCTTGAAGGAGAAATAAACAACACAACAATGAAATTATGGAAGAATAAATCTCCATGGTACACGTACATGATGATGCATGAAAGCAGGAGACGGCTACCCAGTCGGATTGTAATATCACCTGAAACGGACAATCATTATCACCATTTTAAAGTGTAGTGACAATCTGACAAAGGAATAAATAAAACACCCGAAAGATCGAAATATCATCTAAGACATTTATGTTATAAATGTAGAATCAACAATACTGGTACCATATCGGGAGTATAGCATGTGAGGTCACTTTTCGTGGATACTATTTCGGACCAAAATCTGATTATTAGCTTGATATGAGTCATGTAATGAATTTAATTTTGATTATAAAGAAGTTGTGTAGTCATTCTATCTTATTATGTATCATCTGTATGCCCACAAGGGCTCCGATTTGGAAATAATATTTACGCTTATGTTTATGTTGATTTTTCTGTTTCTATTTCTGATTATGTTTCTTTTTCTGATTATGTTTCTGTTTCTGATTATGTTTCTGTTTCTTTTTCTGTTTCTGTTTCTGATTATGTTTCTGTTTCGTTTCTGATTATGATTATGTTTCTGTTTCTGTTTCTGTTTCTGATTCTGATTCAGTTTCTTTTTCTTTTTCTTTTTCTTTTTCTTTTTCTTTTTCTGTTTCTGATTATGATTATGTTTCTGTTTCTGGTTATGGTTCTTTTTCTGTTTCTGTTTATGATTATGTTTCTGTTTCTGGTTTTTGTTTTTGTTTTTGTTTTTGTTTTTGTTTTTGTTTTTGTTTCTGTTTCTGTTGATGATTATGTTTCTGTTTATGATTATGTTTCTGTTTCTGTTCATGATTATGTTTCTGTTTCTGTTCTGTTTCTTATAATGTTTCTGTTTCTGTTTCTGTTTCTGTTTCTGTTCATGATTATGTTTCTGTTTCTGGTTTTTGATTCTGTTTCTGTTCTGTTCTGTTTCTGTTTCTGTTCTGTTTCTGATAATGATTATGTTTCTGTTTCGGTTTCTGTTTCTGTTTCTGTTTATGATTCTGTTTCTGTTTCTGTTTCTGTTTCTTGTTTCTGTTTCTGTTTCTGTTTATGATAATGATTATGTTTCTGTTTCTGTTTCTGTTTCTGTTTCTGTTTCTGTTTCTGTTTATGATTCTGTTTCTGTTTCTGTTTCTGTTTCTTGTTTCTGTTTATGATTCTGTTTCTGTTTCTGTTTCTGTTTCTTGTTTCTGATTTCTGTTTCTGATTATGTTTCTGTTGTTTCTAGATCTGTTTCTGTTGATGATTATGTTTCTGTTTCTGTTTCTGTTTATGATTATGTTTCTGTTTCTGTTTCTGTTCATGATTATGTTTATGTTTCTGTTTCTGTTTATGATTCTGTTTCTGTTTCTGTTCATGATTATGTTTCTGTTTCTGTTTCTGCTTATGTTTCTGTTTCTGTTTCTGATTTCTGTTTCTGATTATGTTTCTTGTTTCTGTTTCTGTTTGTGTTTATGATTATGTTTCTATTTCTTTTTCTGATAATGTTTCTATTTCATGATTCTCAATGTGTTAAAGAATAAATTGTCTTCGATTTTATTGCGGGTTCTTGATACAAGTCCTCCACTTCAACATTCTAATAGCAATTTTCTATGAACAAGATAATTCTTTAGAGAGGATGTTTTCTCCAGTCACCCTTGTAGTCTATTTCGTGTTATTTAGAATTGATTTATTATCTACTGCACGTAAAGCTACCAATCACTATTATATCATGTGCATTTTCAAAATACATGAACTACGCTGAATAATTCTCTAGAGAAAAGAAGTAAGGCTAATTTCCTCTGTATTTTTGTAATTTGAACATCAAAGAGCCTAAATCAATGTATACACTTTAACAGTTTTCAAAAGATTTACACATTTCCTGAAATTCAAAATGTTATTTAGCGCTACATATTGCAGTTGAAGTCATTTTGATACACAATTTCAAATTTTGATGTATCGAATGACGTCTGTAACAAAAATGAATAAAACCATATCCGAAAGACAATAATTATATAGCTTTACCTCCAACAGAATTTTGCTTTTGATTACAAAATGACCTTCTTACATATTTTTGGATGAAAATTCAAAATTTTTCAAAATCTGTCAAAAATGCAGTTGTGAGCCTCCTTAGGCGTTTATAAACTAATCATGTATTAGAAATAAGCTAAAATATTCAAAATACATACATAGAGCTGTTATACTGTGAATTCGTGCAAAGATTGGATGACTTTTTTGAAAATGGCCCTGTACTGAAATAAATTCAGGGTAAATTGGTCCTACCTCTGAATTTCTTAGATTCGAGATTTTTTCTTCTAAACATTTGTGAAAAAATAAGACAATTTATTTGTCCTTCTGCTGAAACGTGAAGAAAAGTAAAACATACCTAGAATAATTGCAGCCTTGGTGATGCTTTCATTGTCCTTGTTCTAAATGTAAAATTCCTGTAATTCTTTCATGTGTCCTTACATTCAACACTATATGCCTGTTTTTTCTCATACGAAAGGGTTGATATGACATGGAAATAAACATTAATCATGTTAAGTTTATACATTTTTTTAAGATACATACCATGTATCTTTTAATACTTAGCCGTAATCATGGTAATTACACTAGATAAATTAGTACCGATCATAGTGTAGATCTTACATACCTGAAGGTTTGTAAAGGAATCCTAAGCGATAAAGTGACAAACTATTGAAATACTAGAAATAATAACTTTTCGATCTCTTTTTTAATCCTGGTAGTCGAAATCAAGATCACAATCAGCGTCTTTACAACTTTTATCCATCGTATTTTCTAACTGTGTATGATTAATTACCGACGCCGTAATTTGGTAACTATTGATGTAGAGGGTCTTGACGATTAAAAAGTCTTGAAGGTAGAGTTCCGTTTATTTTTACTGTTTAGTTTCCATAACTTGGAATACTAATGGATTTCGTCAAAGATTATGCAAAGCAATGGGCTAAACGTACAAAAGAAGACGTATATACCCCGAACAACATCGTTCTTGTTTGTAACTCACATTACATAAACTGCTTAATAAAGGATTTAGGTACATGCATTGACAATTCACTTGGAAACTCAACATATACTCCCACGACACTTACCAAGGGGGAAATCATGAACAATCATAGGTCTGTTATCATAGATGCTATTATTTCTATGGTTGTATATTCCTATGAACGTTATATTGCTGGGTCTACCAAATGCTTATGCAAACTGACATCACTAAGTGAAATTAGAGAGGAAAGAAAAATTTGAAGTAGGAAATAGAATAAATCAAATGGAAATGAAATAGACAAAAACATACAAACATTACAAAAGTGTCATAGAGAGGGACCTCAAGTGGAAAGAGGAAAAGGCGCAGACCAAAAGAACATGGAGGAGAACAGTGGAAAGTGAGATGAAGGAGATTTATGATGTCTTGGATAGAAACAGAGAAGAAAGCACCAGACATAATATTATGGAGAGAACTGGTATTGACCTTTTCTGCCCATTATATGGGACGGTGTGAATCAAATGTGGATACTTAAAATTTGCAAAGATCTGTTACTTTAGAACATATACAATCTAAGTATCTTCCTCTTGCAATATTATAAAAATAGTTGGCTTCTCTACCTTCTACACTAGTATTCCTCATTTATATGGACCATTTCTGTTCTCTGCTCTTTATTCGAGTTGATGTCTCTTTGACACATTCCACGTTTCCATTCTCTATTTCATTATGGACAGATTGAAAGAATCATCTAGGTACATTATGTACAATTCAATATTCAGAATATCCACAATCATTTAATTATTCTCAATACAACATATCTATTTAGCATATAACAAATCTCTCATATGCATCTGCTTTTATAGATATATCTCAATAGAGAATCTGCCTATTTCACCTTATAAAATACAATTCGGAGTATAATTTTGTAAAATTGTAAAAACAAGGATTTAATAGGATCACCTCTTGGTGTTTACATCATCGTTCGTTGGTCTCTGATGGATAATTGTCTCCTTGGTCACCAAACCTGCACAGATCCATTGTAGGTAATAAATTATCCACGAATCTACATGTAGGTTACACAGTTGATAAATTCTAAGATATGAAGAGATTTGTTCAATTCCAAATGGTTGACTACAAAGATTTGATCAGACTTTTAACCTCATTGATATTCATTCACATGTAACAGTTACTCAGTGTTTTCAAGCCCAAAGGAATAAGAAAATATGAAAACTTATGGTCCTAAATACTGTCGATATTATGAGCTTATATTTAAGCATTGCATGAGATCAAGTTTTTCCCAGACTGTTAATGACGTCTTTACACCAAATCGGTTGTATGTGTACTGATTGATATTTGATTTGGGAAAACATATTTTATTCATTAGATGTTATTGTCTTCCAACTAGCTTTCAGCTGGGACTATTATACTAATTAGTATAATAGTCCCAGCTTTCAGTAACTGCTAAAACTCTTGAGATCGGTACTGTCATTAACAGTGTGGGGAAAGCTTGATCTCATGCAATGCTAAAATATAAGCTGATAATATCGACAGTATTTAGGACCATAAGTTTTCCTAAAAGGAAAAGCAATACATATTTAGTTATGTTTTAATTTATTAAAAACAAAAGCAATGTTAGCACCGATAAAAACCCTATTCAAAGTAAAAATTCTTGCTGCGGGTAAGAACGAGTGTGTCTTTTGTCTTTCTAATAGTTTTTGTTTGTACGTGTGCTCCGTGCTATTCTGTTAAGTCAAGCTATTTACAACTGATTTTTACAATGTGTTCTTATGATATTGCATTGTAACACCATTGTCCCAGGGTAGCGGAGGGTTGAGCGCTCACATGATAGCTGACTTTACGGTATGGGTTTTGCTCATTGTTGAAGGTGACCTATAATTGCTTATATCCAGGGCTCTGTTAGATAGTTGTTTCATTGGCAATTATACCACAACTCCTTATACTATTTTAAACATGATTTTTTTCTCAATCATCCGAATGTCTGCCGCACATACCATGAGTATGTATTTCATAGAAATGTTGACCGAAGTTAATAGATATAAGAAGATGTGGTATGAGTGCCAATGAGACAACTCTCCATCCAAGTCAAAATTTATAAAAGTAAACCATTATAGGTCACAGTACGGTCTTCAACACGGAGCCTTGGCTCACACCGAACAGTAAGCTATAAAGGGCCCCAAAAAATTACTAGTGTAAAACCATTCAAACGGGAAAACCAACGGTCTCATCTATATAAAAAACGAGAAACGAGAAACACTTATGAACCACATCAACAAACGACAACTACTGAACATCAGATTCCTGACTTAGGACAGGTGCAAACAAATGCAGCGGGTTTAAACGTTTTAATGGTACCAAACCTTCACCCTTTTTCTGAAACAATAGGGTAACATCACAACATAGAAAGACACACTATAAAATATCAACTGAAATAGCTTAACTCAATCAAAGGACATATTAACACCATTGAACATACCGTGACTGAACAAATAAATTTGACCTATGACACAATGTAAATACAAAATAAATAATGTTAAGTCATTATGACTAGTCTATTTAATCTTCAGTTTATATGTGCAAGCGGCATATGAATCAAATATTTCGACTTGATCCAGTTCTGATCTTTAATATAATATGCTCATATAGATGTGTGTCACTCCTTTCCTTCTCGTTAATGTTAATTTTATATTATCCATATCATGGTCAGACCCTTAGCTATTTAAAATGTGTGATGCCGTGTGTAGAGCGCCATCACTGATTAATCAATCTATAAATCATACAGATTAATTCACTATTCCTCCCTTCCAACACACTCACACACACAGATAAATAATGGTAAGAAATGGGTCTTAAAGTACATCGCATCTTTACACTACATATGTTACATAGGTAGCTGGTTAATGTTAATACGAACGTAATGGTTTGTTGCTTCATTTAAATCATTTTGGTTTACAGATACATTCTCCCACCGGAAGCTACATGTGATATTTCCCGGCATTTCTTAAAAAAAGTGAGGAGTAGAAAAGACAACGAAAATATCTAAAAAGAAGAAATGACATCTAGAGAAAAAATAATTTTCATGTAAGTGTAAGTGTCTAGTAATTGACACATCGTTTTATTGAACTGCCACATCCCACATATTGGAGCATCTTTTTGCAATCACCATATGAATATATGTTCTATGTCTTTTATGTTTTAATATTAGTATTGTGTATGCATTGTGCATGTTTATTGTGTAATTGTATGTATTTGTCGGTTATAAGAGCTCAAAGAGCTTATGTTATTGTTATGTGACATGCCGACTTTAAATAAAGCTTTTGAATTTGAATACCAAGCTTTGACGACCACTTAGTGATGATATGTAATTGATTTTTAGTTTATGGTGAACCACAAGTGGTAGATCAATGATATTTGGTATGCAGTTGTATTAGCATAGACCTTATCCCTATTTGAAATCTGCTCTGCTTGACCCGAGAATCTGCTCCTCTTGAACTACTGACGTCATACAACATCACTTTTCCATTGTGGTGTCAAAATTTTACGGGAACCTTTGTGATATCCAGTAATGGCGGACAAATAGCGATAAGGGGGAGCGTCTTTTTACCACAGAACACCACAGAACACCACAGAATACCACAGAACACCACAGAATACCACAGAACACCCAAAATTTACCACAGAACTTCGAAATATTAATACTTCAGACATTATTATCATGTTATTGTTCATTCTTTTAATAATTTGACATTTATTATTCAAATAAATTTAATTTTTCTATTTAGGGTCGACTCACTATCGCTATGCCCCCAACTAAATGGCCAATAATTGGGATCATACCGAAAACCCCTAGCTATTAAAACCATAATATACAAAGAGTATTTATATTTGTGACATTTATATTTTAAATACATTTTAATCTTTTTTGAAATTTTTAATTCATTTTTGAAAATACGTAATTATTTGTTAAATTTATTTTGTTTATCAGTTTTTTTTCACTATTTTATTATTTTTATGTTAAGAGTTGTTACAATAAATAATAAAAATGGTTAATGTGACATTTAATTAAAGTTGTTGTCAACAAATAATTAAACTTTATAAAAGTGATTAAAGGAGTTTTTAAGCTGATATCTAGAGTTGTTTCAAACAATTACAGACTTCACGAAATTCGTCGGACAAATCCGGTGAATAATGGATCGGTCTGGTAAAATTTTGTTGAATTCCGGTCCGAATGTCCGGTGTTGTTTTTTTCATGGATTTTTCTAAAAACCCTACATTTTTCCCAATTTTGGGAGCAAAATACCCAAACGATCTCGAAATTCATTTTCATCTTTATTATTCATGACAACGATGTTTATTTTGTTCAACCGCTAGCTTTATGCCGAAAATCGCCAACAAGTAATGTGTAAATCCGAGTAAAAACATATCTGAATGACAAAAACAACAATGGCTGCCATCAACCGGAAATGTAGACAATACCGGATCAGATTC